TCATTCATTTTTTGTCGTCGAAACAATACAAATAAGCTCAAAAATTGTCAAAATTAATGTATTTCACCCCAAAAAACAACCTAGATAAGTTGGGAGAAAAATCAGTTTTTGTGAAATTTTGATAAAAATGCCATGCTAACCCCTTAGCATTTTCATAGTTCTTCCCCAATTTTCACTAATTTCATCATTGATTTCTTTTGAATGGGAACAAACCAAAATCTCTAAAATTGCCAAAATCAATTTACCCCAAACAATATGTTTGCAACGTTTGCAGAAAAATGATTTTTTCGTGAAATTTTGGTAAAAATGCAAGGCTAACCCCTTACCATTTTAATCATTTTCACCCCAATCTTCACTGATTTCAACAAAACAATACAAATAAGCTCTTAAATTGTCAAAATTAATGTATTTCACCCCTGAAAACAACCTAGATAAGTTTGGAGAAAAATCAGTTTTTGTGAAATCTTGATAAAATGCCACGCTAAACCCTTAATGGCATTTTCATCAATGTTTTGCCAATTTTCACTGCCTTTGTTATTGATTTCTTTTGAATGAAAACAAATCAAAAGCTCTAAAATTGCCAAAATCAATTCATTTACCCTAAACAACAATTTGGAACGTTTGAAGAAAAATCATTTTTTTTGTGAAATTTTGGTAAAAATGCAAGGCTAACCCCTTGCCATTTTAATCAAATTTTGCCCAATTTTCACTGATTTCATCAGTGATTTTTTTTTTATCGAAACAACACATATAAGCTCTAAAATTGTCAAAATTAATCTATTTCACCACAAACAATCAACTTTATAAGTTTGGACAAATATCACTTCTGGTGAAGTTTTATCATTTTAATAACATTTTGCCCAATTTTCACCGATTTCAGCATTCATTTCTTTTGAATGGGGACAATACAAAAGAGCTCTCAAAATCTCAAACTAATCTTTTTCCCCCAAATTTGGAAACGTTTGGAGAAAACAAATGTGGCAAAATTAAATAAAAATGCAAGGCTACCCCTTGCCATTTCGATTCATTTTATACCACCTTTGTCACTAATTTCATAACTCTTTTGCATCGAATTGAAACAGTACAACTTTGATTTAAAATTTTCAAACTGAATCCAATTTATCTTTACCTTATTTTGAATAAATATGTAAGACTTACCTGTTGCCATTTATGTAAGTTTATCCCCTTTTCAATAATTTCTTATCTGTTTTTATTGCAACGGAAATATGCTCAAAAATTGTCCAAAATAATAGATTTTAAGAAAAAAAGAGATGTTTCGTAGAGTTCGAGAAATATATTTTGGCTAAATTTTACTGAGAATGCTAGGGAAACTTCAGTTCTATTAAGTGTCATTCCTTCTAACTGTCAACTACATAAATTACCTGTGCCATTTATCATCTAAAACTAATGACCTATAGATTTTGCAAAAATCTATACTTTGAAATCTGTTGTTGTACCTTCTAAAGTTGCCGGCAGTTGTGCCCCCCATTTTGCGAAAAAGCCTGTGCCACCACCTGCCCAGGGGAAGCAGAACAACCTACATGAAGCTGCTGGACGAATTGGCCTCGTAACCAACATCTTCTCGATGTGTTTGAGAGCCGACATCTTGTGATTGAAATGTAGAATTGGTCAGACGATTGAAAGTTTCCAATATATCAGGAACAGACAAGTGCCTTCTGTGGGTAATGGTTCTGCTGTTTTTGCAAACCTCATAAGAGTGAGAGTCAGTCATGGTCAGATGATGTAACTGTTATCTTGTACTCGTCAAAATGCGGGCATCTCATTATCTGCTTCGCATTTGCGAGAGCAGGTCTTTGATCAAGCTGAGAGTTATTACCGGCGAGGTTAAAGTTCAATGATAAGTAAAAACATATATACCTTTTTTTTTTTTACAATGTTTGGTATTAGTAGCTTTACAGACACAAAACATTGTTAAAAAAAATCCACTTAGACATTTGCAATAGGAAGCATCCGTCAGTTCAATACAAAACATGTAACCTGTTGATACAATGTTAATTTTCTGGTCTATCAACTTTCCGTCTGTGTTACATTAACCAACTAAATCATACTTACTTCAATTTTATTCTTTAATTCGGCCACCGTACTTCTTTGAAATTGTATTTCAATCATATGAATCTGGATACTTATTTTTAAAAATCCAATCTGGAGCGATAGGCCTACTCATCTTTTAAAAAAATATGCCTTGGAGGAACCGAGTCCGTTGTTTGTATCCTAATATTTGTACCGGTCGGAGATCTACAGATTGTCGAAATTTCTCAGCTGCACACTCAATAGCAGTTCGTGTTGGTGTTTCACCACTACTTTCACGCAAGGAATCGGCTCAGGTTCCCCCTCCACTAAACTCATGAAACCGTCTCAGAAATTTGGCAACCACCGTCCTCACTTGGTTCTAAGCAAACTGTTGCCCCAATGCAATTTCTCGGTCCGAAAGAGAAAGGCAGGTAGGCAAAGGGGTCCAACTTAGCGAAGTTATGCAGCAGTAACCGAGACGGTTTAAACTCCATGATGTGATCACACCCCCACACGGTCGGGTTGTGGTGAAGTTGGTAAGATTGACAGCTAGAGTAGCTAGTGATGCCAGGCGGACGGTGACCCTGTTTACGTGGTATGGGGTAGTGAGTGTGTGTGTCGGTGGAAAGACTGGAGTGTATACTCTCACGACTTCCTTGGTGACCAGGGACGTGTACTACAGGCTGATTTAATCCTTGCTGTGATTGGAGGACAAAATTCAAATATAGAATTAGTTATGCGCTAAAATTATCAATTTGTCAGACTGTAGAACCGCGTGCAATTTGTAACAACAGTTACGCATGCGCAGATTTTTAATTTCTTTTCTGAGGTATCCCCGCAATCTCAAGCTAATAATATCTCATGCCTGATCACAACTCTCTGGGTGAAGATTAATTAATACACCAAAGAAACCAAGAATACGTGCACAAAACATTCAATATAACCTGGTGATCCGATCAAAGTCCTCGTTGCGAATTGAAGCAACGCATCATCCTCCCTCACTTTGGCCTGATGCTTGGAATACATGGCTAACGCGTACTATATATCCACGTCGGGGTACAAGATGTCGTGTTGCGTCCACCAAGGAGGACGGTGTTGACTTCATCATCTTTGATCTTCTGATTCGCTAAGCCACTGCCATCAGCATCAAGAGCCAGGAGTACAGTGTCCAAGACGTCACGGGGGTGGTCAACGGTCGACTGCTTTCAAGCTAAGAAACACGGGGAAGGGAACAAATATTAATTTTCTGATGACTTCATATGTCATCCTAAGAGAACCTAAAAGTATGTAGTCGATTAATCCGCAACTGTAAGAAGCAAATTGTTTTCATGTATAAACAGTTTTCGACCTGGACTTCCTATCATTTTATTCCGTTCGACTCTTCTCTTGTTGATCAAACCTTCAGCCACAGTTTGCATATGTCTGTTGGCTATCTGCCAGTTTTGCCAGTTCCTACAAGGAACCGAAACGGAATACCCTTATATTTAAGGAGCAAAAGATTACTAGCGGTTCCTAATTGGACAGTCCTTGCCAGGATTGAAGTCATCCATTTCTCCATCTGCCATCGAGTCTTTGAGCTAAAAAAGACACAAAATACGATTTAAGAGATTGCGTGGTGAACACTCCCGGCCCATATAAATACACGAATCCAACAGCCCTCGAAAAGCTCGACTCTGCAGTTGATTGAAATAATTAAGTCAGACTTCAAATGATCAAAAACTATATGAAGAATAATGAATGTTCTTCTTTTATCCTTAATTCCATATACATTTATTTGAAGTTTTAAAACAAACACAGTTTCCCATTTGTGGAAAGAATGTTGCACCCTACCTCCACGTTTCCATCATTGTCATTTCATCAAAAGTCAGTCAATGAAGAAGCGCTACAAAGATATATTTCTTGGACTGAGAAAAACTTCCAATTTTGTAAAGATAGACTTTGTACATAACCGCTGAAGAAAAGCCAGGATGCAACATTCTTTCCCTCCATTAATTTTTCCTCAAATTCCGGCCGTACCGTAGTCGGCGTTCAGAAGAGTGCTATAACTACAGCACATGCACAAACTGTAAATGGAAAAAGGCATGAAAAATGGCATATGCCTGATTAATTATAGTCATACATGCCACATTTAGTCCCTGGTCTTACCTGACGGTTTGAATGGTGAGAGCAAGAAATGCAGTGGATGATATAAAAGTTACAAAGACCCAGCTCACGCCCAACTTTGAAAGGTTTACCGGCCACTGCCAGGTGGTCCATCCTACCCGTTAATTACGAAGTCGGCGATGTCTCTTAGTTGACGTTACTGGTCATGGGTAGCCCTTCCCCTAGCCAGTCTGCAAACAGGTCGTATATTTTTTTACTTAATTTTAATCGAGCCAGAATAACTTGATACCGTGGGTCTGATTGTGTCTGGGTGAACCGGAGTGGGCACAAGCATGTGACCAAGACGGGTGGTGTAGATACGTGAGAAATCTTCCACCGTTTGAACCCGGGTGCCAAGGGTCCCTGCCTCTGATGACCAAGATGCCAATGTGACGGTGGACTGGGCAAACAGAAGAGCAAGCGGGTTAACCTTACAGCTTCAAAAACCGACAAGGACAGCTTCAGAACACACACAGTGGCAAAAGACGAGACATTATTGTTGTCCACAGCATCATTTAAGTTACAGTTTCAAACGTTAATTGGTAACAAATTTCCAAACCAGAATAGCGATTGCTGTGACGATGAAAAATGGTACTAGCTGCGGCGTTGGAAGTCTGCGATCTTGTTTTTTATGCAGTGTGGGTACGTAATACATCAGCTCATCAGAGGTCACATCCCGCCTAGAAGTCTGTAAAGAATTCCTGAGATTCCGATCAAACAATGACCAACACAAAGGCAGGGGGGTTCTCTCCGTCCCATTTCTTGCTTCAAATGCTCTAAGGCTGTTGCGCGTTGCACTGCTGTTACTCTGTAGGACCTAAAGAGTAACCTATGTTTTACGACAATAAGGCTTAATCCAGTCGCCTTCAGGTTGGAACGACATTTGAAGTAAGATATGAGACGGAGAGAATCCCACCTGCTTTGTGTTGGCCATTGTTTCTCTGGAATCTAAGGAACTCTTTTCAGACATTTACGGGGATGTCTTAGGTAACAATAGTCTAGAGTGTGTATGACGATTGAGCATGTTGAGGGAGGTACCCCTCTGTCTCATTTCTTGCTGGATAAATGGAACGGTCTAAGCCCTGCGAGAGCAAGGGTCCTTTCTGTGCAGATCTGCAGCGACATGATGGCAGCTTTCCCCAAAAAAGGCCCGCAGAAAACTAGTCCATGTAAATGGTTAACCCCAGAACTGTGGGGTTCCGGTTCGACGTCCGGCGCCGCGCTCGTCGTGCGGGGAGCGCGGCCGATCGACGACGAAGTAACCCCATAGTTGTGGGGGTAATCTTATAGAGTGACAGCATCTGAAGAGAACAACCAATTTTAAAGTAGATTAGTCCAAATTATAACTTACACAGTAAAACAAAGTTAACCTATCGAAAAAAAAACCCATTTGCTAAGCTTGAGAGGCGCAGATGCTAGTCTGGTTCCCTGCCCAAAGATTTCCTGACGACTCTTGATAACAAAATCTTTGGTCAGGCATCACCCACGGATATAAATAGATATGACGCAAGTGTCAGGGGTCAGAAGTTGAGAGCCCTTGTGTTTTCGATTTCACAAGTGGCAACATCTCAAAATTGAGGCTTTTCCCATGTCCAGTGGCAATAATACAAGTGTATCCCCACTGAGAGCATGTTTCAGGCACAGAGCCTGCATTGGTAGAAGAAAGTTATATTCTGCAATCCGCCTAGCATTTCGGCAAAGGCAACCTTTGATTTCAGTGTGTAATAGTCAAATGTATTGTAGGATCAACAGCTGCCATCAGGATACGGGAGTTTACGTTCAACAGCTAGCCTACACCAAGCCGGGAATAATTGAACATCAACGGTACCATCCGAACATGCCGAATATAGACGGGACGACTTCGGAATATTTCGGCTATTTCCGGGAAACTGGATAAATTCCTCCAGTCTTGGTCACGTGGACATTGGGTGATGCCAGACCCTTGATTCGTAGTCAGAACCATCGGGTCTGGTATCCAAACTAAGGTACTAAGAAAATGGATTTGGTTTTCCTTGTTGTCCACCGACAGAGGGCGGCCTTCTGAGACGGGAAACAATTTTCTGTCTCGAGTACACTGCACCTCGACCTCACATTTCAGATAGCTAGAGGTCTTCGGCTTCTGTGTTCGAATTTCAATAAAATTATTTCCTTTTACAACGAACAAACAGGAATGGGGTTAAGTGATAAAGGATATGTGCACTTACTGTCCTACGGCGGCGTTCGGTGGAAAGACGACAGGTGATTGGTCAAACAGTTCCCCTCATGATCATAATGTGAATGACAGTCGGGCCAGCTGACGCGGCCATGAACTGTAGTTGATACTGAATTTTTGAACAACATTCCTGAGAATTGTTGACGAACATGTTTTGTAGCCGACCAAGACCCACGTAATGGAAAACGCGTCGGGAGTCAAATATGGAGTCTGGACTTGGGGAATCATGACGTTTTCTTGGACATCATGAACCAGACGTTTGAGAGAATTCAAAATCATCCTTGATGAGCGTGAAAAAGTATGGCGATGAGCTTACCGTTGACGAGTCGAAGAAAGTGATGGATGTGGGAACTTTCTGAATTGTCTTGTCTTGGAAAGGTTTTACAGTTTGAGGTACGTCAAAATGACTTAATTTAACTTCGTTTTTCAACCAGTGGCGTGACTGGGGGTACATTTTGCAGGGGGTGGGGCCCTCATTTTCCAGAGGGGCAATCAAAGGATTTGTTTCCTTCTCTTATTTCTGAGCGGGGGGGGGATAAGTCTCAAGCAGGAGGCACAGGCCTCTCAGTGCTACGTGCCACCCTTAACCCTAACACTCCTCAGTCCTCCAACGGGTAAAGGATTGAGGGGTGTTAGGGTTAATTAATAGTTACGTCATTATTTTCAACCCTGATTTAAGAATTTAAATTTCCATCTGATGAAAACCCTGGGGGTATTTTCCGACATTATGTGTAAGAGTTGACAACAAAGCCTTACATTTCGTATTAAACCTTGCCCAAATAATTCAGATGCATTCGCAAGTAAAAGCTAGGGCTACTAAAGATTTTTTCATCGATAAAATTATGCAATGTCCAATTGGACAGTATACCAAATGCCTGATGTCGGGGCTGTTGTCTCTTGCGATTTCCTTCGAAGTTGACATAAGGAGGACAAAGTAGAAAAAATGACTCTAAACCATCAACATTCCTGCATTCCATCCTAAGTAAGCGCCGTAGGAGTAGACACATGACATGTATATTTTGATATCAATATAGAATAATACAAACGTTTGATGTGTTCTGCGGCGGGAGTTTCTGGGTACCAGAGGAGCGTGTCTGATGTGACTAGCTGACCGTATCGACCTCGTCAATATATCCACCAGCTGTAGCCAGTCCCATGGGATGTGTCAGTCAAAGTGTGGCTAATGAACGCGTTCTTGATGGCAGAGCAAAACTTAAAGGTGATTCATACACACTAAATTTATTCATTTGAAATGATAAATGGCTGGTTGGTATGAAGGATTGAAACTATCTGATCGGTGCTGCACTGTAAGTATTTCTAAAAAATAAAGCTTTTCTTATTTGTCTTTCATATCACTTTGGAACTACCACTTTGAAAATCAATACAAATTTCAATTATCCACGTATGAAAGTATTTTCATGATATATCCTGCTTTTAATAGGCCTAAATTCTTTGTTTAAATCTCCAGATGTGTCCAACCTCAAATCTAATCCCACGTTACGGCAAGCTGGGCCTTGTTTCTCGTGGAAATTTTGATTTCAATTTGTTAAATACGATCACACTCACGCGAGAACCTGACTAAATTAAGACTCAGAAAAAAATGGGTTCCTTATTTCCTGTGAAATATTTGTGTTTTTTTCAGAAGCATCACCCAGTATGTATCAGTCACTACTGTACCTCAGCACGTACCCAATGACTTAATGAACTCGCCCTCAACGAACCTTTGACCCTTCGTCATTCATTCGTCTGACTCTGATTGAAAGTCCTGTCTGGTTTCTGTTCTACGATAAGCATTAGAGTAACCTGGACTAAAACCAGACTTCTAATTCAATTTGATAAAGCTCATGTAATTGTTTGTTAAGAAACGTGTACAAAAGTTATTTTATGGTGCACCCAAATTGAAAATAATCGATTATAATGTGCTTTTTTTAAAATGTGAAATCCAATTATTATAAATGTTTGAACTGCTATACGGAAATCTTTTGATACCGGAACAATTAAATGGATAAATAACTGATAATTGTTTGATTAATTTGAAACATTTTAAACACGTTCATTGTTCACTGCTCCTATTCCCCATTACAATTTGACAAAGAGTCATTTATGAGTGAGAATTTGGGGGGATTTACTATATTTATTACATATTTTACATTTCAATATTTACTCGTTTAGGCTATTTTTATATACACAGGACCCTGTACAGCTGTTGCAAGCTGAAATATATTGATCCAAAACGGCACCACTCTGAATAGGAAGAGTTGTGTGCCGTTGCATAATTACGGTCAGCAGAAAATTTGATCTGGTAGCAAAACAAATTTAGTGGACACATTTAATTTCACCTTTTTGCAGTACTGTTTATCAGTATATTATCTCAAATAAGTTAATATCATGCTAATTTTTACACATTATTTGTTTCTAATAAAATCATTGATTGTCACTGACGAGGGCGAAATTCCATCAAAATTAAACCAGCACTACCCAATAAAATCGATGAACATTTTTGTTCAGCTCACGTTTGCATTTTGGCAACCATTGCTTCATTAAAATATTGACCGTAACTGGCAGCTGTCGCACTGAACACAAATTTTATGAATTTCGTAGCCACGTCACCAAGATAAAAAAATTGATTCCATTGCAGGAACGAAGCCCAGACGTGGCACACTTTCTACCGCCCTTCTAATGGAAACAGACAGTTCCTGTAGAGTTCGGAAGCGTCTGAGGCAAAACGTGAAACTAGTTTGTTCCTGGTAGGGGTGAGCTTGCAACTCCACTCCCTGGTTTCATTCAGAATGCTCGAACATCAGAGTTCAAGGTTGGTGCTTCATTAACACCTTAACCTTAAAGGACATAATTCTTAAGCAACAAGAAATAGAACCGGACCTTAACTTCGACAATTTTGACTGAATGTTTTTCATCTGCATGATGAGGCCTCACCGAGGGCATTCTGAACGTAGAAAAGAAAGCTACCAATGATGTTTACAAGACGTTTCTACTGGCTATTTAAAAATCAAGAGTTTCTGGCTGGATTGATCTAGATACTGTGTCTATTCTTGATCGGCCCCTCTCAAAATGGCACCTTCAAAGAAAATTATACAAGTAGTGTTTTTGACATCAATGATGTGGTTTTCTGTGGACATCATGCTCCTGATCACCTACACCACATCACCTGAAAGTAACTTCAGTCTCAAACTGCCGTTTGGAAACGACCAGAAGAGGAACACTGGGCGAGAACGGAAGAGTGGACGGCAGGAATTTGATAAGATGGAGAGAAGGGATGACTGGAGTATGCCCCAGGTACAGAGCCATCAGCAAAGAGGGACTCAACGTCAGATACCAAGGGATAACCCCCGTGTAGGCATCCGTAACCGACATCAACTGGGGGAAAAACATGAAGAAAAAAATCCAGTCGTGAATTTTGAAAAAAAACACAACATCGTTGCCTTGAAAAATAATGACCACTTACAGCATAAAGCAGGAGAGCCTGGCGTGAGGAATCAACAAAAAGACACACAGAGTGTCGATCTGCAAGACGAACGCAATGTCGATCAAAACAGGGAACAGAAAATAGTACAAAAAGACTTGCCAGATGTAAACAATGACAAAAGACGGCAGTTGGAGGATATACGAAGGAAAAATTTCAATCAGAATCAAATACATAATGTCGAGCAAGGAGTCAACCTTAATGAGAAAGACGACCAGGTTTCAGACTCAGTATCTGAGGATCTCGAAAGCAAGCCTCGATCGATTATGAGGAAGGCATCAGTGAAGCTGGAACCAAAATCGAAGGTATTCCGTTTCCAATTGCTTCAATCTTCGGTCACTTTACTGAGAAATTATAAACTAAAAAATTAATATCCATGGCAACTGATCACATCCTTACAGTCCAGTATTCATCACACTAATGGTATGCAGTTATTCGCTCAAAATGAAGTCAAGTCGGAAAGACACTTAGCAATCAATAAAAGACTTTTTAAAACACTGCAAAATAGACTTAGATGTACATAGTGTATTTTTGATAGCCCTGAACATTTTATGTTAAGCCTTGGGGTGAAATATCACCATGTCCCTTGTGTCCACCAATCCCTTCCTCACAGCATACTTAATTTGTTCTAAATATATCTGAGACTAAAGTCCTTCCATCCTTGACTAGATGTTGCAGTATGTGTTATCTACAGGAGCAGTAGCTCAGGGTTATTTTTACTTTACCCAACGGAAATCCTATGGGGAAATCAAGATATGTGTTCCGTTTGGGGTCAAGTTTTATACTATTTAACAATTTAAGCCTTGTTAAATATGATGAATGATGCGGTAACAGGGAGCCCCCCCATCCCCTAAGGTTTCTTAGCTTATAAGAATCCTTTCATATTTTCAGAGGGGAACACGTGCGACAACCTAAATAGCTTATGCATCACGGGGGGGGGTCGTCCCTCGCCACATCGTGTTAGGTATCCCTTTTTATTAAGCAAAATGTTCAATAACATTTCTGAGCTAGCATAGCTCAGCCTTCCTTGGTGTTTCTTACGATGAGTATGGCCTTTTTAGAAGCCTAGATAAACCGTTATCAGCTGACAGCTTTGAATCTAATGAGCCCAGCGGTTATAAAATATGCGCTAGTAACCCCGAATGAACATAGACGCGACTCCAACAATCAGGATGATTGATAGTCCGCGAATACGTTTTTCTCGCTCAGAACGACACAGCACTTACTTGTGATCTAACAGTTAAGAGTAAACATTTCACTAACCCCGGCAAATAATTACTTTCAGGAGTGAAAGGTGGAGAATGTAGCGACATCCTTCATTCTTTCCTTGAGACAAACGTGTATCTCTTCATCTGTAAAGTTAAAATGTCACGAACATAAAAACCCATATTTTTTCGGTCTTTGTTGGTTCAGGGATCGCCCACGTATAATTATGTTCGTGACCTGGATGTGACCTCCAAGCCACGTGACCCCAATGGGCCGGGAGAGATGGGTAAAGGAGTAAAGACGGAAGTCAAAGATGCCAGCAAGGTCGCCTTGGGATTTAAACACGCCTCCTTTAATGAGTTTGTCAGTGATATGATTTCACTCGAAAGAGCATTACCAGAGAAACGACCGCCAATGTAAGTCACACGCTAATGTACTCCAATTCTTCAAATTGTCCTGACATTTATTTCACAGTCAGGAAACTACAGCACCAGGTATGTTGCCCCACAGTGGCATGTGCTATTAAAAGAGGTACATGTACATACAGCAAAACATCAATCATTTTGATTCCTAGGTGTAAGAGGAAGAAGTACGTAGATGTTCTTCCAGAAACCAGCATTATTATCTGCTTCACTGAAGAGTCATGGTCAACATTGCTTCGTACAGTGCACAGCGTACTTAATCGATCACCGCCTGAATTAGTCAAGGAGGTCATATTAGTCGATGACTACAGTCAGAGAGGTTGGTCGATTCAAAATAATCGATAATCATAAATTTGATTATGAAACAGGGAAAGTCAGAAATTGTATTGAATGTTTGATGTTTAGTGGCGCGATAAGCACAATGAAGACTGAAATATTCAGTCAATAGTAGAGATTTCAACGATCCGGTTTTGTACTTGCAAAATATCGACTCAAACAATTATTGAGATTCGGATATAAAGCAAATCATAAACCCGATATAAGCTGGACTTTTGCTAACCAAAGGTCTTGCCTTTACTCACACAAGATTTTAAAAAACGAATAATCGATTGAATATTGATGATTAATAATCAAAATTGGTATCGGATCGGAGCGAAGCGTAACGAATACAACTGAGTATCAACGGAGCATTAAAGTATGTAATCAATTGGTATGCTGTGAGTAAAAAGATCAGTTAAGTGGTATATTCCAACTTTACGCGACTATGTTTCTCCCATTGCATCCCCCTAGATTATCTGAAACAGCCCCTGGATGAGTACATGACCCAATTTCCAAAAGTGAAGATTCTTCGGCTTGAGCAGCGAGAAGGGTTAATCCGCGCCAGACTACGTGGGGCAGAGATCGCTCAGGGAACTGTGCTAACATTCTTGGATTCACACGTCGAGTGCCACGTGGGATGGTTGGAACCGTTACTCCAAAGGATTTGGGAAAACAGGACAAGAGTAGTTTGTCCTGCGTTAGATAGTATTGATGCTACCACGTTCAGGTAGGATGTATTGAATAAGTTTGTGATAGCACGCATTATTGTTAAAGATGTTATTTATGTCTTTGCCATTTCTTTGAATTCTTGACAACCAATTTCAGTGTGGATTTTATTTATTATGGTACTTAGCACACCGCTCTGTTGTATGGCTGCAATACTAAGGAAATAAAGCAAACACAGAACAGATTTTTAAATTTTTTTGCTCGAACGAGCATGGGGTGACGTAATGTTAAGGGTTGCATTTGTTAGTCCGGAAAATAAAACGATTTTCTGTGCACATGATGCAGGTATGAAGGCTCTGGAAATATCATGGGAGCTTTTGAATGGGATCTACAATTCCACTGGGTCGGCCTTCCTCGTAGAGAACTCAAGAGACGACAAGACGAGTCTTATCCTATTCGGTATACCTTCATGTTCTTTCCTCCTGTAAGGAGCCAGTTCAGTATTTCAACGGCGCAAGCCCAAACTGAAGCGCGTCCGAGGTCATTCGGGGACAAGAGCACGTCCTCACGACAATCTGTCCTATCAGCACGGCCGTACGTCGCCTCACGCGCGCGATTTGTTCCCGAAAGACCTTACCTTTTACAGAACTGGCTCATTATCATTTTTAGTTACGGACCACTGAGGAAGAATTCAGATCTTTATTATGCAGGTTGTTTTTAATTTATTAAAATTTATGTTTGCCCTAGAAAAATAGAGAATATTTAAACATATTCGGATTTGTGAATAATTGTTTGGCTTTCCTTTCTTTCAGAACGCCAGCGATAGCAGGTGGACTGTTCTCCATCGATCGTCAATGGTTTTATGAGCTAGGTTCATACGATAAAGGAATGGATATATGGGGAGGAGAAAATATAGAGTTATCTCTCAGAGTACGTGAATTCATTCATTTACATTGTGATTTGGTTCTTACTATTCCCTAAAAATCCCCATTAGATTACATTTTGGAGAATCATTTTGCTACCATCCATTTTATTTCTTAGACTTGGATGTGCGGTGGTTCAATGGAGATTCTACCTTGTTCAAGAGTCGGTCATATATTCAGGAAATCACAACCTTATAAATTTCCAGACGGTAATGTAAAGTAAGTCAACTACGTTTAATCACACCGATGATAAAATGGGAAAAACGTTGATACTATTTTGTATTAAAATGTTTAGTGTTTGGATGTTTGTTTTATAACTCAATACAATTCTAACACTATTAATTTTTCTTCCCACTTTTCGCCAGAACTTTTCTGCGAAATACTCAACGTGTAGTTGAGGTTTGGTTAGATGATTTCAAACCTCTCTTTTACTCAATGAGACCGGAGTTGCATGCACGACAGTATGGGGATGTCTCGGAGAGACTGGAGCTGAGAAAACGACTGAAGTGCAAAGATTTCAAGTGGTACTTGGATAATGTTTATCCAGAACTCGATGTACCAGACATGGATGTGACGGCGAGAGGAGAGGTGATTTTTGAGCCAAACTAGATTACCGTTTAAGAAATTCAAAATAGTTGATAGTAAAATACCCATTTTGTGTGATCTTGTTAACATCTTCATATTGTTAAAAAAAATTTTTAACGAATAGTTTATTTAAATTGTGCTCTTTGCCGCCAGAGGTGGGATTGTGATTCTAATGTACCCACTTTAGAATCCTTATCCCGTAAATGAGACTAGGCCTATATAGAAGGCGGTATTTCTGAATTTCATTTTCACTTAGTTTTTTTTGCGTCAATAACCAAAATGCATTTAGTTATGCCCATGTGTCATGCAATTTTGTTCCAGATGAGAAATCTCGGCGTGGGTAAATGCTTAGACAGACAATCCAATGGACCACTGGGCCTTTACCCATGCCACGGACAAGGTGGTCACCAGGTAAAAAGTCATTCAGTGATTCATTGATTATTTTAATAAATAATTCTGTTTCAGGCAAAAATATTAACATGTATTCTTATGGGGCCAAGGGTTGTAACAGCACATACACGTGACCTTGGGTGCCTGGAGTCAATTCATGAAGTTAGGAAGAGGAAACGGCCAAAAGGCTTCGGGGGAGGTTTATTCTAGAAAAACAGGAAAGGGAAGACAGATGTGCCTTTCCTGGTCTCAAAGTATAGCTCGAATACCCTGGAGACCGGTAACTTCATTGTCGAAATCAATGTCTGTGATTGGCCGACATAATGAATATTCATAAAAGAATTGACATAGCAAAGCAAGGCAAATTATCTAAGTGTTAAGGAATAAACTAAACATTTGGGGGGATGTTACAGTCCATACCTATGACATGCTGAAAACAACTGCTGGTCATGGGCCCTTTACCAATACTCGATTTGGGCTCTGTCTCAGGCTTCGTTCCCAAAACCAATCCCCGTTTGTGGGCCTGAAGCGTTTAAATTAAATTGGATTACTGTAATTTCTGGCTCTCTTGCATCTTATTTGATGTTTTGTGGCACTATTAAACTAATTACTGCGCTTACAGCTTCAAAGTCAGCTAGGGTTAGGTAAAGCAGATTTGAAGGAGTTTTTCTTTCTTCCACCCTTAGAGCTTCTCGCTCAGTAGGAAGGGCCACCTTCAATACGAGAGTAAATGTGCGTTACCATGGAAATCTACCGATAGAATGGGCCTTGGCAACTGCAGGGCTACTCGTGTCTTCAAATTTGAACACACAAAGGTATCGACATTTCTAAGAAATGCAAGTGACAAGATATATATGAATATATATGAATGGGGACTGTGGTGGTAGAAAGGTAAAAGGAGGAGATTGGAAGGTGTTGCTGACGAAAGCAAGAGATGATATTCCCTTTGGTGGTAATGATGATAACAATAGGCCTGACAGTAGCATGTGAAATAACATGTAATTAAACCCTTCTGTGTCAAGTCCCAAACATCAATTTTGTCAACTATGGTGGGCAAAAGTATGGCAGGCCGTAAGTACAAAAAACGAAAATAATTTAGAAAGCGTTAAAATTTCTTATGCAAATATGAAAACACTTAATAGTAAATACACTTGTTAAATGCTAAATGGAAATGCCTCCCTATTGAAAACTGATGGCGCAAAAAGTACATTTTTAAGCTAAAAATTGTTGCCTATCAAGGGTAAAATTTCTGCAACTCCAGCCGTCCATACAAAATGACGGTCAATATTTGTAAAGAAAGGAAAAGTCTATATACGACAGATTAGAGTGGATGAAGGGTAAAAGACAAAAGTAATGATGATGTCACAGGTCACAATGGTGTCCAAAATAATGAGGGAAAAACTGTTAGGTAAGTCAAATTAATAATCACTGACTATCCTTCTTTACATTTTCTTTCCTTTGCTAGAATAACGCAATGGTGGAAGCCCACACGAGGAAATGCCTAAGCGTGTCACGTGATAAGAATTTTGTTATTTTACAACAGTGTGATGGTAGTCCAAAACAGCAATGGAAATGGAGCACGTATATACACTAGGAATATATAACAGAATATCTACAATGGAACGGGGCATGCATGTCGCGTTCAAAAGGAAGAAAGGAGATGGGGCATGTACATGCAACATAGGAACTCCAAGCTCAATGGTAGAACAAGAAGAAAAATTACAACTGTGACAAATAAACCATCAAGTGGTTGATGTGAGGATACATGGATCATAGCCAAAGATGAACTGGTAGATGTCTTTCAATTAAAAAAAAAGAAATGCTGGGAATTTAGGGTATTGCACTTGTGAAAATGGTCTCACTGTAGAACAATGACACAATATAAGTTGACATTCCTGTTTTTCTTTTTTTTTTCTATACGGAAACTTTTAATATTTTGCTTACAGAGCTACAATTCAAATACATGTAGTAGTATTTTGGGCAGGGGTTTACTGCCTTAGATTGTCTAATTTAAGCTACTTAAGTTTTTATTTAAATTTACCGAATGAATAATTTCTCTTTCCGTGTTTAACACACTCTTTCGAGTAGTTGTTTTACGCAAACTGCAGGAGGGAATGTCATAAAATACTACCTTGCTAATACCAAATTCATTTTCAACTGTTTGTCTTTTTCGTGATACACCGAAAAGGTGCATCTATAAACAGCAGCTTTGTAATATTATCAGTCAAGGTGATAACTGAAATATCACTCGTTGATACAATATTTCTGATATCTAAACCAAATGTCACTGTATGGTTCAAGTATTTTGCTAATATCATTCAGTTGAACGACCTCGGCTAGGCAATTAGATACCATGGGTAGTGACTATCACCAGTTCTGAATACTCTTAACGTCGTAGATTTTTTGCATTTCAAATGCACTGAATGCATAGAGTACACGTAGTTGTTCATGCATTAAATGAAAGTACCTCGTCAGTCGAAATAAAATTTACGCCACGACAGCACCGCTTAAAATAATCATGCACCTGAGCAGTCAGGATCAATTTTGTTTTTAACCCAATAAACACATCACGCTTATAGGAAAATGTGAGTGAAAAACAAACAATAGTTTGGAAATCATTCACTTATTTGCAGCGACCAGGACGCTGAGCAGACTGGGTTGTCGATGTTCGGTCACCTTTTAAGGATCGTCAGTGTGTGTAAGGCAAGCAGGTTTGCGCGTTATTCGCTACTCCTAACCATTAAGATCAGTGTCAATCAGTTTTTGGATTTGGTGTGGCTTGGGTAAATCATCGGAAAATGTCCGAGATCGAGGAGTCTCAGAGCAGGACAGCCGGAAGTGACAGCGGAGCCGAGGTACGGCATAACCCCTCGGTGATCGACGGTGGTTGGGGTTGGCTGGTCGTCCTTGGAGGATTCGCGACATTCATTCTGTGGAGTGGCCTCTTGAAAGGGTTGGGAGTGTTACTTTCTAGTGTGACGACAGACCTGACACAGAATACAGGGCTGACTGGAGAAATGATCGCTATTCTTGCAGGCATTAGGAGCCTTGGAGGTAAACAATATTCCAAGAACTTCAAATTGAAATTAAATAGGGAAACACACGAATGGCTGATATAACAACCCGAAACTGCTCATGTCACTGGTTGATAGAATGTATAGGTGTGAGTAAGTTCCAGCTGACGAACATAAAAAGACCATTTCTCATCCACTCTGATTGGTAGAGTTCACATCATCATTTGCTATGATTCTGATTCGAAAATTTAGTTGACAAAAAGTTTAAAATGGAACAAACGAAGATCCATCTTTTTTGTATCTTTGTGTTTTACTTGTTTGTTTGTTTGTTTGTTTGTTTGCTTGTTTGAGGTCCCTTTGCTGGACCAATAGGTGACAAGTTTGGTTACAGACTGGTTGTCATGACAACGAGTTTCTCAGCCGCTCTTGGCATCATCTTTGCGGCCTTTACTCATACCACAATGCAGTTTCTGATATGTTTAGCCGTCATATCAGGCAATGCAAAATCTTCCCCATATTCATAATTAAGGTTTTGCTTTGGTTTTCTACTATACCAATTGTGTTATATGATACAAAGAATCTAATAGATTTGAAACTATAAACAATATATACATTACTAACTAGACTAAAAAGCTGTGGTTCTCATAAAAGGGACCTTTCCCTGTCTTCACCAGAAAAACACTCTCCAGAATTAGATGTCAGGTGAACTGAATCCACAAGCAATTTTCGCCTTTGTGTGACATGGTACAAAGTACAGCCCACGTGGCTGGATTACAGCTAGTGTCAGATTTCATTTAGACGTTCTGTTTTCTTATGGGGATACAGATTAGAGATAGGATCTCTTCTAGAATTGTTGGTACAAGTCCCCAACAATGACAACAGTATAGCTGAATGGTGGGCTGCAATTCTGAAGATTGTGGGGGCTTTATAAGAAATGCAGTTGGTAAACCTTAGAGAGTGTAAATGCAATCACTGTTCCCTCATAGAAATCTATCAGTTCTATCTTTTCAATTGCTGGACACACCGAGTCAATTATGCACTTACTCTTCGGAGTGTAGGGTGTTATTTTTTTATCCTCGGGCATTTTATTTTCGAATTGCTGAGCTTTTTCTCTAAGTAATCAGTCTATATAAGCAAACAAATCAAAAGTATACGGTATTCCGTATACAATTCCTTCAAGAGACCTTTTTCATATTAATTTAATATTTCAAAGTCAAATTAGCTTTACTAGACGTCTACACACAAAAACCTAAGATTTTCAGCCACTTCTTTCATCAAATATAAGTTTGAGATCATTATTTTAGTTAACACAAGTTTTCACGCGTGGTTGTTTTTTCTGCATGACAGGAGTAAGTTTCTCTGCACCAACTATCCTGACCAAGGCCATGATAGGCCGCTACTTTCATCATCGCTTTGCTCTGGCAATAGGTCTAGCTAGTGCAGGTGATTCACTGTCCATGGTCCTCATAGCGCCTATGATGCAGGTTTTGCTAGACACCTACGGATGGAGGGGCGCTCTACTGATCCAAGGTGGTCTGTGTCTGCACCTTATTGCCGTAGGTGCGCTACTCAGAGACCCCCCAATGTCAGAAGAAACTCAGTTGGGATATACATCCATCCCAAACGAGGATAAGATTGTGGAATCCTCAGAACAAACAGATCAAACTCCAGCAAGCTCCAAGTCCTTTCTGAAAACCTTCAACTTCTCCGTCTTGACCAAGTTGGTCTTCTGGGTGATTTGTCTGGTTATGACTGGGACATATTTGATATCTATCTTGTGGTACCTGTACTTTGTTCCTCACGCGGAGGCAAAGGGCTTCACTCCAGGACAGGCGGTGACGTTTGTCGCGGTAGCTGGTGTGGGACAAATCGTCACCAAGATTGCCATGGGTAAACTCATCGACAAGGAGATGATAAGCAGCAGAGTAGGACTGGTACTTTGTATCACTACTTGTTCACTGACTCTTGTCATTGATCCACTGCTCCATACGTTCTGGCCCATGATGATTGTGACAACTATCTTCGGTAGCTCTTTCGGGATGGTGTTTTGCTTGGTGGATGTCTTTGCCAAGGAGATAGCTGGAAATGATGGACTTGCTAGTGCCTTGGGCTTCATTGATTTGATCGGTGGGATAAGCAGAATATTCTTGGGATTCGCACCCGGTGAGGCCCCCTCAAAAAGTAATACTGAAAAATAATACTGTTCCATATGACATTTGCAATTGCTCCTTCTTAAAAACACCCTTTTTTCGATATTTGTATCTAACATAATTTCCCTTTTCCATGCCTAAGTATAACACGTGGACTGACACTATTTTCAGCAAAGGTCTTTCACAACATGACGTAAAGAAGTTAACTTATGATTCGGTTTGAGGCAGAAAAAACAGATGGGTACCTGTCATTGCTGATGTAACTGGATTGTTAATTAACAATACACTTGTTATATCTTCTTGATAGGTTGGATCTATGAGAAGAGTGGAAGTTACGACACTGCATTTGTGTTTATCGGTGGGCTATATCTGACAACCCTCTTACCTCTCGTAACTGAATGGATCATAGACAAACGGTAACAGTGTCCACATCCTCATCTGGGATATGTTGATGAATAAAAGTAAATAACCACCAACTCCAAGAGGAAAATATGGCATCGGAAAAATTATTTCAGTTGTTTCCGTCTTATCTAGAATGATTAAGTGATAGTATTAACTAAACCTTTTGTAGCCGTAAAACAACGATCCCGTATAAGTTGTTGGAAAGGGACCACAAAAATGGCAAACACTTGTGTTGGTGTTACTTAATTGACTTTGAGGTTCACTGCCATTTTATTGTACATTGTTTCACCCAATCTATACAAAACAAGTTGTTTTGGAAAGCGTAGTAAATGACAACGTGCGCAATGTATGTCAATTTCCAGTGTTTAAGGTATGGTAATTTTGGGGTAAAACGCGTTATATTTTTGTAGCTTTTTCCTTTTACTTGCAAGAAATATTAACTGGAGGAAATATTTTCAGCAAAGAAAATTTTTTGAATAAACTGGTGCCCCTCAATCACATGAACGGTGGCTATCGTTTTGTCCAGAAAATCACTCCAATCGTAGTTATTCGTTTGAGAGTCAATGTTTGGCGTATTTCTTTATGGTAGAATTTAACATTCTGCATACTCGCCGGTCTGCCTTCTTTGTTTCAAATTTTAATTATCTTATGCCACAAGAAAGCATTGTTAAAAGAAAAACTAATGGTTTCTGTGATTAAGATAACTATTTAAGTACAAATAGTTGAGTGTTTTACATTCTGTTGTGTGTGTCCAACTTATCCAATATAGCCCGCCCACTTGCCTTGATTGTCTGAGGTATAAGACCTACATAAAGCAAAGGATGGAGCAATATTTTTGCCTGCGTGCTGCTCTCAATATACAAAAAAAATCCATGATCCCTATATATCCCAAAATATGTACAGATTTTGAAGGGGCTGTTAATTCAATCACTTTAACACTTTCTAATACATGTATAATACATGTAGTAAAATTTAAGTATCTGACTTTATTAAAATACCCGAAATATCAATGAAGAAAAAGTCACAGTGTTCTAGATTGTCAATTGACTTTGTCAGATGCTGCAGGGTAGGATGTTTGGTGTAGATTATTCATATTAGTGAGTCATTGCGTCACACACATACAGGAAAACAAAGCCATTTGGCAGGATTAACTATTTACACAAATAACCTGTAACTCCAAACAGACATTTTACCGGTTACATGTACAGTACGTCAAAAAGTCCTCATTATATGCCTAGTTAATTGCATGTTCAGTACATATCAATTGAAAAAGTTTGCCGTTATCGCCTTCAAGGAAACTACCGGTGTTGATTTTTCATTTACTAGACATGGGTATAATAAGGCTAGAAGCAATTAAGCAGAGATGGATTTAAATTATACATCTTTGACAAATTTACCCGTTGAACCGAAGAATCTTCCAAAATAGAAAATGATATCAATATTTTTATTTGGTGACCAAACAAAACACTCAAATCGAAACCTTGCTTTATTGACGAATATTGTTTTACTTTCACTTATTTACCCCTCATTCACCCCTCTGTCAACTCGCCAAGTTAAACAAGGTTAATAATGTTAATAATCTTCTGCCTAATTTTTACGGTATTGTTGGGATAGGACATTTGCTGAGTGTAGGATGCCTGAAGCACCTTTCAAATGCTTATAGCATTGGGTACTTCCTTAGGATGTAGATACAAGTAGGGCGATGCACGAGTGGCATTTCTCTCGTCGATGATGGCGCCAACACGAAGCAGATCCTTTCTAAACCTGTAATTATGAACGATGTTCTTCTATCAGTGGTGGGCCACGGGACACGTTTAACTGAGTTACTTCCATGAGACAGATTCGTTGAGAGTAGAATTTAGCCAATGGCTTGTATTGGACGACATTTCATGGACGTTTTTGGGAGACTGGTATTTTTTTAGTTTGTTAGTTTGTCATGCGGAGGGAGTTTTGGACCATTAAGATTGGAGATGTCATCCAAAGCTGCTTTTTTCGCGGGTGTCGAGAAAGATTCCATAAAGGTTGCAGTAACCTATCATTTTTATGAATATTATATTTATACGCTAGAAACAGGCAAATTGTAGCAATTTATTACCCTCATTTTGGTTCGGAATTCAACAAAAGTATAAGTCGATTCCTCTGTCTTTTAAAAACCCATTGTCGACGATATTCAATACAATATTTAATGTCACAGACATTTGATGGAACAACAATTTTTGAAATTATACTCACGATTCTACCGCCTTCTTGCCGATTGGGTCAAACTGGTACTCAACTTCAAAGTCTCCTAGACTGTTGGTTCCCCTATCACTCAGAATCTTGGTTACCAACATGATACTGAGTGTCTTTTCTTTTTCTGGTAGGCAGTCAATCACGTCTTTCTCGCTCCGAGGACTCTGATCAGAAATAGAACACGACATTCAATTCTTCTTGATGGATATAAAATAATTCACTGCTGAGATAACATAACTGAGAACTATATCTCAGGATCAAGCAAGAGAGTTTTTCCTTTTAAATTGAACTCATACTTCTCTCTGGAGATCGAGCGCAGAAAGTGATGCTCAGCATCAGTTTATTCGAAATGAAAAATTCAACTTTGAATTTGTTTAAGTAGATAAAATGGACTTGTCAAAATAATCACCTTGTCAAGAATACGGGATTTTTTTGTACAACGCTGGGCTTTGCTTTGTTCTCTTCCTTATTTTCCCATCACTGATGATGTTTCATTTCACATACCTTATCTCTTGGTGGTTCAGGAACGCGCATGAGCGAAGGGTAATTGGGTGGGAAGGCATACTCGTCATACTGTGCAAAGTTAGCAGCAGCGTGACCCACGCTGCTCGTGTAGATGATGGCGGTCAAAGCTCCTATTAACTCTGCATTTGTTGTGAATTTTCCATTGCCATGAACTCCCTGTTAGAAAAGGAACGATATGAGTTATAAACAACTGATTCTGGGAAAAACGTCAAAGGACACATGGAATATGACCGGATATTATCTTGGACATGCAGCTACCGGTAACATCCAAAATCTTGAGGGGGACTACATGTATATGTACTTCACAGTGTAGCTATTCAGGAAATAGCAGAGTATTTAACTTTTATAATAAGATAATATAAAAATGGATGTGTATGCCCCTTTCATCCATCCCTGCTAGCCCCGCTCGAAGACCTAGATAACGTCATTGTCTAGACCTACCAGTACTCCTGCACCGCCCTCATTTGATGGCTTTGTCAGAGTCTCAGCAAACTCTTGGATCTCATTGTCTTCTGCCAACTTAACTGGATCATCTGTGTTACCCAAACAGTAAAACTTTTCAAGGCACCATTACCAGATATTATTACAAATCCTGTCGTTAATTAATCAAAACAGCATCACCCGCTCTCGCAGTGAACTTGTAAAATCTTACATCTTTATAAAAGGATTAGAGGATAAAAAGTGAAACGGTTCACGAGCAGTAATTACCGTAGGTTCCGTTAACAACCTCCGCCACATACGTCTGTATGGCTTCAAAGTTCAAGAGGGCATCGTCTCGGAAGTGGTAGTTGGGAAGTGCTTCTGAGTCATCAACTCCACGGTTTTTCAAGTCAGCTGGCAGTGTTCCCTCGACGTCCAGTCTCCAGGAAGGTTTTGTCCTAACGATAATCTCAAACATTCCGATTCGACCGATGCTCATGCACTGATCCACCCAACCGTCTTCTGACACCAGTTTGCCCAAAGCACGACTATCAAGGGTAATAAAAACAAGTCCAATCAAGCTGCGACAGGCTCTGAAATGAATATAACAAACTAGCACCTTTCAAAACAGAAATAGATTGATTTCTTCTGCATTCGAAAGGTTGATACCTGAGTTCATTTCTCAACTTACTAATTGATTGCAATGAGGTAGAGAAAATGTGGAGCCAGAAGTCTGAAGATGGGATGAGACGGAGACAGTGTACGGTGGGTGGCTACAGCGATGGATTCCACAATGAGATGTGTAAACCCAAGATGGGTGGCTGATTGGTGGTAAGATGCGTCAGCGTTGTTGAACCACATCTTGGCAAGGAGCCAAGTGTATTCGGGATCGGTAGGGAGAAACACCTGGAGGACAAAAGAAGATAGTCAAGTATACTACCCATGTACACTGGAATAAAGAGAGGGCGCTCTGTAAACAATCAATAGTGCTTCCTATGTGTCGCAGACTGCTTTTTCTAAGAGTAAGGCCGCATGTAGAATTAATTAAAACGGCTTCAAGCATTAATTCGTGCCTTGAATGTGAAGGAAATGAGAAAATCACTATGAAAAATAATCATGTTTTTGTTTCTTGTAAAACAGACATTAAGGATGACACTTTTCTTACTGGGTTATCCTCAGCTGGATCCTGGAAAAGTTGGATAGCGACAGGCATAAGATTCTTTTCCTTGTTGACGAAAAACAAACCGATGGGAGCACAGATCTGCGTAATACATGGAAAGTTAATACAGGCAAGCACTAAATACAGATGGAAATTAAGTAGGCCAGTCAAGAAAATGGTGCATTCACCAGTTTGAATTAGTCAAATAGTACCTATATTCATAACTTTGTCACAGAAACAACCTCTTAAATTAGTTGATTAGTTTTTCTTTAACACAAGAAATGAGAATCTGTGAAATAAAGAACCAGCACTTTTTTGCGGTACTGTTTTTTAACTCTTTATTGGCAGCAGGCTTTGCTGTGTAAAGAGGTCCGATAATTGTCCTCGTAGATAACTTACCTTTCTACCATAACTACAAGGAAGATCCTTCAAGATCTTGTAGTTCAGAATATACAATCTCTTGGCATCAATAGCTTCTTGTATTGTCAAGCCTTCAAGAAGAGGTTTCAGCATCTCATCACTGACTGCCAAGCTGTGATTAGAAATTTTTGAAAACCGGATGATTTTGGTTTCTGTTTTCTTCCAGCAGTAGGACCTAGAGAGAAACCCCCCTACTCCTACCTCCAGAATTCAATATTTACTGGATTTTTTTCTTGTACGTTTTAACAGACGTTTTGCAAAGTTGAAACGGTAGAAAGTGGTTTACAGTTATGTAAGGTTCGATTTTCCATTGAATTTGTACAAAAAAGAACAAACTTACTTCTTTACTATTTCTGTGCATCGCCTGATCTGGTTGGGATTACAGCTAGTCAATCTCTGAGAACCAAACTCGACATCAGATCTCCAATTATTCATCCCCTGCGACACATTATATTTAAAACCTATGAAAGCCTTTTGGTTCTGGAGAAAGCTTTAAATTTTATTCAGTGCACAAGTTTTATTTACTGTATTTAAATTCCCGTAGAGGTAATGGTAGTAGCAAATACATGTAAATCTAACTATATTTTTCTAAGTAGCTTTCACTTAAAATGTAAAACAAACTGTCCGATGAACTCACGTAAGGCACAGGAAGTTGGTCGTTATAAACCCTCTCAATGTCCTCCAGAGATGTCCATTCCTTAGTCTTCACATCCATTAGTTTGACGTGCACGAAGAGCTTTGTCCTGTTCTTTATAATATCCCACTAAATGTGAGAAAAAAAGATAGGCCTACGTGATGAATACATTCGGCAATAGTTGGTATTTGATATGCCCGTCATTGGACACCGTAGTATCTGTTGGGGTATCTATTAATTATGTACCTGTCAGGTACTCACCTTGTAGTCGTCTGAAAATGATTCGTCTGAGGGGAAAGTTTTAACCTGTAGAAACAAGACAATATCACTCTATAATTCTGAAGTGCATTTATAAAAAAAAACACACAAATCTGCTTTACCCTCTTGAAGGAACAGAGTGATGAATGGATAACTCCCATCCTCCTACGGAAGCAGTGATATTAAATACAGGATGAGAGTGAAGTAGCAGCAACTATCACTGAATGACAATGACCAACATCTTCATACCTGAGGTATGAGACCTTCCACCTTGCATTCCAATTCATACAGCATCTGTTTCTCCTCTAGTTCCTCCTTCCGCTCTTGTTTTCTCTCATCAAACTGAGGCAATAGACAGTCATTACAGAGGAATGTGTGCCTCTTCAGAGCTTTGAGCCATCGATGGATGGGGAATACTTCTCGCTCTCCACTCTTCTCACAAATCACCTGAATATCAGGAGTAAATGTTACTTGATAAACTAGCAAACATCGTGGAGGGGTGTTTCTGTTTTTCATTTTTGATGATGGATGCAAGGCGTCACCGTGACGCAGCTTTCTGAACAGGAACTAAAGAAAATCTACTCTCTTAACTGGTTAATGGGAGTTATAATTCTTGACTTGCACAGCCAACATCTACATTGTGAGAACCGTTTATTCAAACAAACACAAAACATACAGTATCCCAAGAAAATTGAAAAAAAAAATGAAATGGGTTTCTGATTTCCCGCTAACTTTCAAAAAGATGAAAAATGCATTTTTTTAAACTTGGCGGATTGGTTTCATCAATTTTATTCTCCTACCTCAACTCTTTCGACGAACCAGCTGTCCATGGCTCCATCTGTGTCTCTCCAAAGCTCAATTTTACAGACTTGACCAAAGTTGGCCAAATTGGTGACTGGGAACCGATCGGTACTTCCCCGCTCCATGTCATTCTTCCACTTAGAGTTCAAGGGAATATCTCGGGATCTTATCCCTTCTTTGTTAAACAAAGCGATGAAGACATTAGCGTCTGTTCCGGCTCCTTTCACATCCCCAGTCTTGACGAGGATAACGTAATCAGGAGGAGAAATATTGCCGGACACGCACGCATTACCCATGGCAAAAGGTCACCTATATGTATCTAGCTGATGAAAGCAAGGGTCTCACGAGCCCCTTTATAATGCAACAAGTCCTGAAGTTAAACAACGAATACCAACTCACCGATCGGAAAACCGACAACTCTGTACTACTTCCTTTCAATCAGCAGAATACGTGCCACATTAACTTATAAAATGTATTGTTAACTGTATCTTATGGTGGTTCACTATGGTCAGAAACCAAATTTCTTGTCAAGTACTCCAAATACTGCTGACCACGATGCATGATACATATTCTTGTTGCTGTTGTTTACACCGTATCCACCTGCAACAGAACAGCGTTCACGCCCCGATGAGCACAGAGATCGATGGAACTACACAGCCACCTGTGTAAATTCTTTCCACGGAGTTAGAGGTTTTAAACGGGCCAAGGCCATCTGCTTGTATTATCGTGCTTTGAGCGACGCGCGTACTTGTGCGCAACGAAGGCGAGACACAGTTCCAGTAAAGCTTAAAGAATCATTGAAAAGCCACGTATGGCTGATGCATTTCTCTAATTTATTTGATTTCAAATACTTGCGAAGAAAACATGTTCATCCTACACAAATTTCAAACAAAACCGAATAATAGAAAAAGCAAAGTGACTAAAATTCAATACATTAAGCTGAATGAAATTAATTTAAGGGAAAAACGAAACAAACATCAGTTAGATTTATTTTCAGAGAGGTAGAAAGTGCCTTGCCAATAATCTATTAGTCTTGGCTAATGAAATGATAGTTCTTTTTAATTTTAAAGACTCAAGTGGGACAAAGAAACAAACAAAGCTAGTGATTACACTTGAAATTCATGGGGTATCTATGTCGTCTCGATTTCTGTCGACTTAAGATTCACCTCAACATTTATTTCCATATTGCAAAGTATATATCTTGCAATCGGACACATATGAGAAAAAAGAGGCAATATGGAGGCACGTTCAGAAGACAAAGTCTTATAAAGACAAAACACTAATGACAAACAAAACTACCGATGAATCATTCAGAAGAGCGGAAGGATAAAGATAGAAAAAAAACATGAACAGACTGAAATGTACTGAAAACTGAAAACCGTTGTCCTTGCTGTCGACAACGTTGTCTCCTTCCAGTCTGTGAACATTACACTCTTTGCAGTCAATGTAGCGCTTTATAAGGAATCTACTTCCTACCACATTTGAACCCCACTAGACATGCAACATGTTCTCAGAAAAAAATCTGTATTTTTTATGCAGTTGAAAACAATACACGGATGACGCATATGCGCCACTCCATACAATCGTTCATAACATGTGCACTCCGACGAATTTTGGTTTCTTCGAGGCATTCCACTCAACTAAAATGCTAATCTAATTGTTACTCCATTAATTATCCCCGCACCAAAGTTTCCTCTAAATAATACAAATATTCTAATTGTAATGCTACAAATCAATAACATTCTTCAGCAAATTTTTAAATGAAACTTGTAACTCAGAACTCGATTACCAATTCTGGTTTCTTCAAGGCATTCCAAGCAACTAAAATGCTAATCTAATTTGTTATTCCATTTATTATTCCCGTCACCAATATTTCCTCTAAATAATACAAATATTCTAATTGTAATGCTGCAAATGTATAATATCCTTCAGTGAATGTTTAAATGAAACTTGTACCTCAGAACTCGATTAAGAATTCTGGTTTCTTCAAAGCATTCCAATTCAACTTCAATTCATTCAACTAAAATGCTAATCTGATTTGCAAGCAAAATGTGTAATACATAAGTTGTGCATGTTTCTGCTAAAAACTAGAGGTTGCAAGGTTTGGTTTGAAATCTGATTGTATTTGGCAAAATCCTGTCTCCTCGGAAAAGTCGTCAGAATAGGGGATTCTGGCAAAATCCTGTCTCCTCGGAAAAGTCGTCAGAATAGGGGATTCTCATATGAAGTATTGAGAGCCCTTGGTTTTTGAAATCTATCAATTCTGAATCAGCTATTCAACAGAATACTCGTAAATATTACAAATTTGATATTTTGAACCAAGACTTCCGACTCAAATCCCTCTTCTACACAGATGTTTCAAGAAAAGGGATAATGAAATCACAAATAGAAGGTTAACAACGTTGTAATGTTTGCTTGAGACACTGGAAAATAGCAAAATAAACATAATGGAAATTTTGGTAGATGAGAATAGTCACTAATTAATCTTTGTCATTCCATTAATTATCCCCGTCACCAATATTTCCTCTAACTGATACAAATATTCTAATTGTAATGCTAAAAATTCATAACATTCGTTAGCAAACTTTTAAATGAAACTTCTTACTCCAAAACTTACCAATTTCCTGAAACACCACAGGTATTTTAAGAAAAAATGACAGTATGGTCACAACGTTAAGGAAACCAGTAAATAGAAATATTTTCATAAATTTTACTAAAAACCCTTGAAATTGCATATTTGGGTTTCAATTAACCTGATTTTAAATTTTTGTTTTGCAATTTTAACCCATATTTTGATGCTTTTTTGGTTTTATGCTAGTTCACTTTTGCATATTCATGAGCAGAACTATGATGTCTCTCAAGGCACTGAATCTCAATGTTGCACTGATTTGTGCACAGAACATTTCTAGATTTTTTAGAGTTTATTTTCTTTCTCAATTTATTGCTGTGTAAGTATTTGGCAATAATCCAGCAAAAATCCTTTTCACAGAAATGTTCCCAGATAGCAAATTTGAGATTCACAATTTGAACATGAAAACATGCAACCTGAACCATGTCTTGCTGGATTTACATCAAAGCAAAAGCGCCCTCACTTGTCCAGAAATGCTTGGTCAATTTTTAATGTTTGAAAAGTGCACCATTCAGTTCACGTAACTCAAAAAAGATGTCAAACAGCCTTCATACATGGAAGAAGAGCACAGAGATACACAAAAAGTGATTCTAGGAAATATTCATTTCCTGGTTCCTGTAACAATAAATATATCAAAGCTAGTTGAAGACACTACAAAAATCAGAATGAACATAATGAACTTTGCGGTGGATTAAAAGTTTAAAATCAACCAATTTACAAATTATCATTATGATTTCTCAATGAGTAAATCCACAACTTGAAAAGTTTAAAATCAACCAATTTACAAATTATCATTATGATTTCTCAATGAGTAAATCCACAACCTGAAAAAGTTTAAAATCAACCAATTTAAAAGTTATCATTATGATTTCTCAATGAGTAAATCCACAACCAACCAAAGTTCATGAATGTGTTTCCCAAACTTACCACTTGTTTATTTTTCCGTCATGAAACCTACTGGCTAGATATCTCAGCTTCTTCTTTTAGATACTGATGGCATTAGGAACCTCCTTGGGATGCAGGTAGGGATAAGGACTAGCTCGTTGCTGGTTCCTCTTATTGATGATTTCACCGATGCGGAGTAAGTCTTCCTTGAAACTGCAGTCAAACCATGGAATTACCAAATGCTGCGTGATTTTGCCTAAGATGCTCCAAACTTGAAATAACAGATATACTCACCAGTAACCTATAATTAAAACCCACAGCTCTACAGACTTAAAACCATGATTATTTCCTTGAATGCATTGGGTCGTTTTATTCGAATAGATCATTTTCGTTTTTCTTAATGTGAAACATTCCTGATGCAGCTTATGAAAGGATCTGCAGCTGAGTTTTCTAAAACGTGTCTTTGTAACTGTCATAACGCTTCTCATTGTCTCCTCTGTACAGGCTACTTCAGGCTTATGAGCTACAGTGCCAAGGGCGCTTTTGAGGAATCCTTGGTGTCATTGCAAGAAATAATGATGATAAAATGACACTCACGCCTTCACTGCTTTGGTGCCAATCGGATCATACAGGTACTGAATTTCGAAGTCACCCAGAGAGTTAGTCCCTCTGTCACTCAATATCTTGGTTACTACCATGACACTCAACGTCATCTCTTTGTGCGGGAGACAATTCAGCACGTCTTGCTCTGTCCGTGGATTCTAAAATGCAGGTGTGTAAAACACATATTGTTCATGATTTCATGCATGAGTCGGTTTGCTGTTTTTGGCACTGTCTGAATCAGTTTAAGAACACTTATAACATGAGAGTGTGCATGTATTTCATAAATGGATTTAGAATAATATGTCGAAAGAACTTTTAATAGGAGAATGGCTTCTTGATCACATCCTAAAGTATTTCACTTAGCATCTTATCTATATCAGTTGAAAAATTGTTAAAGACAAAAAATGTTTCAAAACTGCAGTCTTTCTTCTTAGCAAGCTGTTACCTTGTCCTTGGGTGGTTGTTCATGCCGCATAAACGCAGGATAATTGGGAGGAAATGCGTACTCATCGTATTGGGCAAAATTAGCGGCGGCATGTCCCACGCTGCTTGTGAAGATGAGAGCAGTTACAGCATCAGTTAAATCAACCGTCTTGAGAAATTTCCCATTGCCATGAACGCCCTGTGACAAAAATCAAAAAGAAAATTGCAGTACTGGATAATGAGGATGGGCCAAAAACCGAAGTATCATTCTCTCCTACCATTTTTGTTGAATCAGTTTGGATTCTCGTGCTGTTGATAGTTGAAGTCAGTGACACTATCTCCTATTTGGCAATACGATGACACAAAATTAAGCTCAAACATTATACTTAATTCGCTAATGATGCGCTGTAGATTATGTGAATTCACTTATTGATTTCCCCCCACGTGTCGTCTTGCAGAATTGTCAGGTAATTAAAAACACAGGATATTCTTAGACGTTATGACTTGAGCAACAGGTTGCTGTCGTACCTTGATTCCACATCCTCCGTCGCCATGACTCTTTGTCAGCAGCTCGGCAAACCCTTGTAACTCGTGGTCCGCGGCCAACTTGTCTGGCGAATCTGAAAGTTGAGGCAAAGCATGTGAATAATTACTAGAAAAATTATTCATCTCCTTGTAAGACCTTCTGGCGCTTTCTTGGTGGATTTCTTTTACCATACAAACATAATGATGTCACTATTTGTTTTACGATTGACAGAATTCCTACCATAATGCCCCTCCACAACTTCCGATACATATTTCCTAATAGCCTCATAAAGCAAGACGGCGTCGTCTCGATAGTGGTACTTAGGAAGTGCTTCAGGGTCGTCAACTCCACGGTTCTTGAGGTCAGCAGGGAGGCTGCCCTCAACGTTCAGACGCCATTCGGAGTTAGTTCTTGCGTTGATGGCAAACAAACCCTCACGGCCGATAGACATGCACTCATCAACCCAGCCATCTTTGGAGACCAGCTTAGAGAGTGCACGGCTACAAGTCAGAAAACAAATAGTTTAAACGGTAACCGGGTGTTTCTTGCGCAGAAACTGAATGAATGAATGGTGGAAGATGACGATTACTTCAGGAAACAAATACATTGTCTGGCGTCGGAATTTTGCGCTGAGATGAAATTATGAATCATATCCATTTCTACATAGCAAGGGCTCAGTCCATTAATTTAAACATTTTCAGCACAGATATTTGACTCCAAGCATCTGAAGCTCCGTGGGGTTGCTGGCATTTCAGCGGAACTCGTTTTACGTTACGCACCTATTGATGGCGAGCAGATAAAGAAAATGTGGCGCCAACAGCCTGAATATCGGATGAGAGGGCGAGAGAGTACGATTTGTTGCCACGGCAACCGCCTCCATAACCAAATGAGTGAATCCAAGATGGGTTGCTGATTGATGAAAGGATGCGTCTGCGTTGTTGAACCACATCTTGGCAAGAATCCAAGTGTACTCTGGATCCGTGGGCAGGAAAACCTGAACAGACAAAGCAAAATGGAGCCTGTGTCTTGTGTCTGTTATTCATGGTGTAAGTTAACTCAGAAACTGCACCTTTGGACTTTTCATCTAACTGTCTCTTCATCTTTATAGAATTTTAGTATCAATCTCTGTAGTTAACCTAGAAAGGGTTAAGCTAGAAAATTGACAAGCACATGATACGGAAATGTAACAAATCAAACTCATACCTTGAAAAAGAAAAATTACCAAAACTTGAATCTCTAATACATTCTCAATGCTGAAAATAAGCGCTATACTCAGGAATGGCCAACAACAAAAGCTTGAAGGACTTCAATGCACACTTGAGGGAGGCCGACTACTGAGTTCATGAGTAATCTGATGAATTTCGGATAATACCTGTTCACTTCAACTGACATTCGACTTAGAATAATGGTAACTTTACACCCCTACTTTGCCTCTGAGTGACACAAAGCTTACGCCTACCGGGTTATCGTCAGCAGGGTCCTGGTAGAGTTGGATGGCAACAGGCATCAGGTTTAACTCTTTGTTGACAAAGAAAAGAGCGATGGGAGCACAGATCTAATGTGGATATAAAAAAAAATCAAGAATTCTTTCCAAACACTAACTGTATGGAACAAAGACCATTTGCAGCTAAATCCACAAATATCCAATTATCCTTCCAATATCAAGTCTAGTCTGCATTCGATGTACTTTGTATATGACACGTTGTGCGATTGAGTGAAGTTTGAAAACAGTTCACAGGCAGTTCTTTGTCAAGTGAACTTATCATGGCCAAGCGTGCGTGTTTTACCATAGGAAAGTGCCCATGTTAACAAAAAAGGTAACACCATCAGAGTATAGGCCTGGGACTATTACCTTTCTGCCGTAGCTGCATGGTAGATCTTTGAGAATCTTGTAGTTCAGGATATAAAGTCTCTTGGAGTCAATCGCCTCTTGAATGGTTAAATTTTCCATCAAGGGCTTCAGCATGGCATCATCAACTGCAAGACTGATAGTTTTCATTATCTGAAGTTAGGAACAACTGGTAACACGTATTGGGGCAATAGTCAGTAGCGAGTTTCTAATTTTGATTACTGTGTTACAGTGATTAGATAATTACGAAGAGACAAAACAGATTCTTGGAATATTCGCATCGAAAGAATCGAATCTTTACATGTTTTTCGAAGCCGATGTTATATAATCGGTATTTTGAAGTGCTCTTTGAAATGTCGGTCATGCAAACTCAAGAATTGAAATAGTGTAATCTATCGTACAAGATTTTCACCTATTGTAGAATTCGCCGCCATAAAGACGGAGCTTCAATCTTTAAATTTTTGAAACTTTTAGAATAGGAAGGTACGTATCCTTACACAAAACTAAACTTACTTGTGAGGTATCTCAGTACATCGCCTGATTTGGTTGGGATTACAACCGACCAACTTCTGAGATCCAAACTCAATATCAGATCTCCAATTGTGTGTTCCCTGCCAATGAACATTGATCATTAACCAAAATAGCACCCCTGAGAAGCCTCCTGCTGTTGGAGGATTCCATGCTGTCTGGTTGTTTTATAAAAATAATAAATGAAAGCTGGAATGTTATAAAGCCGTAAAAGCTTGGACTTTCACCTTGGGTTAGTTCCTCTTGGATTTTAAGCTCGAGCAACATTACGAAATCATAATGTAACAAGGGCGTTAAACTTAAAATGTCTACTCAAAACTGTTTTAGAAAGTTGCTCAGCCATTAGTTTTGCAACAGTTTTCTGTGGGACGAATGTTTATAGAAATTGCTATCAAGGATGTCTGCACGCGGACACACAGTAAAGTCGTCTTCATATGAAGGAGCAATAGGCTTGGAAGAAGTGGTGACTCACGTAAGGCAGCGGAAGGCTTTTGTTGTACACTTTTACAATGTCATCCAGGCTCTTCCAAGGCTCTGACGTCAGACCGATTATTTTGCTCTGAAGGAGAAGCTTCAATTTCATCTTAGTGATGTCCCACTGTTCGGAAGAAGAGGTTCTTTACAAAAGTGTTTTGCTAAACTTAACTTTGAAAAAATTTAATCTTAAAAAAATGCCAGACGGCTTAACAGGTTTATACGTTTAACTTTGGCAAATTTTGAAGACTTTCGAGCCATCAACCCGTCTCGGCGAACAGTTTTTAAAGTCACCAGTTTGTGACCACTTCACATAGGCCTAGACGTCGAATTTATTCAAGAGGAGAGCTGGTTTATATAAGTTAAGCTCATTTACCTTGTAATCATCAGAGAATGCCTCCTCATCCGGAAGAATCTTGACCTGAAAGAAAAACATGAAAACTTTGGAACTACAATAACGATTTATCTGGTTTTGCAGTAGCGTCGTAAAGAGTGAACAAAAATTGAAGACTGTGGCTCTATTTTTTATAAGCTGCAGGGTTTTGCAATTCGTACAACAGCTTCGACTATCACTTGTGCTTGTATCAATATTTTGTTTAACTACGCAGCGCACTCGGTAGGTCAAAGGGCAACAACCTTACTTGCGGAAGCAAACCCTCCTGCTTAACCTCCATCTCATATTTCGTCTTCTTTTCCATCAATTCCTGATGGCGTTGTTCCTTGTTCATATCGTGTTGTGGGAGCAAGCAGTCGTACTTGACAAAAACAAGGCGCGTATTTGCCTTGATCCAGCGATGTATAGGGAAGACAGTAGTCTCGCTGTTGGCAGAATCCATCACCTGTGCACAGGGAGAATGGTGAGCACTCAATTCTGATGAAAGTATTTCTTCTCAGCATCATTACTTCTGATACTATTAGAAACAATGACAGAAGAGTGCTTCGTAATATGTGTTTCCTTTCTGCATTATCAATTCGGGGCAAAATGGCCCCTCGAAGCCTCCTCACGGGGGAGACTGTATATTGGCCTAAATTTTAGTTCACCCTTCTGATGATGACTTCCACGGGTAAACTGACCATAAAAAAACAGGCATTGTCCTTTCTTATACTGGCACGGTACGAATTTTTATTCAGGTAAACAAATACTACATCATAGTGAAACAAAATTAAATAGAACTGGCAGACAGAAATAGGTAATCATTCAATTTTGCAGCGGCCGATTCTATGATCTCTCCATCCTATGAAGTAAACTTCTATCCTTCTAAAGTTGCAGAAAATCTGTTAAAAGAGAAATCCCGAAATACTAAGACTAGTTTTCCAACCTAGGGCTGGATGAACAGACTCTCGAGTCACAGTGTTTTTCACTTTTGTTTATCCTGGCCACCCTAGATTGGATTGTCTTTCGTCCCTTTACCCAAACCGCCCGCACCCTACCCTCTCCCCCCTACCTTCCCCAAACCCCTCCCCTCCCCACCCCTTCCATACCCAATCCACACTGTCCCCTCTCTCCACATAGTGCGTTCAGCTGATTGTTAATTTATACTTTTTTATCTCTTTGCATATGTTCATGTGGCGCCTTTTGTTTTGTCTGAACAGGCCGATATGAAATGGCCGAATAAATACTAATAGCAATAGTGATAAAGTTAAATATATAATTGTCATTTGCTTCATAGAGCATTGTTCTGCATCGTTAAATTTTATGGCTGTTTTAAAATGAATTTTGTTCTGCTGGTACATATAATGTGTATTTTTGTGCCATAAATATTCATGTACAAACTGTAGCGCGTCATTGGCCAATTTTGCCACGCATCAGGGAAGTAGAACTGATGCGCGCTAAGGTGACGTCATCCCGGTGAGTATTCAGCTCGCTGCCGTGCGGTAGTATTTTGCTGGAAGCACAAAAAAATTCCCACTGGGACCCACCTGGAAGACAAGTAGTCTGTACACGTAGTTCTCACCAGCCATGCGGAACCCTGCAGCTCCGAACTTTGAATTTTTTATTTTGTCAATTTGCTCATGAATAATTTGAGGTGTAGTAAACCCATAAAGCAAGGAGTGGTCTCCGTAAAGTAAGACTATAATTATGCTCCACGTATTATGTCCATATACTATTGTAAAAGAATTACCCAATCTAACTTTGCTTTCCTTAAGCAGAGTCTTTCAATTGTTCTCTGTGAGAAGGCGTGGTTTCTGATATACAGAAAAAACATTGTTGTTCCAGTCCCTAAGTCAAATCCCCAAATATCGAACAGTTAAGACCTATTGCCTTAACTTTTCTTTTGCAAAACTGGTTGAGGATTCTGTGGTTAACTGGACAGATAATGACATTACTCCTTCATTAGACACATATCAGTTTGGTCTATTAAAGGGATCGTCAACTACTTCTTGCCTTATTAAATTGCTTGACGTGTATAGAGAAACTGACAATCCTAAAACATCTGGCGTAGTTGTCACAACTGATAAAGGCTTTTGATATAGAGTCAGCCACAAGCTGGTTGTGAACAAGTTTTTTTAAGGCTCGGCGTCAGACCCTGCATTATTCCGTGGATATGCAGTTCCCTTCTAATCGATCAAAGTGCCTCCGTTGGAATATATCTGACTGGGTTACAACCAACGCAAGTGTCCCACAGGGCACAAAAATGGCACCCATCTCATTTCTAGCCATGATTAACGACAGCAAACTTGTTAATCCAAGTGTTACTCAATACAAACATGTCGATGACATGACTCTTTTCTTGCCTTTTGATGTTGGTGATACAGCTATCATGCAAAAGTAACTACTGCCTCCAGCATTGGTCTAACAACAATATGATGCTGTTAAATCCGATTAAGTGCAATTTCGTGACTATTGGCTTCCAACAGAATCCTGTTACACAAGTTTTACACATCGGAAGCTCGTCTCTTAATCCAAAGAGTTGTCTTAAACTTTTGGGCATACATGTCCGATCCAAGACAAACTCAAAGAGGGATGCTTAAGTTAACAGTGTGCATAAATCATTTTACCGTAAACTGTATTTCTAAGACAACTGAAGCGTTATAATATACCCATGTGTGTCCTTAGAACTGTTTATGTCCAGTATATTAGGCCTGTTGTAAAATATGGTTCTCCAGTGTGGATTTCTGGCTTGCCCAAGACACAACTAGAAGGTTTAGAGAAAATGCCGAGAAAAGTGTTTTGGATCATCCTCACTAATATGATCACTGCAGAAGCCATACGTACGATACGATTTGTAATGAATTAGACATTCCACCGATATCCAAAAGACTGAAGACGTTGACCTGACTTTTGGCAGGTCACCCGTCAATTCTAATAAATTTTGTGATTGGCTTCCCTTTCTCAGAAATTACAGTATCAGAAATTCCCATCGTCTTACAAGGATTAGTGTAGAACCAGCAGGTATCAAAACAGCAGTGTTCCATCGGCCACCAGGTTACTAAAATCAATGAGCGTATTTTTTAATTTTTGAGCGTGCTCTAACCCATAACCTAGAGTGATTTTGTTTTTGATCATGAAATTAGTGTTTAAAGTTAATTTATTTTGACTTTCAGGACTCCTGTGTTTGTTTTTACTTTCTATGTGACATTTTAGTGTTCTGTTTGGTGCTCCTGGCGTCGTGTTAACAATTTTAGACTATATTTTCGAACTTTTAGACTTTTTATTACTTGCAATATTTATTACAATATATTTATTTTTTCAGCAATAAGTTATAACTAGTGTAAGTGCAATTCAACCTCCGAGTTGCCGTTCTGTATCCGATTTAATAATAATAAACCAATAATAATAACAACAATAACCCGTGAAACCTTATAAAATGTACTCGTTACCAAAATATATAGAAAGCATCTTTACAGCAGACGGTGAGGAACTCATTTGTGCCAAAAAATGTACGAGCAAAATGAGATTTTGCAACCTCCAATTGATATGGATTATAATGATTAACTGAATAACACAGTTTCGCTATCCAGCAGCGTATCCCCAACACCTGTTGCCGATTTGAAAAGAATCAGGAATTGAAAGCACTAGCATTTGAAACGCACCATGTTATCTGGGGCATTGGGAATTCTAATACATGTACAGGTGAAAAAAAAGTCTATTTGGGAAGTACGTAATTTCACCATACCCGGATATGCTAATATCACAATCCTATACCCACCTCTATTTTCTCGACGAACCAGCTATCAAAAAGCCCTCGGCTGTCTCTCCACAGCTCGATCTTATCGATCCTTCCGAAATTGGCCAGATTCTCAACCGGGAATTGATCGGTATTCCCTCTCTCAAAGTCATCCCGCCACAAGTTGTCTAAAGCGATATCCCTTGACCTGATTTGGGCGTCGTTGATCAAGGCTATTTTGACATTGGCATCTGTGCCTGCTCCTTTAACGTCGCCCGTTTTGATAACGATAAGGTAATTTTCACTTGTACTTTCCATAATGTTGAACCGTCAAGCCACGTGCAGACATATACACTCACGAATGTAACCTATTGGGTTTACGACTTGCACCCGCGCGGCACCTTAAGTTCAGTCAGTAATGCGTTGAATAAACGAGACGATCAATTTATCCAGACGGAGCAGGACTTACTGACCCCTTGTCTCAAGCAAATTGCAAGGGAAAACGCCAGGCGCTTGTACAGTACAGATTTCAAAACAAAAAACCAACAAACAAAACAGAAGCTCTTCAACAGGTAGTAGCTAGCACAAACATACACGGCTTCACAAGCATGAATTTATGCTGTAAATCAACGTTCACAGTCATTGACATAGAAGAGCTACCAACCATGAACTGCAGACATTCAGTTGTTAAATGCGTTAGTACATTGCACAAACAAGTTTTTTCCCTAGCGACTCTAGACTTGGCGACTAGTCAGTGATTAGTTTTTTAATTCTCCGTATTATTACTAGAATTACTAGATAACTAGAAATTAGTAGAATTACTAGATAACTAGAAAAATGTGCCGCCGAATATTGGTTGAATAAGATTTTTTCTCTCTTAAGAATTCGCTATCCCCGAGAGAAACAACACATCATGGAGACTGGCTTTGTATATAGTACATGTACCAAACAACACATGCCAAAACGAACGCTGATTGCAAGTACAGTAAGATATCACACGTCAAATTAATACAAAATTTTTGGATGTGTAAAATAGGCCTAATCCAATTCTAGGGCAAGGTAGGGGTAATTGCCACCAGGGGAAAAGGTTTCCAGTTTTGTGCTCAACATAGGGGAATCGTTGGCAAATTTTACGCGAGCACTGTAATTTGTTCAGATTTCAGAGTGGATAAGTTAGATTCTCAGACAACACACGAGTGAGTAACGACTTGTCACCAAGTCTAAAGTGACCCAGACGATGAACTCTTGGTTTGTGATGGAAGTCTCAGTTTCTCAAAAAAGTCACGCCTGGTTAACTTTTATGTGCCGTGAGTAGACAATGGGTCGTATGAAAACTAGCAAATGCTGTGAAGTTCAAGCAAACAGCAAAAACATTTACTGAGAAGTAAAACCATTAAGAATAAGAAAAGGCTATTCAGCAAATGCTATTCAGCATCTACTGGTCTAAATATTAGCAAATGATTTATGATTGTGGCTGACTGCACAGCCGAATGGTTTTGCATAACAGGGCTTCCGTTGTCTGCACGCACAAACGCACGCACAGCGCAACACGGTGCTGTATCTTGAGACCTCAGCATGGCAGATAAGCAAGATGGCAGTAATTTTGATCGCATAAACCTCGATGAAGAAAATTGCTCTACCACTCGTAAATCGGTACAACTGCCTGCATACAACCTTTCCTTTCTAATACGACATTCATGAACGCTGCCATTTTGAACATTAGTAAATGCTCCTCGTTTTCAAGCTTGCCCTGACCAGTCTTCATTTCTCTCTTCATTTCTTTCACTTCCCTTTCGCTGGCCTTTCCTAGTTTTCCATTCTTTCCCCCTGGGGGGTATTACAATAAGTCCCCCACGCTCCTCCCTATCCAATGCCTATAGGGAACTTCTTGTTCTCATACAAGGCAGATAGGTAAAGAAATCAAAACGTTTGAGTTTCCACTGGTTTCCATGGCCCTTTTCCCATTTATGTATCGTCTCGACGCATTTGAATAGGTGTTCAAAAGCCAGCCCGTATACTTCTTCCAAAGGATAAATTATTTTCAAGTGTACCCGTAGCACATAGCTTGAAACTGGAAAGAAAAAGACCCGTGACAGTTGAGATCGGTGTAGTTACAGAATCATATCAACGCAGAGAAACCAGTAGCAAGTGCTCTAAATGTGTGGCCACGCCTTTCGCCATGAATACCGAAACAGTCTGATTTCCACTGTCATGAAAATCTGTTTTGTTTGCTGCTCAGCGTATTTAGGATATGACTGAAGCACAGTGTGGCTTACTAAGTCGTCCCGGGCGGAATAAACCTCAACAGTAATACATGGGTGCAGACCAATAATTCAAGTGAGAATTTCTGGCCAGCTCATTAGCATTAAAAGTGCCCCCACAGTATCTTTTGAACAAGGAGATTATTTGGCCCCCAAAATGGTGAAATTGTGTAAATTCTTGCCAGGATCAACTCCCTAGGTCTTTGAGCTTTCATATGAGAGCAGAATGGCTAAAAATTACGGTTGAAAAATGGTCCCAAGTGCCCGAGAAAGTTGAGGGTTGCCACCTGAAAAATGGCTGCAATCAGACTTCGGGAAAATCATTTTTGGGGGTTGATTTTGTTTTGTGGGAATAATCAAAAATGTAATTGGCTTAAAACCCTGGAACGCTTTTATAAATTTTCTTTACAGGGTCTCTAGACCGGCCTCGCCAGGTGAGTCCGTATCATTTCTCAGGGTTGCAGAGCCCTGAGTCCGTCCTGAAGGTAAATAAATGCTTCAGTGGTTGTCCCCTAGCCTCTACAGCTCTGAAAAACCACCATAAGTACATCACAGTACCGGGGGGGGGCGTAATCCCAGACTATCCGATTTGAGGGGGGGGGGCCTCGACACACGCCAGCCAAGCCACACCACCACCACAACACCCCCCAACCCCCCAACCAAAATAACACTTCAGAGACAGCCGAAAGTTCCAGGCAAGTTCCAGACAGCTGTCACTGATAAAAAACATTCCACTGTCTGCCCCAGGCACCGTTTTGTAAACAATCCATTAGATTGTACACAAGGGGCCACTTAGCACAGAGTCTTATGGGAGTTGGCTGGAGGCTGGCTGGATTTTTTCTTTTTTTTTCTGGCTAGGGGAGGCCCTGGCTGTAAAGTGACTAAACCAGGTTTTTCATCAGGTACAGGGGTAGGATATGATAAATAGTTGTTGCATTTGGACGAAAAAAAACACAATTTAATTAGCTAAAACGGACTCGCCAAAAGAGGCCGCTCATTCTACCGATTTTAAACCACCAAAAATTGAAAAGAAATTGAAAGATTAGTTACCAGACAAGAATTTCATTTGTGTTTCAGAAATCTCAGGGATGTTGGCGTGCATGTTATTGGGCCCTGAACAGTCCTGATTTTACACTGTTTTCAATGGGGATTGAATTAGTGGACTGTACCCACATACGCTTCCATAGCTTTTCCCTATCCTATAAACTGTGTGACAAGTATCACAGTGGCACGTCTAAGTGGCTGAACTGCCAACCCCATTATCATGCTGCATGGGGTACGTCACGTCCCTGCCCAACAGTACTGGCACAGAATTCATTTCCTAGCGCCCTCTATCGCGAAGCATGCGAAAGACGTGTTTAAAGGCGATTATTGAGGACTGGTAATCTGCATGTTGAAAGTGAGTTGCATTTTCATTTTTATGTGTTTGTGTTACGGTGACTATACACACTTCAAGTGGTGTTACGCAAACTCCATCGAGATCCATTAATCATAATCCTGCGAACCTTTTTGCAACTCTCAACTTGATTTAAAAGGGGAAAGTTAACAGTGCCGCAGCCGAAGATGTGATGATTTTGATTTTAAAAAAGATAATAATTACTTCAAAGTAATTTGGAATTTTTTGTCATATAATATTGGCCAACTTTTATGAAATATTTCATTCACTGGTGTCTTCTGATACAGGAATAAAGTATTTTTCAGTCTTGTGATTGTAACAATGTGTTGAGATGTTTGTCACTCACCACTGAGTTGTTTGTCACTCACCACTGAGTTGTTTGTCACTCACCACTATTTTTTCAACGAACCAATCATCTTTCAATCCTGTCGAGTCTCTCCATAACTCTATTTTGTCTATCCGTCCAAAGTTGGGCATATTCCTAACTGGGTAGCTGTCGACGTGGCCCCTTTCCATGTCATTCTTCCATCGGCAGCTTAAAGGGATGTCTCTGGACCTGCACTGAGAGTTGTTGCTCAAAGCGATAAAGACATTGGCGTCCGTGCCTGCCCCTTTAACGTCGCCAGTCTTAACAACGATTTGGTAATCGGGTGGAGAGCTACTGGTGCTTCCTGCGCATGCGTTCCCCATGATGCGGTTGAAGACCTTGATCTGATAGTTCAACTAGATGTTGGGTTGTGAATCCGACTGGTGATACCAATCCGTTGATAACTCGGACACCGTGGCCGAAACAAGACAGGATCTTTGTAATCTTTGACAAACCAAATTCCAACGAAAGACCAAAATCAAGAACTCTCTGCGCTTCCATGAAGTGTGTAATGTACTGTATATGCATTGGTCTCTACCGGGATAACTCAATGCTTTGAGGCCAATTTGTAATATAACACATCAACTATTGAGACTTAAAAACGTTGTCCCGTGGATGAAGCACCTTTATGCACTTGACCTAGACAGTGCAGGGTGCTGCTACAACATTTAATATTCAATTGTTGCCTACTCAACTGTCAAGGATTGGCGAGTTTTCTGTAGCCTTGTTTACCGTTGTTTCCATAGCACCATTGTTGACATCTAATAGGTTTTCGTTCATGGCTCTTTTGTCAGTAATACACGATGCAAGGTTACCCGACTGCGTGATGTGTTTATAATGCCAAAATGTTTAGACATGCACTATAGCTAAAGACTACACTCGACATTGTCCGAGCCGTGGTACTGAATCATCGTCATGCTCTGTTTCGTTATAATTTTAAAACCTGCGTTCGCAGATGTTATACAGAAATTGAAACTACGGACGGAGGTACTACCACGGCCAACCGGCTAAGGTCGACCCTGAAAACTAACGTGAACTTCAGACGTGCAACCCTTCCCCTTACTTATTATTTTCAGCTGGAAAAAAACTTAAACTGGGTGGGATCAAGAGTTGAAAAACATTCGGGAGCATTTCATGACAGGGTACTTCGGTATGAAATGCAGTTATAAGAGGGTCAGTCAGCAACAAAAAAGAATACAAAATTGTTTGGTAGACATTTTTGGGTGCAGTCTATGATTTTGCTTTGAAGTTTATAAAACAAAGCAAGGAGATAATGAGCCAAACATACACTTGAATAAACCTGATTATGTTCCGATGCCTAATGAATCAAAACCGTTATTATTATGTTCTCAAGTTATCAAGAACTTTCGAAAGAGAGAGAGCTCACAATTCTGTCCTGTTATATAAAACAAGTATTTCATGTAGCGAACAAATAAATTTCACCTCTGGAGTTATAATTTGTTAAAATTTGCATTGGCAAACTGGAAGATGAGATCTCAGAGCAGACACAGTAAAAACGGGATAATGTAATCAGTGCATAGAAATTAGTTGACATTTGTATGCAAAGGGCCTGTGTTGGCGGATTAAGCCCTGAGGTCTTCAGGTTTCGTAGTCAGCAGTGACCTGCTTGCGATGTTTGTCCTCTGTTATGTACTTTTCCTCGGGTCGAACGTACTATGTTCAGAGTTGCATTTGATATCAGAAAGCGATGTCAGAATGTGACAAAATAGCTGACTATAAATAGAATTGCCAATAATGTTTTCGTCAACTTTGGTGTGGGAAGGTAGATAAGAATCGCATGTTAATGTACAATGACGTGCGACTATCAGTCATAAACAGCCCGACAATAAGGAGAAATAAATAAAAAATGAAATCATCATCGTATCTGCACAAAAACTTGTATTAAACTCTCGATGGATATTGATCATCTTACTGGCTGTTCTTCATTTTTTATGAGATTCAAGAAAGCTATGACCTGGTACCAATTGAGTTTGTAACTACAAATCCTGTTTTTTGGTTTGCCACGTTTCAAACTGAGGTATATTAAAAGGCCGACTTTTCATTACGTTCCAAACTTGTCTATTTTTTTCAGACAGGAATTTGAATGTAATAGTTGGCTGTGCAAATTCAGACATACGTTGCATAATGAACGGAATGTCAGTATCAATTAATCAATTCTTGTCACGTTAATCAGTTCCACTGCATGTCAAAGGTTTTTCCCTAGATACAAACGCAAGTATTTTTAAAGGCAATGTAGTTATTGAAATTGTCCACATAATGAGCATTTTATGGTGTTCCCAGCGTTCCAAATCTGACACTAAGTATTTTTACAAACTCAATATAATGTTCTGACACCGCCATAATAATCTAGACTGCCTGCCTGCATAATATCCACCAGTCTTAAACTAGGGGCTTTCTTTGTGAAGCTGCTGTTTTCATTACATCAACTCCCAGTGGTGCTTGATATGTACAGACACTTGCAAACTGTGAGGCCAGGCTTGGGAGATCGGCATGGATTTCATTAGTTGCACAAGGCACGTCGTTGCAGCCATCACTTCAAGGCATCTCTCTACTGCGTCTTGTCCAGCAATCACGCGTTCCTTGAGGTGTGACCACTGTCTGTGCAAGCTTGGTTGCCTCTCTCCTCATCATAACACTCCAGAACAGAGAGGCACTCTTTGAGTTTAAAGACATCTTGGTCAGGATTTGAAGTAAAGGGGGTAAATTAAAGACGGTATGAATCGCATGATGTCGTGGCTTAGTTGAAGAACTCTGACTTATTGCAGACAAGAACGTGACAAGGGTTTGCATCTGAAAAGGCGCGGTAGCTTGTTTTGAAATGATCCGGGTTTATTAAAGTACACAAACCTACGGAGTAAAACACGACAAAGCTAACAGTGAGGGGTATCATGCCTCAAGGGCAACCTGCTTTAGCACATGAGCGAACGGTATCAACTGCACACTTAACGAGTGTATTAGAATATATGTTACACAGATAAACCACATGCCATGCTCGTAAATGTTATCAATAAATAGGCATATGAAAAAAGGCACTTCTAACCCTCACTGTTAATGTGTTCCCTTGACAGCCTTAGTGCAACGCAACCCGGCAAATGTGTCAGAGACATATCTACACATGTAGTGAATCTGTCGCCCTCCAGGTAAATCTTCCCCCTGCCTAAGCGTCACTGCGATCCCCCGGTAAATGAGTCCGCACGCAACGTCACAAGTGTACCGCCCAGACTATGCATTTTTACAGCCAAAATAAATGTACAATCGGTGATAAGCGCCACAGAGTCGCTAATGAATATTATTTCACCGGTTAACGTGTCCGAGGGGATAAATCTGGCTATCTGTACCCTGTCTAAAGGTAAAACTTCCTCCACTAAATATGTCCCCGTGCATCATCACAAGTCTAGTACCCAGGTCAAAATAAACAGCTATATCAACCGCCGTAGAGTCGGTAAAACAAATCATTTCCATCAACGCGGCCAGATCGTTCACCAGTACTTACTGTGCACGTTAAGTTGAACCAGTTGCCATACCTCTATTCCTATATGTTCAGAGAACGGCTCGTAGGTACAGCCCATGAGAACGCAGCGTCGTCATTTAGGGTCTGAGTGCTGTTTTCATTTCGTTTGGACTTTGAAACTGGACACCAGGCGCTGAAGAGAGGAGTACAGACACTCTATCAGCGTCATACTATTCGTAGGATGCCCAGAATTGGGAAAAGCGAATACAGCGACAGCAGTTTGGCTCAGAAGAACTCCTTGGTTTTATGGTAGCTGCAAGATGAGGAGAGGCGTCTCACTGGTGATATAGGGAAGATCACGTATCATCTTTTGATCAATGAACGGGTCTGCGTGCGCTCCAAATTGGCGTTACGGGACCCCTTCATCAGATGTAGTCGATCTTGTGTTCGGCATATGAGCTTGTTGTTTCAAGAAGCAAAGGCACGGGTGGCTAGAATGCTGGAACGCAGTGCTGCACATCTTGCTTTTGGAAACTGGCGAGGATTAATCATCTTCAGTACTTGGAACAGTGGCTGGATTTTTCATCACTCTAGGTGTGTATCAACTTATTTCAGTGTAGACGGTACTGAGTCCGTATCAACAAGAAGACACTATGTATTGACTGATTGAACGATATCGACAGGACTATCTGGTACATGGCAAACAGCTAAGACTCATTATCTTAATACCAACTGTATACAATAATACCAATTTTCATAGATACAAAGTCGCGCAATATGGCTGACTACAATAGCAGCTTTTATACGAAATGACTGTGACTGTGACATGTTTAACAGCCAGAACCACAATTTATTGGAGATATTACATGTATTCGGCATTCGGTTTACTTAAGCAAAGGCAAACAGGTCCTGAAGAGCACGGGCAGGGTTATACTGTATGCAAAGGGCTTTACCAGTATACCGATCTTCAGTTGTCAACGTCCACAAAGTTAGCGGTAGTCTTTAAATCTTTGAATATTATTACTCTCAAGAAATCTCCTTTCAAAAATATTTCCAATCTGTTTATTCCATTTTTAGATGAAGTATGGCCTGAAAAACGATCACCCTGCATATGGAATAAATATTTGAAATGAACTTCTTAATCAACCGGCAACAACTTAGCAAACACAGCCTACCAGCAAGAGATAAAGCTCTGGCTCTGCTGCATACCGGCAACAATTTAGCAAACACAGCCTACCAGCAAGAGATAAAGCTCTGGCTCTGCTGCATGGATCTCAACCTAGACTGGGTGTTGTGAAATTTAAAGTAGCTTTATTCGATAAAGTGATTATGTCAAGAATTTGTGAGGGATGTAATTTGCTTGCGCTCCGCAGTGGCGAAGGGATAATACGTTGAAGTGGCACTCGGAGTGAAGGCTAATGTGTTTGTTCGCTCCAACTGCACAAGACCGATGGAGCGTCTAATGGTGCATGATTGCAATAATGTTATGGTAGAAGCGGCAGTAAGCTTGTATAGTTGACGGTGTGATGTGCCGTCGACGGAGATGCGGAGGGCAAGCTTAATATGTGGCACTCCTAGAAGGTTGTACCAAGAATGGCATACCGTGAGGGCCAGGGATTGGAACAACAGTTTAGCCCGAAGAGACCCGAGACTGATCTGTCTGGTGCACTAAGCTTGACCGTGGAAGCAGTGACACTAATCGGAAATATCTTCCCCACTTTAGTGGCGTTTAAGCTGAAGAGGCAAGCCGAACGCACCGCAACCGATCTCCTGATCGGCTCTTTAGCAGTGACGGACATTATGGCTGTCTTGATGCCTCTACCGGTATCTTTACCCAGCTTTATAGCCCAGGATTCATGGACTGGTGGCAAAAGTGCCTGCTTGTATTATCAGTTCATGGTCTTCTGGCTACAGAACAGTGCCATGCTGCTGGTAACAGCTATGGCTCTCGAGCGTTTTTTGGCCATCTGTCTGCCTATGCGGTATAAAAGATGGACAACAAGAACTCGCGTACGGATTACAATAGCCTTTGTCTACAGCTTCGCCTTTCTAATTTCATGCCTTCCATTCTTCGGTCTAGCACCCCCTGTAGTGCTGGTGAAGGGTGACGAGAACACTGACTCCTCCAAAGCTCTTTGCCGGTCTTGGATATCCTCGGGACCAGACCACTGGCACCAAAGTATATTTCCAATGGTATTAATACTGGAAGGTTGGATCACCATGGTCTTGGTATTAAGTTTAAACACTTGCATCATTCGGCGACTGACAAGATTCAGAAGACGATTAGAATCGTCCGTAATTACCTGTCCGATGAGGCCGAAGGATAGGCAAGCTGAGACAAATTGTGACGGTGCAGGGGAAGCGGTGGCCAGCCCGTCTTCATGCACTGTCGATGGACGCTCCCTACGGGAATTCTCCAAGCTAGTTATCGCGGTTACAGTTCTGTTCTATTGCACCTGGCTTCCTGTCATGGTGAGTATATCGACGGTTGCACTGAACAAATTAAAATTACAGTGTTTTCGCATTATGCCGTCAAGAGGCATCACATTTAATGTTAGCTTATAAGTTCTTTTAATTAGCGGAGACCATTTTTCAGCGTGACCTATCTGTCATATGCAAGCAATCACAAAGCTCAGTGTAGCATCAACTCTATTAAGTTTCTTTTCAACTTTATCCTGTCCAGCAACCTGTATCCTAACCCTAAAGGCAAAGTCAAGAAACAATCTTTGTAGAATACATGACTATTTGGGCGCGGTCATTTGGACATGTATCTCGATATAGGACGTGTGTTTCGCATCAACGATTCCAGTTGTGAATATAGTTCGAATACGGGCCATTCACAATAGTGCGCTTTCAAGAGTTTGAAACGCCTTGACCAATCACAGTGCGCAAAACCTGTCGACAATCTCCAAACGAGAATTGGGTCGACAGATTTCGCGCACTGTGATTGGTCAACGCATTACAAACTCTTGGAGGTGCACTATTATGAAACGCCCGTATTATGTACACGGAAGGATGTTTGTACTATACATCGATACATTTGTTGTAGTTGTTTTTGGGGGGGATGTGATAGTGATTCATTTCTACACACGGCAACTAAAAACGAGAAAAAAGATGTGTTTCAAGCTTAGGTTTTTGTAGAGGCGTCTTAGCTCTCAACGATTCGGTGATCATGATGTAATTTACCAAGGGGCATACACCGTCAACCTTGGGACTTTTTCATCATCTCAGTCAGAGAGAAACTTCAATTTAATTACTACAATGGGTTAGGTATTAAACTTTTAATACTGCACCTCAGCACTAAGGTATAAGTAAATGCTTGGTTTGATGATAGAGATGATAATTTGTGTCACTTGTAGACTAATTTGGGTGAGTGGGTGGACCTTTTGAGAACGCGCTGCCTTGGTTTCTAACTTGGTTTCCACGAATATATTTCAGCGTTTTACTTACTAAAAAATTGGACTCGAAAACGTCTAGATGGAAAAATTATGATTGATGAATTAGATCACGCAATAGGCGCCGTGCAGTCAGAATGACGTGATTAATAATGGCAATTCTGCGTGACCTATACCCTGTCGTGTTTGCACAACTTTATTGGATTTGCGTAAATTACATTTAGGCTTACAGATGTAAGTTAGCCCTAACGCTCCTAAATACTCCGACAGGTGAAGGATTGTGGATGGATGAGGTTCATGAATAGATTGTGAGATAGGACACACAGGTTAATAGCTAATTTGAGTTTCATTGTCATAATAACTGTGGTCTGGCATAATGTGTATTGCTCTCGCACATCTTGTTTTTCCTCAACCAGGCTTCAGAACGTTTCACAGACACAAAAAACAAGCACAACTCTACAACTATAAAAGTATACTATTGACGTCAGTCAAGGGGCAAAAGACGGATGGATGGTAATTTCGGTTTCTGTCAAGTCAGTGATTGACAAGCGCCTAAAATTAACACATTGATTAAAGTTTGCCTACCTGGTGAATGTGAAGCGCAGGAAATCAACTCTTCACTGGGTACATCATCCCGAGGGCCGCTCTGTTTGCAAAACAAACCCAAAGAATGTTGTTATTAAGAGGTTGTGACACAGTAATAGCCAGCCTAAAAGGTGTTCATCGGAGAGCTTAAGCAGTTTTTTCCTCGATAAAGGGAATCTCCATTGCAAAATAGAGGATTTTAACTTTTCAGAAACATTTCAATGTTCTGGATCGACGTTGCTGCATTTTATGGACGGAATCGGCACCTAAACCAAGCCGTCTTTACTCATTTTTGCTTAACACTCATTATTTCACCCCTTCCCCATCAATCTTACCGTTTTTGTATGCCACCGTGACAACTTAAGCTGTTGGAAGCAAAACACCTAAACGAAACATAATAAATCAACGCTTAGCAATCCTGCCCCAATCTTTGCAAAGTCACGATTTCTTTGGGACAAACAAGTTGAACCATAAAATAAACGATTCGTCACGTGCATAATTGTATTTCATACGAAATTCGAGCGAAATGCTGAGGCGTTTGCTGGTTGGTTTACCTTGGTTAATAATTACAAACGGCTTCAGAATAACAGGTGATGGATCTACAAAAATGCTGATTCCATTAACTGGAATAGACTTCAGAAAACTGAATAAAATATGAGACATGATAAACAATAATAACCTATATATACAAAATGTGTTAGAATCAAGACAAATGAGCTGTTTCTTTCTCTGAACAAAAACATGGCTCCTTTCATGCTAAAGAGAGTCAGCCCCATTCTTATCATCTGTAAAAATTCGAAGTTATTAGTTACCAGAAAATGCTAAATTATTGAAGGTTTCTGCAACTTTTGAAAAACGAAATGAAATCTCTTGAGGCTTCCTTGAACCCAGCCAACCACTCAGCACCCAAAGAACATTCACCGGGGTAATGCAAGACTGTGATATGATTCATGCCAATGTCTTATTTTGTGAGAGTGGGCTGTAACATGTACTTCAGACCTTTACCCTTCATGTATCTTGTCTGACTCAATCTGAAAGATTGCAAGCTGCTGGTAGATGGGATTACACCAGATATCCGGCGTTCATTTTCACAGCTGGATGTAATGGTCAACACGTCTCACCCGTAAACCGGTCAAATCTCTTCAGCTATATGTATTTACCCTAGCCTCGTGCTCAGGCATAGGGTCTGCACTATCTTGACAAGTCCTCGCGGCGCAATGGACTTTGGATTGCTCTGCCCCACTGTTGCACCTCGTCAAGTCTGATGAATGGCCCCGTCCGTCTTTGAAGAGATGAAACACACAGGATCGCTGCGTTGGGAATTCATTGCGCTGGTTGTAATAACGCGGGAATATCACAAGCGTTTTTACAGTCTCAATAAACAAGAACGCGTTTCAAAAATTTGGCTGGCAAGTTTAACAGAAAGGGGGTGTAATGAAAATTGAATGCTTACACGCACAGAAAGTCTCTTTCTTGTCAGGTTTGTGCCTTGAAAATCTATACTTTATTCAATATTGTGGTATTTAATGAATATTAACTTTTGGTGTAGTTTATTGGATACATTTTACAAGCGATTCTCGATATTGGTAAACAACGTAAACAGTTCGATAAGGAGATAAATCTCCTATTCAGTAAAGAGAATTAATGCTTAGTCCCAGGAATGATTCATATTGAAGCTCAAACGTCCCACTTAAAACAGAATCATATTAAAAGTCGAAACACGTTCACGACACCAATAATATCTTATTTTTCTCGCTGTCAACATTCTTAATGTCCTGTTGTTTAGTGAAGCCTGGATAATTATCTGCAATCTAAAAATAAGACATGTATATGTGAACAATTGCCTAGCAACTGTGAAGTGAAGTAGGCAAAGCTCGTCACTGTCTTCTATAAATTGATACGTGTTGGAAACGTTTTTCCCCGTGGATACCGTAAAACTCATGAAAAAAATACATATTCCGTAACACCGAGCATTGGTTTCAAATTTTAAAACAAAAAGCAAAAACATAAAGGAACGGAAGAACCCGACGATATAACATCAGACAATAAACAAACAACTGAAATGAATTAACCGTGATATTATGAATTGCTGTTTGTGGGTTGTTCCTACAAGACGAGTTTAATATTAGTCAGTAGCCCAACATTGCTACGAGCTTCAAAATCACTGTAATTTTCTAGCAACAACCTGATTCCTAATACATTATCCAAGCCAGACAAATCTTTTCCGTAAGTACAAATCTCCTCGCTACCAGCACTGTGTGACAGGTACCTGCTAAGTGACTTATGAATTCATACATAAAATAAACTACATTCTTTTCAGCAAATGTCACAGATGTGTTTAGCATGCTGTTTATTTCTACTAATATGTTACACCTGACATTTCGATACCTGTAGGTTATAAAAGCATGCAGACACGTTTGTCTGTGGGGAGATTATATCTTAACATTATCATTAAAAACACGAGGATTTTCATGGTAAAATGTATTTTCGGTTCAGATTTTAGAACTATGAAACTGGTTCCGTTTCTGAATCGACCAAGGGACAGTATCACATGTAATCGACGTGACTCACAGCTATAGCTGAATGCAAATAAGCTGACTACAGATGGAGCCAAATGCACCCGAGTTGACGCCAATGTAATGGGAGGACTGATTGACTTCCTGTAAGTTTCAACCACGAAAAAATGCGGATGTTTCCTCGATCAAAATTGTCATTCATTTGTAACCTTTCGTTTCAGAGTTCACAACTGATCCACAATCCTTTAAAGGCTGAAGCTTAAAATCTCAAAATCAACTCCAACTGACAGAAAGAGACTGAAATAGCCATGCAATGACGTCATGCGCCATATGGACATAATTTGTTCAAGATTTGTCGGCATTTGACTCACAGGTACATGAATGCACAGGGTATCTGTACATTGCATTTGTTCTCAAGATAAATAGTCACAAAACACACGTTTGTGGCAGATTGGAGTGATTTCTTCTGCGCTGCTTGGAGCCTCGAGTGTCTGGTTAGTGTTAACTGGTTATATCGGGAGTTGGAATTTAATTTAAAACATTTAACGAAGAGGGGAAAATTGCCCGGGCGCCCTTTACGATGACTGCGATCTCGAGTCCGTACACTTTTCTTCAACATTGTGTGGTCCCTTGGGCTTTCTTATGTCTTCAAAAGATTGTAAATGACTTATAGCGAACATTGAAAGCGTTGCTAAAATAATTATCAAGCCATCGCGGTAACAATTGCAAAAAAACCAAAAAAAAAAACAACAAACAAACAGAATATATAATCGTGTTACCATATTGCCGAAATTTGATTGATTTCTGAGATACCGTACATGTACATTTTGGTGGGCAAAATGCTTTCGAACAAAAGCTGATTTTTTAATATTTCACACATATTAAAGTAAGCAGGAAACTAGCATACATATACATAGCAACTGATTCCATCTTCAGTACAATGTATATGTGACGTGGACATTGTAACTAACCGTTTCGATTTGTAAGCTGCAGGACTGATGTAAAGAATTAGCCAATATATTTGTGGAAACTGGAAACATGGATCTAATGACGGCACCGCCCTCTTGTGGGGCTTCATTTTATATCTGATTACCGAACGTACGATTCCTATTATCTAAGACCATCATGTACTATGATGACATAAAGTTTATTCTTAAAATGGTTTACATTTTGTTACCCCGAGCTTTTGCGAGAAAGTGCAGTGTGCTAAACTTAAAGCTGTTGCAAGCGGTTTTATAACAAATCAATACTGATTTCATCATTTGCTCATTTTATGCAAATCTTAGCATTTTTGAACAATCTTCAAGTTTTCTACCGCAAACCTTATTCTTAACCCTCTTTCTACTGGCAGTAAAAACTAACGTCAAGCATAGCTGCATAAAAATAAATAGATTGAAAATAACAGACGGAAAAATGACAGCCACTCAGGCTAAAAAGCCTTGAAGTGACCAGTGGAGATGGCCGAAATATTAGGCCGAGAATAAAGGATTAAATAAAAGGATACAATATTAGGCCTAAGAATAAAGGCAAAGAAGAAAATTTAAGAAATGAGAATAGCGCAGCTGTTCATTCAATTTCCGACATGACAATCAACTTCCGTTGATAATCCTAGGCTTTCGTCTTTCACAGCCTCTTTTAAAGGCGGTGCAATAATGTCTCGTGTCTCGTCAATGCATGGCTTTTTTCACCTGCCATTATTTCATACATACATATCTTTCGTACGTTCGCTGGTGTCGTTAACGTGTGGGCTGCTTCGTCACACACCTCAGCGCTCTGAACTAGTATGCAGATGGGTCTGATTTATTTCAAGTGACGCAAGGAATGATCATTGTAAGCCTTGGTATGACTACGGTAGTACTACCAATTATTGATGGAAAGACAACCATTACAATTATAATTCTGCCTGTCTACAATTATAATTCTCTCGCGTGTCTATGACATGCGATGACCAGAATTAACCCACATATGAAGGTGCAGTAAACTGTTGTAAGCATGTCATTTAGAAGACAGTCCGAGTGAATTCTAGTGTTTTCACGGCCGCATGCTTGGTTTCGTTTCAAATTTCTTTCCCAACCATCGAAGAAAATGGCTGTGTTTGGTTGTTTTGGTTTTGTTTTGCTTTTTTTTTTAGTTTATTTCGTTTTCACTTTATTTATTTTCGTTGGAGTGGCGCACCATGTGAGGCCGTGCCCACGAATTTATTGGGACCATAACCATGACAGTTTCAGTTGATTTCCTGCTTGCATTCCGTGGGATTAATTTCCTTGAGAACAGATCTGAAACATTTGACAGCTGTTACGGCAATTTCCCTGAGACCAGTGTTTGTCCGAAAATAAATACACATTTTTCATAATACCAACTGTCAACATTATCAGAAGGAAATGGGAAGACGCCCATGTGAAAGGAGCTCTCGGTAACAAAACTTCCCATTTACAAATAGCAACTTAATTAAAAATAAGTGGTTGGTAGAATGTTTATGTGCCAAGAGTATGGCAGACCGTACTAAAGCTACATCACCACATGTAAGGGAGTTCCTGAAATTCTTCTGCTGATTCAAACTGAATCCAATATGCTGCGCGTACTTTTATTACCTTTTCTGTCCCAACGAAGGTCCTTGTTATCTTTCCAAAATCTAATAAACTGCCTATGGTTTTCCACGGCGCTTTGAATTAAATCGCCAGAAAGCAGCCACGAGGAAACTGTATGGTGTGTCCGCTAAGATGCGGATGTCATTCATTATTTGCTCTCCCTTCTTCCAGCATTGCGACACTAATCTTGTCCGCCAGTCGTCACTTGTTTTAGAGTTTCTTATCTGCCTTGAACGCAACCTGCAAACGGAAGACAGATCGTGTCTGACGTTGCAGTAGACGAGAGGAACATCCAGGAAACAGCACATGAACAGCGCCCTCTAGCAAGTCATGTTCCAGTTTTCGCGCCGGAACACCGTAGTGCTTACCAGGAAACTGACACAAGTCGGTCACAATTAATCGATGGAATTGGCGTCCCGCAGTGGAATGCAACCCATGTAATTGAAACGTCCTTGTTTTTTCTTCTCTTTTTTTTTCCTATCAGTGTGGATTTCAAGAACGGGACAGAATCTGTAAACGACAGTTTCGAGATTAGTACCGCTGCTCTCGAAATCGCCAGAAAGATAAAAAAATAATAATAATAATAAAAAAAACAAAGCAAGGCAGTTCTCCCGCCTGCCTCACTGCGGATTTTATTTTCCCTGACCAGGGTACAATGCACAACTATAGATACAATAAGAAATACTTAAAGAACTATTAGACAGGTTTAATCAATCGACCCTTCTAACAAAGAGGTTTACATGGCATAATATGGTTTGTGTAAGCTTCTGATATCACAATTCACAAACTGAAAATGGAAAAATGAAATGGAATTATTTAGCTACAGCCTATCGTTTTAAAGTGTCCATGGATGTCAGCGCAGGGTGTGTGTTGAAACAACAATATTAAACAATAGACAAACCAGTTTTATAATTGCCCGACAGACACAAAGAACATACATGTACTTTCTGAATCTAAGTATATGTACTGTGATGTGAGGTAATGCCCAATGTGGGATCACTACAGTTTAATACACCATCAGCACGTTCAAGGTTGAGAATGTACGGCAGCTATTTCGAATTCTAGCATATTAAATTCTACTTTGCTCGTCGTCCAGCGCCCAAACAGCGCTGGGAAGGACTGACGGCCTTGCGCAGGTTTTAGTGAAAGAAATATGTCAGACTGGGTCACAGGTAACGACGCACAGAGCATTAATTTCTGCTGGGCGCGCGAGCTCGCTCAATGCGTTACACAAGCGGCGGTTATCAATTCGATATTTTTCTTCTTTTTCTTCCTCACTGCTGACAATATTTTCACTACACTTAACTCGTTCATCATCCAAAATTGATCAAGATAACCAATGATTTGAAATATATCGCCAAAAGACGCGTGATCAGTGATACTTAGAAGATAAATAACCATAATGTGATTGTACCAAATTATTCTACCTGTATCCGCGCAAGCACTGTTGTAGCTTTACTCCAAAGCGTGAATGTAAGATTCAGGCCTCCACGGTCTATGGATTTGTTCAAGCTGAAAACCACAGGGAACTTGCTGTGACGATTATTCGAGAAAAAAAAAATCATGGTATGTCTTTGATTATCGTGAGTCTACCTAGGGGTTCTTTGAGCGGCTTATTAGATAAGACAAAGCAATGAAATGCTTCAGGGAATCCTTTCTGTGTAATTATTCTTGGTTTTACCTGCCAGCACTGCACAAATTAAACGTAGTTTTCGCTAATTCCATTTTAATCATGATGATACCTGGGAGCGATCACGCCAAGCACTGAGCCAATTCACAAGAGGCCTGATGAAGATGCTGTCTTCAATTATCATTTCAATGAAATTTCAAGAAAGGGTGAGATGGGAATGAACAAGGGTAACCAATAATCTGTTTGTGAGGCCAGAAATAAATCTTATGATCTTTTGTAAGGCTGGTTTTGTACAAAATGTTGGAAAGTCTAGTAAACAAACGAGACATTTCCGGCCTAACCAACTACAACACGTCTGTCTGTGGTAAACGATATCTCGCCTGGAAATCATTACCTGCCGCACTGCTGTAATTTCTGAAATCCTATACCCTAATGCTACTTTCAATAGTGCCAAAGAGACGTCCATATTACACGCATACTGTCATAACCAATCTCAATTTACCAGCATTAGGTGTACTGCTCTTTCTGGTACTCGTCAGCCATTCAACCCCGCGTAGTTTCGACATCCTGTATTATCATTACTCAACCTATATGTCCTCTTCAATTTCCCTCTTACATTAACCCCTTTCATTTTCCAGCGCCTGTCTTTTAATATGTGGATATAAAACAAACTGACATTAGATCACTACATCAATTCAATGATTTTTTTCTTAATCCATACTTCACTTTTTTACGTGTATACGTATATATGTAGGTTGTCATGACGCTGACGCAGTCTGGTGTGGTTGTCAGTCAACTGGTGGCAGTCTATGCCGTAATGAGCACAACCCTCAATGGACTGCTGAATCCATTCGTGTATGGAGCCCTCAGTCGACAATACAGACAGGGCTATTTCAGCCTGATCAACAGCCTTTGGGCACTGTGTGGCGTGCACGGGAAATGCAAAAGTAAGAATCTGCCTTTTTCGTTTTAAAGAGCGCCATCTGCGGTCTTCAACAGAGCAACGATTTCATTTTGGACTCCTCCTAAGGGAGTTTTGATAAACGGCAACTGGAATTGTGCCAGCAACTGCATGTGGAAATGATACCGACTTACATCTGTGCATAGTGTTGTACGCTTTACATGAAATACTAAAGTCTGAATTTTGCTCCAGTTTCTCTTTCGTAAAGGCAAGATTAAATCCATTTTATTAAGTACATTTAATTGCAAATAAGATGACTGGAACACAAACGAACTAGATGTTCGCAGTAATTGATAAAACATCTTTATAATTTATCTTCTATTTTCAGGATGTGTGTCCTCTGATGCTGAATCCGAAACTCAACAACAAAGTAACACTTCATCGTACAAACAAACCACGCATACCTCGTCAAAATGCATTAATATTACCGTCAACAACACGCCAGATGAGCAACCACATCAAACAAAGAATGTGAATCGAAAGGAAACATCTTTATGAAAATTGGGGGGTGTGGTTGAGTGGAAGAGTTTAGTTGGATGAGGGCACTAATGCTCAAGGAAAGCTCCACCCGTTCTTGGACGGAAATCATACGGGAGCCTTCATTTTATATTTTGTGCTTGAAATGATATCATTATTACTGGTTTCACATTGATTGCTTTATCACGCGCACCTTTATGTATTTTGGCATTAGTCAGTTCCACATACTAGTGACCATGTGGTTTATGCTTGCTATTTCGATTTTCATTACACGGTTGCATCAAACCTATACATTTAGGCACAGGGGAAATAAGGATGTCAAATCTACTGATATTTATCCTGAAGATCACGCCACAAATCGTAGTTCGGCAGGATTCCATAAGCTTCCTTTTCCAAATAACCTACCTTCCACTGCTCAACTGATGTAAGTCGAAAATAATTCCCTTTTTCTAATCAATTTTTGCCAGGCAGGAGGATGATCTTCTTAGCATTAATGCAAATCTTCATGTCTACAACTTATTTTCAATCCAAGAAGAGCTACAGGGAAGGTGTACTGAGAATTGCATGCACGGATTAAAAATGAAGATGATGACTGCCATGGTGTGGTTGAATTTGATTGGCGATGTGTGACAGCTGTAAAGATATGGACGGTGATAATGAGAGTAGTGGTACTGGCAGTGATAACACTTTATTACGGTTTCAATAAGGACGGCTGTTTACTGTCATAAGGGCTATGAGAACACGTATGATAGTAATGATAATGGTGACTGTGATGTAAATAGCCATGCAGATACATAATGTCTTCAATTCTTGTTTGTTTTTAAGACAAACGGATGAATATCAACTTTACAGAGCTCCTAAGCAGAAAGCCTTGTTGGGTAAAATTATGTGCTAATCAAAACCAAACCATACGCCATTTTTGTATTAGGCCTATATCACGCAGTATTTTGCTAGTAACCTGTTTTGGGCATGGGCAAAACCTTTCTATGAAAAGCAAATTTCTCTGCAAAGCAGCTCCATGATACTAGCCCCGGCAATGTTGAATGGGTCTGTGCACGAAATAATATAATTGTATGTAATTGATGGCACATGTAAGTACGCTGGTGAAATGTCACGAGAATTATTATGCGGTGAGATTGAAAATAAGGCCAAAGACAAGGCAATAAAGGATTGTGCAGCGAGAACATCAGTGGGTGGTGTAGGGAAAGTGCAGAAAGGATTAAGCAAGTGAAGAGGTTTTATGTATAATGTAAGACCAGTTGAAATGCGGTAAAGATTAACGTTTAATAAGAAGATGGTATATAGATGTAAATGAAGACCGAATGAAAAGCAGTCACTTTCATGAATAAATGGATTGCTTTCAAGATCTCCTGGCTTACTTCTAGATAAACACTTGTGTCGCACTTTAGTTTCCACAGACACATCATAAGTGCTACAACAAGATAGGTATGGCTGATGCCAAGTTCTGTTTACAGTCTTTCGCCCCCGCAAAATTATTTTCTTTCTCAGCCAGTTTGGAAGCTTACTGCGGTACGACGTGATTGATTTGGAAGAGGGCACGGAGTCTATGTGGTGAGTCTTTCGAGAAAGTGATAAATGATAGGCGAATAATTGCAAAACAAACAGACAGAGGGAGCTTAAGAACAACAGCAAAGACTAGATGCAAGGATAGGCATGACGATAGCCAAATTGAGGGGATATCCTTAAACAAATGTTGACGCGATTGTGTGAAGTTGAAAATGTGTCAGCAAACAAAGTAGAAGATAATACACCGTCCTGAAATTTTTTAACAAGTTCACAAAACTTTTGTTCAGCAAAAACCCAAGTCCCCAAGATCTCGTGATTAGACATGTGCAAGTTTTTTTTCTTTTGCAAATGTGATAACCTGACCGGCAAGATAAACTTTAATCTGCCTGGACATTAACATTTGGCGGTGACACTGTTGCATGGGAAACCCTCCCAACAGATGCCTGCAGCCTGAGCGATATTGGAAGAGATACATAGGGCGGAAATGAAAGAGAACAGGCCTACGACTAAAGAAAATGAGGCAAAAGGGTTCTAAATAGCAGCGTCGAAAGAATGGAGGTAGTAGACATGGGAAACTGTTTGATTATAGAAAATTAGAAGGGAGATTGTGCGCGTGAGGACGGTGGTGACAGTAAACAGACCTCGATCATGACGAACAGCGATAGCTGTCCGCAATTACTGCTGGGGATAATGAGAAAATGAAGACACGAGGGAAGGATCACTGTGTCCAGTTCGTAAGTGACTTCGTCAAAAAGGCGGACGCGACACGATTTTTTAGGCTCCCGTTGGACAATTGCTGACGTTGCGCGTTAACTTCCAGTTCCATGGTTCCATGTAAACGGCGATCAATGCATGTAACCCTGTGTGCAGTGCATGTGCAGTGGGCGTGGTTAAAACGGAAGTGACGTCACACTTACGAACCAGATTCTGATGAGGGAGATGATGATGATCTATGGTATAAGGAGAACCGATGAGATGCGTTGGGGGTTTATGTCTTAAGACAGTGTGACCATCTTGTTTCAACATTATAAAAGACGTGATGAATAAAAAGGTTCGAAGAAACTGACAGTCGTGAGAAGCTTTTAAATTGTGCATTGGGCGATGAGCATGTATAAGCCTAAGTTGTTTTGACCCTATATATGTAGTTTCCAAACTTATCATCGGTTTGTGCTGGGACCCTCAACATTCTGTCAGACAGACTTCAATGGTAAAATGTAAAGATGAGGATGTTGAAGAGTTGAATTTCTTAATGTGGTATTGAAGGTTATGAGGACAACGTGTTCTAGCGACGATGATTAAATAAGTGGTGGTGAAGAAGGAAGTAAGGGAGATGCTGTCCCTGATGATGGCAGGTGTGGTACTAGTGGTGATGGTGAGGGTGTCAATCGTGATGTGGTATGGCGACAGAAGCAACGATCAATTTAATAACAAACATGAGTTAGTGGTGGCTGTGGTGAGAGTGTAAACTGATGGGCTGATTATGTTAACAGTGATAATGATTATGATTTGCGATGGCGAAAACAAGTATAGTGAGGTGGTGATTGTGGTGGTGGCGGCGGGTGTTATGTGGTTATAGATTAAGTTACGTCTGTTGAATTCTGCAATAGCCATGTCTGGTTTACAATGCTTTTATATCCGTTATGTTCCATCTTTGCTGGGTCAATGTTTCGACAATTTTGTGCAGAACGAAACGACAATAAATACCACAATGAATGAACTTACTAGTGGTTGTGGCATTGTCGGTTTCCGTTTGTTAAAAATGGCTGAAACGTTCCAATGGAGCGTCTTTTGATGACCATAGATTATGCTGAATTTTCTCCTTTTTTCAGCTGAATAAACAACAAACCAAATCCAAAAGATTTACTAAATGTGTCTCCTGAAGACGGACAGAGTACACTGTTCGAAACGTCGAGTTATTCCCCGGTTCTTCTCAGAACCACACATACTCAAAGAAGAGATAAATACATGGTGTTACCGCAATCTTTACTATAGATTTACTTAATGTACTCCAAACTTTAGTACAATCACAATATTTCATTTCTTTCTGAACATAGACTCTTCCTCTATAAAAAAGAAGACTTCATAAGGAAAACGTAATGCCGCATTAAAAACCACTACCATACTTTGAAAATCTTAAGTTTGAATTTCTGTAATGCAACATTTTTATATGTACTTATAGGACAACTGACTCCTTAAAGGGGTTTTGAGGTAGCGTTTTACTTTTGCACGAATTACATTGTTATAGGCAGGAAGGCAATGGTGAATCTACGTCAACGTTGGCTAATGAGAACCGACTGAAATGGGCAATTGGCGCCAATACGCAAATACACCGCGTCATATGGCCTTTGTCTCAGCTTTCGAGAGACCATTAGCGATAAGATGAGCGGTATATTCTCAATTTAGCTAGAAATGAAAGGCAATAAAAAGCGTCCTTGGACAATATATACAACTAAGGTTTAATTGGAATGGGTTATTAGCGAATACTTCGGCTACATATCCAAACAACAGTCAATAATAGATAAACAAATAATTGTTTTTAAAATTATGGTTCTAGTGCTGAATGACGGAATTCAGTAGGAAGCCTTAACGTCTTTGTAAGGTTAATTTAAAAGGAGTTGGGCCTATTATCTCTGGGGCTGCATACTGTCATCTAATTTCCAAACAGTGGTACTTCCTACATGTTATCCTCGAACACTAATCCAAGTTTCGTGCACAATCGGTCAGAAGAGAAATCAGATGGATTTACGTCAACTTTCGCCGTAATTGTCTACAGAGTGACTTCACGTCACAAAAATGGCCTCCATACATGTATTTTGATTAAAGAGACCATTATCAGAATTACGTAGAATCTTGGAAGAAGGGGGTCAATCGCAATTCTCTCACAAGGTCGTCATGAAATTGTCGAGAACCAAGCAAGCGCCTGCAGGCTTTGCATGAATTATGCAAAGTTCCAAATAACAGTTAATATACTCCAAAAATGAACAAATAACGGAAAGTAAAATAGCTTAAATAACGCAATATGATTTATATCATCGCAAACCCGTTGATGAGATGGCTCAATATGCTATTTCTCCGGCTTTATATGTATTTGGAAGATGGTAATTGCGTTTCCGTGAAAACGATTTCAATATTGTCTCTGCTAAATTTGACTATGCAGAAAATGAAATGGCTTTCTGGAAGCTGATATACTACCGCAGGGACAAATTAGCTAGTGATGTCCGTGCATGGAACTCTTCAAAACTACCTTCTTGCGATACAATATACACAATAGGGAACCGGCGTATTGGCTATTAGTTGGCTTTTGTGACGCCAATTAATAAACAACTACTGATGACAGATTATGATACATAACACGTGTTTTGATGTTTTTATTCTCGGGTGTTTCTGTCTGTAAGGTCTAATGCTTGAAGATTTTTTCCAAGCTGCCAAAGAGCTGTTTGTCCCTTCTGCAATGGATAACAGGTGAAGTCATTCCGTCTCCTTGTGCTGCGCCTATGCGACCTTTTCTCAAGGGCTTTCAACTAAGTACCCAGGCAACGTCAATGGAGCATAATTGTGTCACAAACAGGATGAGAGATGATATTTCTGGGAGTAATAACAAATTACGCAAGTTTCTGAAACTCGGGGAGAGGTAAAGTATGCTGGAAGTTACAAAAAAGGGAACTGTGGGGCCAGAAAATCGTGGGTTTGTTGTACAATCAACACTTTGTCGATTACGTAACCATCAAAAAATAAAACCAAAATCAATCATTTCCTGGAAGTACGTTAACGTAAAGTGATCAGTGTTAAAACAAAACAAACAATATGAACAGATGACTATTGTGACATGTGTTTGCTTAGATGAAAATAATCACAATTTCATGATGAATAATACACATGTAAATTATAAGTGAATTATCAAGGCCAGACAACTCCAACTCATAACATCTAAAACGTACCGATATCCAAAGAAAGACAAACGCGTATTAGTAGGCCTACGTGTACTCTTACTACTACTACCCCATAGAACCAATGGGGTGCATAATTCTCATGATTTCGACAAAATGGACGCGCCTCAACGTGTGTGTGGTGTCACCGTAGTAGTTTATATTGGCTAGTACCAACCCCCACCCCAAAACCCCCAAAATTTACAGGTATGTTTAAAACTGTCCAAAATACATTTTAAATGGTATGTTAAATGTATCAAAATTGAATCGATACTGCATATAGAGCCGAAAGAGTTTCAACATTTTTTCCTCATGAGGCACAAGTCGAAGGTTCTTTTTGACGTTTCCTCCTAAAGACAGATTGCCATTTTTTTACGGTTAATGATATTTCATGAGTGCCCCACTTGAAATCAGAAACAATTTCCAATCAGCAAAGAGGCACAGGTTAAAACAGATCTTTGAATCAGCAAGCCTCAGTCTATAAATCCATCGTATATAATTCAATTATATATGCCACAAATAACTCTTAAATTCACTTACTACAGTTCGGATCACGTGCGTAGGCCAACTTTTCTTATTTACCCACGTCTTACAAATCGCATTATTATTCGTATTTCGAGAATAGTTCCATAAAAATTCAGCTAGACGATGCATCAAAGCACATACCAAACTTTGTTCTTCGGCACTATGTCGAAGATGAGTGACAAAAATAGCACAATTAACAACAAACCTTCGGAAACAAGCAGTTTATACTTCTTCTTTTTTAAGGATAATCCATTTTTTTATTGAGACCGAAAGGTACATAAAAATATGTCAACCATTATCAAAGTTTTTGCGTTTAATTCTCTAGTCACGAGATTGAAAGTCACTATATTTTGTTCATTAGAATACACTGACCTGAAGGAGCTGCAAAATATGACATGCATATTTGTAAGGCTAATAGTTGTATCAGTATGATAGTATTTATAATAACTACTAAGAACCGCCATGCATCACCTTTACTGCATGGTTTAAACACCAATCAGCTGTGAGAAATAATTTCGCCATGTAAATTACGGCTCGCCATTGGATGGCGTAGATGGAATCAACTGGGAACAGTCGCGCCCATATCTGATTATGCTCACATGATCTAGGAGGCGTGACAGTACATCACTACACAGTAACTGCAGCTGGGCATACACAGTGTCTGACTGTGGAGGTATATCCAGGCAGATACAGCGTTTGTCCCATCACGCTTCATCTTCTATCACGGGAAAACAAATATCACCTGGTTTTGTACACTTTCAGTCGTTCTATCTGCAGAGCAACAAGCTGGTACCTTTTCGTGCAGAGACTTTCAGATGTTCCTGGATGTATATCTAGATATCCTACGGGTCTATCAGCCTACGAATGTGGTGCACAATCAGTATCGTCGACAAAGTTGCAACCGAACAATTGTGACATTTAAAAAATCTCAACATGGATAATATTACGACAGCGAGTCCTACAGACGGGGACGAAGACGTAGTGGTGTATCCTACCTATGCGTACCGTGTAGTGTATGCCACTCTCATTGGCATAATCTCCGTGGTTGGTATAATCGGAAACACTTTTGTTATCCTTGGTGTGATAGTCTACAAGAAACTACGCACCAAGACAAACGTCTTTGTGGTCAATCTGAGTGGGGCTGATCTCGTCAACTGTCTGAATCTTCCCTGGATGAGCGTGGCTGTTCTTAGTGCAGACGGCTGGCCGCTACCAAAAGGAATCTGTAGCTTTGCATCAGTGGCTTTATTGGTGTCTATCGGATCCAGTCTGTACAGCCTGGGTGGGATTGCTCTCTGTCGATGCGCCCTGGTGACTATGAATCCTACCGACTATGCTAACTTTCTTACCCGTCGTCGCCTGGCCTGTCTGACGGTTGTAGTCTGGATTGTGCCACTAGCTGTCTCTCTCATGCCTCTGACATTCGCTCCCAATTTTCTCGGCTTTAACAACAAATACGACATGTGTATCTGGGATACTAACCACTGGTTTTCTATGACTTACAACGTTATCTTGTCTATCTGCTGCTTCCCCTTGCCGCTGTCGGTCATTGTGGTGTCTTATGCGAGGATATGGCGTCACGTACGCCGTCACGCGCAGCGTATGACTCGCGTCTCCGCACGCAGCGTATCAGGCATTGTAGACGGAAATGGAGCTCGAAAGGGATCCGTGAACCGACGTCAAATGGCTGTCACCATCAACATGCTAATCGTTATCTGTATCTTCCTCATCTGCATGACACCATACAGCATGATTCTGGTACTACCAGGTGGGGAAATCGTTGTACCGGCATTTGGCGTCATTCTTCTGAGTAACAGCTGCATCAATCCACTCATCTACGCTACCAGGCATCCTGACTTCAAATTGGCATTTGCTAAGGTTCTCAGATGCAAGACTCGCGAATTGATGTCGGAAAGATCTCGTGCACAAAATACGCAATCTCAAAAGTGACTCTTGTCCAAATGCCTCTACTTTTGTACTTGTAGAACCGAGATAATTCCTTCGACTTGATTAATCAGTAGTTAATGTAATCGAGTAAGAGTTTGGGGCTGAAAATTATCACGAGGAGCTACAGGATAGTTTAGAAACAAAGTACAATGTTACCATGGGCGATGGATTCCCACTGATTTACCCAACGCGTGGGTGACTCTAAGCAGAGCCTACGGTTTTGGAGGCCTTTAAATGTATAAAAACACATTTTATCGCATCCCTGTCAAGTTAATCCCTGTTAATTGCCACTGACTGATTGGATCCAGCTCCGACACAGCGTTTGTCGATTCTGCCGAAAGACTGACACGGTATCCAGCGAAATGATCGATACTATACGAGACACTTAGAAATTTGCTTGTCAAAAGAATTACATGTAGCAAAATGTTGAGAAGAATTATGTCAAGAATATATTCAAGTCCATATTGGAAACCGGGGTATGGCGTCCTTTGTCCCTTTGTATTCCTTTTCTTAAAAATAATCCTATATACTGTATATCCACCGCAGTGATGCTCAAAACTGAAGATTCATACCTCATGAAAACACCTACAAGGCACCATAGCGGTACTGCTGTTTTATTTTTCAACAAAAGAATAGAAATACTCATTAGATTGTCATCTTTAGTTCAAATTGGACCTTAATTTGATATAGCCTACCTATTCCTTTTCATTGATATGAGATCTCAAAATAGTTCCTAAATCGCAGATTAATAAAAGAAATTTTCAATTAATTTCCAATACAGCAAATTTACATAATAGTATGCCTCCAAGACTTTGCAATGCGTTGGCCAATCACAATGCGCGAAATCTGTCGACCCAATGCGCGTTTGGAGATGGTCGACAAATTTCCGCGTTGTGATTGGCCAACGCGTTACAAACTCTTGGAGGCGCACTATTGTGAATCGCTCGTATTGTGTACTGCCTTGTAGATTACTTGATAATTGCTAAAACATGTATTTTCCCTTATTTTTTTAAGAAATACTTTTGGTAGGGACTCTCTGCACCAGTGACTGATTTAGGTATTTGATTTTAGAAACTAAAGTATAAAGAAGCAAATTTGCTTGATGGGCATTCACCGTGTAAAGCAGAACCTAAACACTACTCGGTAAGGTCTAAAAGATTTCTGATCAAATACATATACGTCATAATTGCTTTTATCGAGTTGCCAAACGATCATGTGGCGCTTTTACGACCCTTTAGGAAGTCGTTTATGATGTAGTGGCATGCTTCATTACATCATAAAACGGCGTCTTCCAATCAATTAAATCTGGCCATTAATGGTGCCAATGGACGTAAATCCCAGGGGGGATGGGGTACATACATGTGCATGTATCCCCTCCCCACTTTTTGACCGGGAGGAGTGGGCTACTCTTCCCCTAACTGTTCGTGGGGAGAAAAAAATTAAGGCGGATTGTGAAGAATTTTTCGAACCTCCCGAAAACAAACTGGAAATATATTCAGAAGCACTCAAAAAGGGAGAACAATTTAAAAAGCCATAAATATACCGTTCTGATGTAAGATTCCACAGGAACGTACCGTAATATGTACATGTATTACAGATGTACAGCTGTGTCATGAACATCGCCTCCTGTTATAATAGTGTCATATGGATGTCAGGACGTCTCCCCCTCCCTCGCTTTTCAAATTTCGATGGCAGGGCAAGTCATCCCCCACAATTCCCCATCCCCACCCCCTCCCCATTTCTGGCACAAATTTACACCAATGTTTGCAAGTTATCCCGACAGTTCAATCACTAAGTGCATTTTAAAGCATGATTCAAACTAACCAGATCCATAATTATGATACGCGGCATGCCATAAGTTCACTATTTGTTCCAAAGTTTAATTCTGAATGTTTAAGACACAGCCCTTTGCTCACATTGACGTCAGTGTGAAATAATTTGGACCAATCCGTGAAATCGGTATCGTCGCGCGGCATTTTTAAACATTCTCTAAAATCAACTCTTCAACAATTTTTATGTTATTTTATGGGTTCAGATAAAATTTTAAGTTATATTTAGTTTTCAGTTTTGAAATTCATTTCTAAATTTACTTAATTTGTTCACTGTACATGTGTTTTTTGTTTTTGTTTTTGTTTTCTTTAATGTATATGCCAGGGCCCTATGGGAGACCACCTTATGGTGAAAAGGTTACCCTGGATAAACATCAGAAATAAATAAATACCGCTTTGAAGTTCATTTCATATAAAAATAAAAATGGTTCAGAATATCTACTCAGCTACGTGTAAGTACTGTAGATAATGCACACTGCATACCGACGACGGTTACAATACACTTTGAGAAAATATACGCTGACAAGGTCCATAAAACAAGGTGCACTGACATTTTGAACAGTACCGTGTATATTACCTCTTAATCATCACTGTATTCTTCTTATATTGTTACTGACAGTTTTGGAAAAATTTAATTAATGTTTACATGGTTGAATATGGTCACTTTGTAATTAATTTAACAAATAAAATGAGTACATTTGAAAGCCACAGTGCAACCCTGCGTGGTGTGTTTACGTATCTAAGTGCATGTGTCTGAAAGTCCTAGCTGTAATGAAGCCATCTGAGACTTTCAAAATTCAATTGACCTGCTTTCAGCTCCGATTGTACTGTGCAGCTTGTGTGTCATCGTCAACAACTTGGTCGCGCAGGGGAATGGAATACTTGGTCAAAGGAGTAAAATGAAACAAGCTTTCTAACATTTGCACACAGCAACATAGATCGATGATACCTGTAAAATAATGTTTGTAAGTCCTATAGCTATTGTTACATGTATGTCTAAATTATTTAATCATCAGAATGATATTACTATGAAACCTGCCCTGCCTGCACGATACATAGAAGCAAAAGCAGAAAATTATCGGCTTCCCTACACAGCAATGTTCAGCCTAAGTTCGTTTCCAGTGCCTTTTTATACTTTATTAAGCTACGTTACGTAGTAACTAAGAATAAGTGAAACGGATCGAAGTTATCATGCCCTGTGCAAAGATGTCCGTGTAAAAGTAGTTTAACTCAAGAGAAATGATGACACATTATTCAGTTTTGGTCGTATGTTGGGCTTGTTTGTTTGTCAGGATCATACATGTATGAATTTAAGCAAAGGACTGCATCCTGTCCACTTGAAACTTTAAATGTGTTCCACCTTACCGTTCTTTGCATGCTCCATCCAGAGATGTTCAGATTTTTTTAAGTCAAGTAGCAGACTATACCCTCTAATTTCGTTATTATGTTATTCGCTTATATTTCAGGTCACTTTCGCATCAGCGTACGCTGCTTTTACAACACAACTTTAAAAGTGGCGCACACAATAAAGAAATGGAATTTCCCCTTAATGTATGGCACCAAGTTGGTAATGGCTTCTAAAACAATACCTTAATTGGCAAATACCGGTTTACTGAATTGATGTATTCTTGGGAGTCGTTACCAGCAAACACTCTCGCAATCTCTGAGGGGTTCGTGAGGTGAAACGAACCGGGGCTCTGTGTTCGCAATCAATTGCCTAATGAAATTAGACTGTATGGTCGGAGTGCATGAGCATATTGTGATATCCAAGATTTTAAGTTTACATTTCGTTGTGAGATTATTAAAAAATATGATATCTGTTGTCTTTCAATGTCACAATTTCCAGTTGCCCCTTATCGTTTTCTTATAATGGTTCCATTTCAACTTAAATAACATGCTTAACAAAGAAATATTTCTTCAGAACCCATTTTACTGTTTAGGGGGTATTTCCCTTAATTCAAAAAAGTACTTCAGTACTTAAAAGACTTATGTTGTACATATTTTTGTCATTATATACTTTTTTGGTCATGTATTTTTGGTCAATAAAATGCCATAGAATCAAATCATCGGTACGGATCCATGTTTGACGAGGAAAGCATATTCCGTGTTAGTTCTCATAAAACTAGGCCGTTTCATTCTCTACTTTTTTTAAAAAATTGGGGAAATAGTTTGTCTGATGTTTGCTTAATACCTGCAGTTCTCATTGCTGAAGCACAACGAGCTATACATGCAACTCTAGGCTATTTTAATATTACATGTATATTTGGCCTATTGTTCATGTTCATTTCGCCAAGGAATTCATTTGACCGTACACATAATTAGATCATTGTCCTCCACAGGATCATCTGACCCCGCTAGTTCCTATGAATGATGAATACACACAGAACAAAATCAATCTGTTAATGACTCAATATATCCTCGTTCAATAATTAATCCCAACGGTAACTTCTTCCACAGATGAAGGACTGAGGACTGTTAGGGTTAAGTGTGTAATACATAAGCTTTCCCTTTCAAGGGGACTGGGAGATGATTTATAGATGGGAGAATGACAGAAAGTAAATTGCATGCTCATTGCTAGGTAGCTTACGTACAACACATGATGGTTTCCCAATAAATGCATATGTTAAAGGGACAGAGACAAATGACAGGTTTTAAAACTTGCAGTGCAGTCGGTAAAACGATTCATCATTTTGCCTTAATACATCCTCATTCAATAATTAAAGGGTAAGTGCAATGTACCTGTTAAGAAAACCTGTTAATTAACCCTCCGCTGCACAGGACCGATTTGTTCATGTTAATGCTCGAACGCTGTCACATGAGTATCAGCTGAATTCACTGCACAGAGCCTACTTTTTACACCCATTGCACCAAGGTGATCGTTTTGAGATCACTTCCGTTATAACCACAAAAATGTGACACCCCCAACACAATGAAACTACTCAGACAGCTGTCTATACAGCTCAGAGACACATAAGAGAGACCGACCACTGATATAAGACAGGCCCAGGCTTTCCAAGGCTTGCCCAGGCACTTTCTTTGTCAATAACCCCTTATCAGCATGTGGTTTAGATATTTACATACAATCCCCATGGGACGTGGCTGGAGGCGGGCTCTGGAAAAGAATGAAGCAGCTCAGGGGAAGTCCCCATGTTAAAGGTAACTAAACTAGGCTGTTCAGCATCTACAGAAATGCAAATTAACAGGGTTTTTTTGCATTTGGCCGAATTATTTTGTTTAATTACGTAATTACAAAAGAGGGGATCATCATAGTAGCCATTCTGATCTGCGCAAAATACACCTTTGTGTCTCAGATAACTACATTTTTAAGGGCTATTTTGCTGGCTTTGTACACGCTAATAAATATTTCCATTTTTGTGAGCGTATAATGCGGTGTTATCCCAGAAACTCAGCCTCATGTTGTCGGGGTTTGTGCACTATTTTTTAGAGTTTCTTTTTTTGTGGAGATATATCGTTGTACAACTACACATACACAGTCATAAGCCAACAGGTACATTCACACACAGAGATTGATTGCTGATACTGAGCAGATCCAAAGACGGGCGACAAGAATTCTTCTCCGGCAGAGGAGAATGGAGATGCCATACTTTGATAGACTTTAACAGTTGAACTGTTGTTCTCTATAGTCCCATTGGGACTGTCTACTGGTGTCTTTCCGTTGCTAAAGCTTTGTATCGTGACGTTTCATGCAGTTCCGTGGTAGAACATATTCATATCAACTCCCGGCATATTGATGATTTAAGATTTTCTCATCTTGTAGCTAGAAACAATTGCTTACATCACAATCCAATCCATGTATTCCCTCGTTTATGGGAGACACTCCCCAAAACCCTTCTAACTGCTTTATCGATGGGTTCTCTCTAACAGTTCTTAATTAAGTTTGCTTAAATTGTGGCGTAAACTAAATTAACACTGTTTAAAATTTCCCAATTTGCTGTCTATACTGGATGAGTGTCATACATCATTGATTTATCTGTTCCAATTAATTAGAGATTTTCCATCCACAATCTGTTCCTTGGTTCTAATTGTTAATTAGCACCGTGTCTCTATTGTCTATACCTTATACCAGTTGAACCTGGCTCGTCCGATGCTCAGTCACATTTTCTTTCTTTCTTTCAACCTTCATTTTTATGTCTTTACCTGGATTTTTGGTCCAGCTTTATAAAACATACTTGCCCAATTAATGATTATGATGTGTTTTTACTCTTTATTTTTCTTCTCAAATATAATGTTAACCCTTTTTTCTGTATGCTATTTTCTGGTCTTACTTTTTATCTTTGTCTTTTACTTGTTGTTTGAGGCTATTTGCCTTTTGGCAATGGTGATTACGTTCACTTTCTTAGCTCCGGTCATCTTGTCTAGATTTGTGCATTTTTATTTGGTCCGATGTGATGATGACGAATAAAATAATAATAATACTAACAATAACAGGCAACCGTGCTTTCAGTGAATAAGTCTGGGCCTACAGTTTGAACAGAAAAACCTATGTCTTCCCTAAAACATCACAACATCGCCCTCAGCCAGGAAAAAAAATGGCCAATTTAATAATTGCACTTATCACTTAATTTTATCAAAAGGGATGACAACTAATTTCCATATGGGCCTACGATGAAGACGGGTATAAACTGGAAGAAATAAATTATCCATATAATTATTATATTTTTTCCTGCTACACAATAAGGTAAGCATTCCCTGTCAAGGGGACTAGGAGGTGATTTATTGTTACAAGCATGACGGAAAGTGCTCAGTGTGCTCATTCCTATGTACATGTACATGTATGTACTACTTGAAGCAATACATGAAATAAGTGATGGTGTTATACATGTAGGACATAATAATAATAGGACCAAAAAGTGACTGAGTGCAGTGCTGTCAGTAACACAATGCGTAACTCAGAACTGCAGTTCATTTTAGATTGCAAGGAGAATTACTACAATATTAAAAAGCCTAGATATAGGCCCTTGGTCTGTTATGAAAATACTTCAAGTTTAGTCAAAATCATATATACCTCTACAATACACAAACCCAGTTCGCCGTCTAGATCTGAGGTCGTGTGTGACGCCGTGACGTTGAGCGTTCGTATGTTTTCACGAAGCAAGCAAAAAGACTTCGGCACTCACAGTAACTCAGCCATGAAACAGTCGTCGTGGAGCAAGCGTGAAAGGTTTATGGTGTATATTTGAAGATTCTCGAGGTCGGAGGTTGTTCCATTTATTGCACTCACGTCTGGGCAAAGGGGCAACTCTCCATTCATTTTGTACAGGGATTTGCATGTTTTCCTCTTTTTTGGCGACAACATGATGGAAACACCTAAAGCTTTTCAGTACAGTGTGGGAAATGTTTATAACGCATAAATAGTGAAATTTCACCCACATTTTTGCCCCTTTGAGTTTTGAGTGTGAAAGATGGAATAGCCATCAATTGACCAATCAGAGTGAAGAATCAAGAGTCAGTGACATCATCACGAACTTGAGAATTGTACAAAGCCAGAGTTGCCAAGAAATGCCCCTTTATTCTGGTTCTGAAAATTAATTATATTTACACCTTACGTGATGAGTGTTTGCTCCATTGACCTTGTGTGTGTTAACTTGATCATCATTCCTTCCTCCATGACTTAAAATGCTTGATGCAGGAACTTAAGCAAACATTATTCAGATCGGAAATATTAGCCTGAAAAATGCCCGAAAAGGACAAACCTCCCATTTTGATACAGATGTTTTCCAGCTCTGTGTTAATTGTGGCGATTCTCCCTATGTCATAAGCGCACAGCACTGGATATCTCTAGCTACTCTGTCCTCTGACCATGCTCGGACCCCTTGACCTTGTTTCGTATAATACATGTAATTTTAATCGATCAACTGGCACTGATTTTGCAACATGTCCGAAACTCATGGGCAAGTTCGAGCGACATTTGCCAACCACTACTCACTAGTCAATTATGTTACATATTTTGTGCACAAGTTCCTCGACCTTATCCCAGTGTTGCACGTCAAAAAAACAAGGATATCATCGCCAGTCACGCCATACATACACCTCAGTCTCTGACGAGACCTAACTGAACTTAATAAGAGGCCTAACACCATAGGAAAAAGTTAGACGTTCATGAAAGCCTACCTTTGCATTCGCAGTTTAATCCGGTTTCATCCCATTCTGGTCCCTCCAGAATACAGCAGGAAGCGTGGAAAGACTCAGTAGACATTTCACAAAATATGAACCGCGTCCTTCACGCCCATTGTCCAAAGAAAATTTAGCACACGTGTACTCAAAAGTTTGCGCCATTTTGTTTCGTAAAGCGAGCGCCCTCATTCGTTAACTAGTTCTGGTCGCCGTATATTGATCCTCAAATTCGAGCTCAGCTGGTGTTCCAAGGAAAAGAGTCTGACTAATTGTTGCTACTAGTTCCAGCTAGAGATGAGAGCAGATTATCACTTTGACACTGAAGTTTGCATCACAATCCACGTTCGCTTCAGCTTTGCTTAAGTAAGTGTTACAGCTTTGGTGTTCATGATGACTACGTGACAGAAATTTATGAACAGTTGCGCTTAAGTCAAGGACAAAGACAAACCGTATGAAAATATTTTGATGGCAAAGAAGCCTGATGAGTTTTGAGGGCGCGCCCAGCTTACCCCTGTCCACGTTTGATCGTTCTGCCCCCCCCCACTTCCCTGGCCCCAACATTGGTTTATCTGGAAACTACTTTCTTCTGCAGTGTGTCAACTACAGCATCAGCCCATGGTCCCAACTGCATGTAGTAGGGACTGTCCCAACTATAGTTGGGACTGTCCTAACTATTCAGTGCTATATATAGTTGGCCCAGCCCAACTATAACACAGAGGTCCAGTGTGGATGTGCCCAGGATATGCCAAAGTCATATTGTTTACAATGTCATAAAGTTGAGAAATTTTCTACAGAAATTGGTCAACAATAGTTGGGCCAGCCCAACTGCAGCTGCACTATAGTTTGGACGGTCCCAGCTACACGTACAGTTGGGACAGATACTATAGTTGGAGCGTAACGGTACTAATGGGAAAGACTTCGGTATACAGTTTTCACTTGACACCCCATGCACAATCCCTATGAGACTGGTCTGAAAACTTCCTCAGTAAACGACTCAGAAAATGGTATTTTCCGTCCTAAATTGAACTTTTCTGGGTATGGTTTTGCTTTCCGATGGCAAATACATGTAGGTCACTGTAGGGAATAATTACTGGAGTCTGTATATGAAACTCTTCCCGTACTAATGATCCTAAGGGAAAGAATTCCATATATGAACGCTGCTTTAAATTTACGCCATGCACAAACCCTGTGATGGTAGGCATGCTAGGCTGAAGTATTTTCCCAGACTTACTGTGGCCCAGGCTACCTAAATATTTTCACTGTTAAATTTGATTTTTACAGAGGATGTTGTCTCTGCAAGGGAAATTTGTGGAAATCTTTCAAATACGAAGCACTGGGCTTTCATAATTATTTAAATGAATTGTGTCAGGTGTGATTTAAGCTGCATAATGCCATAAACTTGAAGAAGGTTGAGGAATTTTCTACTGAAATTTTGCCAACTGTACATGGATAGTTGGGCAATCCCAACTATAGCACTACGCAATAGTTGATACTGTGACGCCAGAACACGTGAAAACGTTTTGATGGAACAAAAAACTGATACAGAGCAATGAGGTGGTATTTCTCTCCTTTCCTCGGTGCAGATCATCACTATGGACAGGGTAGCCTTATCAGGTGGTGATTTGATGGTGTCGCCAATATGCGTTGGTGCGTGGCAGTTCAACGGTGGCAAAGCAGATGAGACCTGGCCAGCTCAGGATGAAACTGTAAATTCGTGTTTTTCTCAGTCTAAATGTAGACTAAAGATTACAACGCTGAAACTTCAGTCGAGCCCTTATTTCACATAAAGTCTGTTAATCCTAATTAGTCCTGACTCCTTTCTTTTGAGTACAGTTGTTTACATAACTTGTAGGAATAGAATTAACAGAACAAGAATAGAAAATGAACATTTGATCCTGTTATGCTCAATTTTCATTTTTCTTGCTTTGACTTTAACATTTTGTGAGAACGGAACAACATGTTACAGTGATTTTCATCACTTGACATTTACAGGTTTCCAAGGCAATAGTGGACAAAGCTCTTGAGCTTGGTGTTAACTTCTTTGACACTGCTGAGGTGAGACTCAAGAAAGTGCAAAAGAACTTTTTCAGTGACAACAGTACGCTGAAATTTAATCTGAGCTCATAGGGGAAAACTCTTGTTCCTAGCCCCTTTTACTTTCATTTCTAGCCCCTTTTACTTTCATTTCTAGCCCCTTGTACTCTCATTCTAGCCCTTTTTCTCAAGAAAAATCAACGAACTGATAACACTTTAAGTAAATGCTGAATGAAGGATGTGAAAAGTCAAGGATTTTATTAGTGGAATCAGTCACTTCAGCATCACTGTAAATGTTGGTGAACTATTGAGTTATTTGCTTCATAGGCTTATGGTGATCACAATTCAGAGAGAGTTCTCTCCCGATGTCTTGCTGGACGAAGACAAGATGTCATCATTGCTTCCAAGTTTGGACGTCATGTAAGGGGCAGTGTTAAAGAATACACTGCCATTGATATTGAACAGGTAATGGCTATGTACATAGCCACTCTTAAAGAAAATGTCCCATGCATCTAACAATTTTATTCTATTTATATCTGATCATCCAACACCGCATTTAGGGCCAATTACAGGATGATAGAAGACAATGAAGAAATGTTTAGTTTTTGAGGTGGGAGGAAAACCCCAGATAAATGTTTCAGGGAATACCCATTGACTCAGGTAGGAACTGAAAACCCAAACCACAGGTGGACATAGCAGGATTGGAACCCAGGCCCCCAGAGGTGGAAGGTGAGGAAAGAAAACCTTCACCAACCTGACTCCCGAATTCCTTGCTTCCGTCTCATACCATACTGACTCATAATATTCACAGAACATCATTCCTCTTTTTTGTTTACATCTTGGTCTGTTTTTTATTTAACACAGTTTTCTGTTCTTTCCATTCCAGGCCCTCACTGCTAGTCTCCAGGCATTGCAGACAGACTACATAGATATTTATCAGGTGAAATCTTTTTTTGTGATATTTGAATTCCTCATAAAGGGATTCCACCTGTATAAAAAAATGAGTTCAGAAGAAAGACAATAATTGTTTATGATTTTTTTTTGTTTATGTAGGTTCATTGGTCAGTGAATATGAAGGATACCACTGAAACCGTAGCTGAGTTGGACCGGCAGAAGTCACTGGGTCGTATCAGGCATTATGGCATCTGTAACTTTGGCTCGTCAAGCATTGATAAGTTCTTGACAGCTGGTGGAAGGCCATGTTCTTTGCAGGTATCGTGGCAGATATGTTTCAGCCATTCTCAATGTAATGTTTTTGTGTTCTAGTGAAATGCTTCTTTGTTTCTGTAGTCACATGTATTAATAATGTTGCTAGTATCTATTGGCTTATCAAAGAACGCCATCATAGGCCCCAATTTTGCATTAGTTCTTTTTAAATGACAGAATTATAGCATTTTAAACATCAGTTTCATTGATTTCACTATTCAAAACCTGTCAAGGTCCCCTATAACTTACTGTGGCGAGCTGTCGAGTTCAACATCCTGCAAACCAGCCACCAGCATGGTCTGTCAGTCCTTGCTTACTCTCCTCTCCAACAAGGTCTATTGACAGGCAGGTTCCATAATGCCTCAGAGGTACCAGAGGGGCGAAGGAGGACACGTCATTTCAGCAAGGATAGCACCAACCTGTCAAGACATGAACAGAAAGGTGCAGAGGCTGAGACTTTTAAGGTTTGTTGGACAAGAGATAACAAGACAGAGTTTCCAGGGACCTAGTAACATGTTTCTACAGGTTAATACACTTTAATAGACTTTGAAAGAAAATAAAACTTTCTTTATATGGACCTTCTAAAGGCATAAAGGAGAAAGTGTGTGAGAAGAGGTGTTTAAAAGATCCAGGAAATTAATTTTTCATAGAATTGCTTTCTGTGTTCTTTCTGTACTCTTCTTCCACGTATGAAGACTGTTTGACATCTTTTTTGAGTTACATAACTGAAGAGTACACTTTTTCAAACATTGAAAAATTGACCAAGCATTTCTGGACAAGTGAGGGCGCTTTTGCTTCGATGTAAATCCAGGAAGACATGGTTCGGGTTGTATGTTTTCATGTTCAAAGTGTGAACCCCAAATTTGCTATCTGGGAACATTTCTGTGAAAAGGATTTTGGCTGGATTATTGTCATATACTTATATAGCAATAAATTGCCAAAGAAAATGAAGTCTGCCATAGCAGTGGTTAAAAAAATCTAGAAATTTTCTCTGCACAAATCAGTGCAACATTGAGATTCAGTGCCTTGGATGACATCATAGTTCTACTCATGAATATGCAAATATGCATGAGCACAAAAACCAAAAAAATGTTAAAATATGGGTTAAAATTGTAAAACAAAAGTTTAAAATGAGGTTAATTGACACCCTAAAGATGCAATGTCAAGGGTTTTGGGTAAAGTTTATAAAAATATTTCCATTTCCTGGTTCCTTTAATATTTGACATTTGAATTTCCTGCATTTGTTGCATTAGGCCATAAGTGACATTCGCAATTTGTGTGACAAGGAGAACATTCCCATGTCATCAGCCGCCCTGTCCTGGATCTTAGCACAAGAGGGCGTTGCATCAGTTATCGTTGGCTGTAGGACTCCACAACAGCTAGAGGACAATTGCAAACTCGTCAACCTGTCACAGGTAATTTGGTGTAGGCCCTTCCTTCTAAGATGTTCCTTGTATAGTGAACAGTTTCCAGGGAAATAGTCAGGTATTTTCAGTAATGCTGGAAATGTCGGGCAAATATTTGATAGTGACAATTATAAAAAAGAGCAGTACAAATAATATACTGAATATTCAGTTCATTTTCTTCGCACTATAAAAATGGCATTAATATTGCATTGTCTTTTCAAAGAGACTACTCTGTAGAGTGCACCTTATGGGAAGATGTTCTTTTCTTTGAGTAATTCTGCAATTCTGCTGTCTTTTCTTTTTTCCAGAATGTGGTGAAGAGACTCTCGGATTGTACAAGTGCCTTGAAAGAAATACTTGGTGACAACCCGGACATGTGGGCCAAAAACTCCAGATATAAATAAAATTTATTAATGGATATTCCAGTCAGTTTGAACAAGCATCCATGTCATTGCCTCCCTACAATGTTATTTAATAAGTTCCCTTTACTCCTGTGCCCGGTTTTAGAGGTCCATTCCTACATATGTGTCTTCATTTTGAGTAATTGAGCAGAAATTATAACTCAAACTTAAAGAATGTTTAGTAAAGATAAGTGCCTTTTATTTGAATATATACGATTTGTTAATTACTTTCATTATGATACATATGGCCATGAATTTGCATGGTGACTGGTCTTAAAATGGAAAAATATACAAATACATGTAGTAAGAAATTACTATTGGATTGATCTTCCAAACAACAGAGCCTTTTTCTTTAAAATTACCTGTATTTTATTCAATGCCCAAGGAAAACCACTTGTTTTCACATTTTAGAGAACCTTTTAGTATTTCCCATCATGAGCACACATTCAAATGTTTTAAAACTGATTTTTTGTAACTTTTGAAGACAATTATCTAAAAATGAAATAACAAACAAACACCACAAATTTAATCATTATTATTTAAACATTTTTAAAATAATTATTTTGCCATAAGTCAACATTTTGTTTCAACTCTGAACACTACATTATCATATTGAAAAAAAATCGAGTAACAGTATATTAAAAAAAACCAATACAGGTGAGAGAAATATGTTCATATTTTCGGTGATGCTTCTTGTTAAAACACCAGTGAAAATTAACGTCTTGTTCAGAAAGATTATTTAAAAGTATTTACTAATAAGGTCATATCGAGAGCGGGGCCAATATCCCCCCCCCCAGTTGTATTTATGTCCCGCCCATATTTTCACCTAGCCTCAAATGTTGCACCATCGTAGTCGCGTCTGGTAATCGGGTAATCTCGTCTGGTGGGTAGCTGGTTCACGCGCATTCATTTTTGTCTTACGTTCGATGTGGGTAACCAGTGATTATTTGCCTTAGCAACCTCAAAATGGCGACTGTTTCAACTAATTTACCCGATGGCGATGCACATGATGAAACAACGTTTAAAGTTGTTTCTGTCGCATAGCAAACTTAACAAAATGTGTGTTCTGCAGTACGACTTTATTGTTGTGAAGTGAAGTGAAGGGATTAATATTCATAAGTAGGCTTCTTGAAGGAAATCTGCCAACAAAGCTTCAAAGACGGGCAAGTATTAACGGCCTAGCGTAGCACTACAGTAGTTGCACTGCAGCAGGATAGTGCACAGGTTCTGTTCCTCTTTCACTGTTTTAGCAGCTGCTGTTCGGTGCAACAAAAGTCACACAGAAAGCAATGGCGTCGAGTGACGTGCAGAAAACACCCTTACCTGTGGTGAAACATGTCATTGGAGATGACGATATGGGTATTAAAAAGGTGAGTGGAGACGTGCAAGACATTTTTTTCCTTGGGAACTCCATAGATTTACTGTAAGGCTACAGTACTTCGAGATCTCTATCTGAAGTCACTAACTCTGTGATAGGCCTACTCCATGTGACTTAGACTAGGAGACAAAGTTTACATGGCGTTGTAACGCTATGGGGTTTTGGAATCAAATTTTGTGGTGAAATGGTTCACAGCCGTAAGAAAGCTGTGAAGCCTACTACTAGTACTAGGCCTACATCAAATTTCCCCCTGTCAGCATTACCTCCTGAAAAGGGGATAACAAAAGTTTCAGAGCATGAGACAGAGTATTTTTGAAAACAAAAATGAGATTTTTGCTCACCAAGTTCTCGCTTCCAGTCCACCCGTTGACTGTCGCTTCATTCATGCCGTTCGTGTTTATCAGACTGCGCATGTGTTGAGCCCACCAATGACCGCGCACTTGCTTCGCATCTTGGCTTGACCACATGGGCAGTCTGATAAACATGAACGGCATGAACGGAGCGACAGTGGAAGCGAGAGCTTGGTGAGCAAAAAACTCATTTTTTTTCAAAAATATTCCATCTCATGCTGTGAAACTTTTGTTATCCCTTTTTAGGAGGTAAAGATTAAGCAGGTATGATGACAGGGGAAAATTTGATTTAATAGCTTTCTTACGGCTGTGAACCATTTCACCACAAATGTAAACCTTGTCTCCTGTAAGTTACACGGAGTATGATGGAGTTAAAGACTTAGAGTTCTTGAAATACTTCAAGGTATGTTGGGCGGTCTTAGATCATCCCTGTTTGTGCTAGTCATGCCAGTGATTTGAGGTCATTTGGTCATTCTGCCCTGGTCCTCTGACATCAGTTGTCTCTCTTAGTTTGTTTAGCAACTTTGTCATTGACTGTGTGCTATACTTATAGGACGGTCTAATAAATTGTTTCACTCAATTATACCTCTTCATACAGTGTCATGTGTGCTAGTGTTTTTAATTGTCATTTTGTGGAAGATATTAACAGTCATGTTACTATAATCATGTGAACTCACAGTGGAAATGAGTTTGGAGGCCCACATTATTCATCGTAATCATTTTTACTGAATATTCCACAGGGTGTTAAAATTCAAGTCGTGAACTACAGCAAGGTCATCAAACTTCTTACAGATCCTCATTCAGTAAGATCTAATTCTGTACCTGATATTAGTTATAGGCTTATAAAAAGGAATAAAAAATGTTCTCAAAAATATCTTAGTTTCAGCCAAGGGCATGTTAATTGCAGATATAAAAAGCTTATAGATTTATGCATACGTAACATGTTTAAATTCTTGTGGTGAAGTGATTAACTTCAAATTAACACTCCTTCAACTAGGGCTTTTATGTCAGTGAATATTGGAACAATTGTGTACATGTAATAACTTTGAAACCTGTTCAATTCAACCAACAGGTAACGTTATATGAGAGGCACCTGAACGCACTCCAGAAACTGATTCGCCATTATCAAGTTGGCTTTGTATCCTTTCATTCAAATGACAAATTAAATACTGAATGGTTAAACATATTTTATAGATAATGATATTGCCGAGAAAACAGCACTCTATTGTTGCTTCTTAGGGTCCATAAACATGCAGCTGATGTCCTCAAGCAACCTCATAGATCTGTCTACATATTATAATCTGCTACCATCCTTAATGATATTTATGAATAGCTCATGAAAGATCTGGTTCAAGTCTTTAAGATTCTGAATGTTTGTGCAGACAGAGTACAGGAACAGCCACTCTACATCCAACCCATGATGGAGATACTCAAAATTGCAGGGTGAGTTAGTAACATTTGCCACGTGTATACAAGCACTTGTAGAGGGTGCATAAGGGACAACCAAGGCTGTGTGTGCTTAAAGTTGGAGATACAAGAAGGCAAACTGTGTTCAAAGTTTAGTTTATGAAGGTTAGAGAGTTAATGAGGTTCATTATGAATTTTCACGGATTTTAGTATTGATTTTTTTCAGCTTACCCTTTCTGAAAGAAAAGACTTCTGATGGTACGGCATATGCACAGATTGTTGTGGAGTCTATTTCACAGCTGGGTAAGAGGCAGTTTGGCTTTGGGGCTTTAAGGGGAAAGTACATATAAATCCCCAGAAAATGGATTTCCTTTCAGTCGCCCTTGTTACAATGTAGAAAACAAAACTTGCTTGCTAAAGTAGTGTTTTTAAAACTCACTGTCACCAATTTAGCACTAACAGGAAAAGGGATTTATAATTGAGTGAGATTCCTCAATAAAATATGCTGTTGGATATATAGCATGGTACAGTGATGACCCGAATTTGAATATGTTTTCTAGGTTACCTAATGAGAGTGCCCAGTAAGGAGGTTCGTCTTCAGCTAGCTTCGACCCTTCTCAATATCTTCAGCAATGAGCTGCCTAAACAAGAAGTCCAAGATCATCAGGCATCTTCCAGGGCCTACAACATGGCCATGGTGGAGAAAAGCGACGTAGCTGAAACATTAGTCAAGGTAAGTTACCATCAGGGATCACTTTCCTAATTGACTTTCCTTAGTGTTGACCTAGATGTAAGAGCCTTGTCTGAAGGCCTGCTCAGTTTTCGAAGGAAAGCAGATGAATGGATTAATTGCAGAGAGCACACATTACATATTATTTGATGCAGCTGATGAAAGCCTCATCTGGTGGCTGCAATCATTTCTTATAGACGAGCATTATCTCTGGTGCATGCCAGCTGATGACTGGACACTGCCAAATATTATTAACTTTCAAAATTGTGTACAGTTGTGCCCGTACAATGGAAATCTACATTTATCAAAAGTGTTTAATACTAGATGAGGTTGAAATACACTCAAGCATGTACAAACAGTTTTTAAAGAAAGGAGCATCTTTTCCCTGTGATATCATTTTTATTTAATAAACCAATATTCCCAAACAAATCTTGTATTTAATTCTAATTCTTTCTCATCATCCTTAAAGTCTCTAGCTCTTCTTGAACAAGACATTGATGTCAAGCTACACATACTAGACTTGCTGCAGAACCTGTCTGCATTCTCCGCTCCTAACTGTGATAAGATGCTTGCCGCTGAAGCAGCAAGTCGTATCTGCAGCCGTATGAATGATGCAGAACCTACTGGCAGGTGAGCTAAAGAAAAATGGCATTCAAATGGAAAACAGGACTTGTGGGAAACACATTGCACAATGTTCCATTGTGACTGAAAAATAGTAGTTACTAGACTGTAATTTAACAATTCCAGGGGGAAAAAGATACCTCATGTTACTCTGTTACACTAAAAGTTATTAAAACCATTTGTGAAACTTGTCATATATACTGTGATATTTGTGTTTTTATCAGGTTACTGTTCCGGTCCATTGAGATTCTGTGGAATCTTCTAGAGAATGGAAACAAAGAAGAGATAGCAGAGCAGCTCAGCTCCTTCATCTGCATCAAGTAAAATTTCCCCTTACTAAAGAGAACTCTAAAATATGGACCATGACATTGATTTACCTTCCAGTATGAGGCTCTGTGGGAAGCTGTCATGTTACACCTGTTGCATCTTATTGCTTGTTTTCTATACAGAGCTCTCCAGGAGGCATTTTCTCAACAAATGACATCAGGTTTCAGCCACTATGATCGACAGTTACGGTAAGAGAAGACAAAGCCTTAGACCAAAGAACAACCTTGCATACCAGTGTTTGCAAACTGTCACATGATTTGAATGAGTTAACACACATTTGGTCTTGGATGAATGATGCCTATTTGTTGGGTAAACCCCAAGTGTATATATATGGAAGGTAATCCATCTCTGATTTGTTCAATAATGTATAACTTTTGTCCTTTTTTTCTGCAGGAATGACTTGTTAGTGATAGCCACCTTGATCGCAACAGTCTGCCCCCAAGCTCCATTTATTGTATGTCATTATTTCTAGTGTAGGACCCTGAAGCCAAGACTTGCTAAGCAGAAACTAAGCAGCATAAAAGTGTTAATAACTTGCTGAACTGATTTTTGCCTTTATGTAAATAATGCCATTTTGTTTAACACACATTGGTTATGTTCATACCAACGCTTGCTGTCCTGAAGAACTCAGGCTTTACATTGTTTTTATTTTCCCAAGTTGAAATAGAAGCTTAATAAGCCTGTTTTTGTCAAGATATTGCTTGTTATTTTCAATGTTTACAGGAGACTGGGTTTGCCAAACAGCTTCTTCTCTTCGCAACATTCCAAGAAGTCAGAAGTCACAACGTTCTTGTCAGACATCTGAAACTTGGCACAGTAAGCCGCATCTTTTGCCAGCTCCTACGCTTTAGAAATCGATGAGAATAACAGTGTATGCCTGCAATGATGTTAAAGTATAATATGCTGGATTTTAGCTTTTATTGGTTAGACTTTTATGCTATAATCCCACTTTTCATTGTTTTAATTTTCGTTTCATACAGAGCATTGAAGACTTTGAGCTGAAGAAATTACTTATTAATATTATTATTGTCCTCTCCAAAGATGTCTCAATGGTCCCGGTAAGTTTTTCTTTTGCTCCATGTTTGTCTGAAGAATACAATATTTTACTCTGTTAAAGGTAGTTTTAATAAAAGCTTTTCTCATATTTTTCCAGAATGACAAGTCCACTTGCATGTGGCTGTGTTTTCTTATGTCAGAGGCAACACAACATTTGCTAATCAGAACTGCTTTTTCTCAATACTCCATCATCCTTGTTTTCTCTCAGTTACTAGCTGAAGGCCACATTCTCTTAGCTCTCTTCTCCTACGTCAGAGGCAATGAGAATGTCTCCCAGCACCAGGAGTGGACTCCGGCTCAGTTTGAGGAGGTACAACTTCATGCTATGAGTGCTCTCTGTACCGTAGCACCGCTTTGTGTCCAGGATTACATGACCTGCCAGGGGAACACTAGATTGCTTTTGCTGTTGGAATGGTGCGTTGGCAAAGGTATGTCAAGTGTCCATCTTATTTTTGAGCTGCAGTTTCTGAAGTTGTCATTGTTTTCTAGGAACAGTAGTGAGAGCGAGGAAATCTGTATCAAGAAATTTGTCTTGTAAAAGTTATCATTGTTTAGGCTGCTAGCTGTCCTTGTCATTGGATTTTAAAAATGCCTGATCATTGACTGTCAGGAAGATAGATTTCTTGCATTGTATTCACAGAGCTTATCATTGACATGTTTTATTTCAATTTATCTTCTCATAGAGGATTTTGCAGGCCATGGTAATGCTTTCCATGGTTACGGTGGCCGTGGCAACAAGCGAGCTCAGATGAGGTACTGCCTTCATCTCATGAGGAGTATTGTCAGCATTGGAGAGGCTTCAGTCAATCAGGACTTTGTGGATCAGGGAGCCATAAATCAGATCTTAGGTCAGTCATCTAAATGTCTTGGAAGAGTCTAAAGCTTTAGTTCCGCAAGGAAAGAAATGCCTGATCTCTTATCCTGTCCAATTTTCTAATTTAATCTATTAATAAATTTGTGTGTTTCTGATGAAATTAAAAAGCTTTGACAATTATCTATGGAATTGTTTGTGTATTCTAGATATTTTGTGTGTTTCTGATGAAATTAAAAAGCTTTGACAATTATCTATGGAATTGTTTGTGTATTCTAGATATTTTGTGTGTTTCTGATGAAATTAAAAAGCTTTGGCAATTATCTATGGAATTGTTTGTGTATTCTAGATATTTTGCTTAGTGCTAGTCATTCAGAGAGTGATGATGATGTCATTGATGTTGAGATGCAGTCTGACATGCTGTCTATTCTATCCATCCTCTGTGAAGGAGACATTCATCGAAAGGTAAAACTCTCCTTTAATCCCCTCTCGCCAAAAGCTCTTCTTATTGCTCCTTAAAGCAAACATGATGAATGTTGAGATGAAGCCCGAAATCTTATTTTTCCTGTCCACCCAGATTAATATGCATAGGGTGAAATCTTGTTGTTTTTTTTTAACTTTTCCTCTTAAACATGTTAGAAAAGAAAAGAGTGATAATGGTTTTTCAGTACTAAAAGTCAAACCCTCTTGAATCCGATTCAATTTAATACATTTTACTTCTTTTCGACCACCTTATAGGAATTGTTCGGAGAGAAAGGTGTGAAGGTTGTCCTTCAGTACCTGAAAACCAACCCTAAGAAGCTGTGTAGTGGTTTAGGTTACCATCGTATGATGTTAGCCACCGTTGATAGTATTTGGTGCTGTGTGGTAGGAGCTTATCTCAATGAGGACTTGTTTCTGGAAGGACAAGGAGTCTTCTTCTTGCTTGACTTACTGCAGGTATGCAGCCTCATTCAAGCGTGAATTGTTTGGAGGAAAAAGCCTGATTGATTATAGACTTGACTCATTCTGTATCCGCCTTGAGTAGAAGCAACCCATGGAGTTATAGGCTGGTAGCAACGTACCCTTAACAGGTGCATCTATAATCGTTTGTGAACCAGCGAAGGGCATTTCTGACCTGAGTAGCCGCCCTTGCTAGGAAAATTGTGCCTTCTATTGATTCAGTTCAGGGCTCATTGAGTTTGCTCTGTCTTTGTGCTTGTTGTAATTTAATGTATGTTTGCTCGTTTCTTAGACCTGTTCAGCCAACATGCATAACCTGATCCTTGGCTGCCTTTTGGACCTGTGTGAGAATGCTAAGACAGTGGCTCATATGCTGGCTTGGAAGAGTGATAAAAACACAACAGTAGCGTCGCTACTCATCAAAATCTGGAAGCAGGAAGAACAGGCACTTGGAGTAGCCAGAAACGAAAATGGGACCATTGCAGGTAAAAGAGAATGGCATGGGTTGGGTCATTGCTGTTGGTATTTAACCACTTATCATTGATGTACAGTTTTGTGTTCTTGTTCATCATTTGGTCCCTGTAAGTCCATCACAAGTGTCACAAATCATTCTGCCTTAAGCCAATTCACAAGCTGTTCAAATCAACTGTGACAAAAGATGAGAAGAGTTTGTATAATGATATTTACTATTCATTTCTTCCACCACCAGACACCAGGAAGCCTCTTATGGGTGTAGTTCAGGAGAAGGCAGGTATCGTCCCCCTACCAGCCAATTCCCGCAGCCAGGCGATCGTTGATGTCTTTGAGAACATGCGAGCCAAGATCTATGCTCTCTTTTGTAAGATAGGTTTTGATGACCACCCAAGCCTGTCTACCAGTGACCAAGTTGTGGTGTGTATTATTGAGAAGTATCTGGATTTCAAGCAAGGAGAAGTATGGAAGGAGGTGACGTCAGAGTTGGAACAGGAGGGAGTTCGGCCAGTCACGCCTGATGAAGTAGGTTGATGTCATCTAGTAGCCACATTGTAGTGTCATAGCTCTGGTATCCAGACAGTCTCTTAGTAAAGCTATTCCTGCCACTAAAACAAATTCCACAGTGGTCAAATTTGAAGGCTCAGCCCATAAACACCGGATTTGCTCTCACTGTTACTCATTGTAGGAAGCCTTGTCAGTGATCAACAGGACTACCGAGGAGCTAGCAATCAACGTAGCTGATACACAAGTTGACATGCTAGAGACACAGCTACAACAGGATCTGTTGGAAGAACAGGAGATGTATGCTGAGGTAGGCAAACCTACAAAGGAAATGAACTATTTGCATGCTTTAATGGATAATGCGTGAAGGAGTATATCAACTATTGAATGTATTTTATCATACAAATGATGAATATAATACCTGGGCTTTTTTGTTCAGATCCGAGAGAACCATCGCCAGAAAGAGAAGGCGATCAAGAGATGGAACAACTACGTAGCACGTACATCCAACTATTCATTACTCAAGGTAAGCTTTGTTTCAGAAATCCAACTCTGAGCTGATCCTTCTTCCAACCATCCACTTGTACTCTACTCCCACTTAATCAAGACACTGTACCCTATCAACATACATCGTCCCCTTTCTCTTAACCCCTCTTAATGTGTTTGATTTCATAGGCTGCTAAGACGGATCAAGACTTGAGCATAAACGCCTCTCGAGTACAGACTGACTTCCTGGATTCGTAAGTAGTTCTTATCCCATTGCAGGATATAAAATCAATACAGGAGGTCCTAAACAGACAAAGATGTGTAAGTTGAATTATTTGCATGGCTGTCCAAAAATAATGTCAATCTCGATCAGGTCTTCCTTTTCACTTTTTCCCTCTACTCAAACCCTTGTACTACAACCTTGCAGTATTAACGTGTTTAGGAGGTACTTACTTCATAATTTTTCTTCTTGTTGTAGTGATACTTATCACAGCACTGACTTGGCCAATCTCCAAACGACAGTAAGTGAAGCTATAAGAAAGATTTTCTGATATCCTTTAGCTTTTCACTCGATATGCGGTTAAGAGAATGCTACATTATACCTTATGTGTACAGCAAACATTGTTTCCAACGTAATACAAAACATGGATATTGAAGTTCTTGTCATTTCTTGCTCTTCTGCAGACATTTCAGAGTCGTCATGTCAACATTGATAGCACACCGTTAGAGCTGACCGGAGGTCCTACCCTCCTTGGCCAACCCAACGAAAGAGACATCACTAACAGGGTTACAATGAAAGAAAACACTCCAATATTTGTGTCTTAGCTGCAAACAAAAATTGTAATTCTTTATATGTAAATATTGAGGGGTTTGTATTAGATTTCCTCATTTTATATCCCCTCTTCAGTTTTTGAGAGGGGTACATGGACTAGGACTTAATGTACTGAGAGCCTGTCAACCTTAATTGAAAAGAAGAGTAGATTCAATCGGGTTTGGAGGGGTCAAAGGATTATTACCCGAGAGGTCTTGTGCTCTAAGGAATGTTAACACTGCGCTTAAGGAAAGTGGAGAAGTTCTGCAATTTTTTAATGAGCGTTACATAAACTTTTCAAATTATAGAAACGACCACCGTCTGACAGGTCAAGCTTTGTCCCACATGACAGAGATCCCAATTCATCCCTTTCAGTCAAGCCGTACCCCACTGGCACAAAGCGTAAAGGGTTTGAGGTAAGGTAGTACCACTGGTGGGACCATCACAAGAAGCAGTTTTGTGGGCACAAATGGCTGTTCTGTATATTTTGTATAAAATGTGTTAAGAGCACAGTTTTTGAAAGTGTGTACATAAAGAATGTGAGTTTGAAACATTAATTACACAATGAGAGTTTAAATATAAACTAAACAGATCTTTAAGATGAAACAATTTTTTTCAGTGTTCCGTTTTGAGTTCAGCACTGCATGCATTTTTGAGTATATACATGTACTTGTGAGAGTTTGTAACTGTACCTGGTACATGATAGATTGTTTTATAAAAGAACGATTTTTCTTCTGTATATTTATGTAAAGAGATTCTTAACAAAGCCGCTATCCGTCCAGATATAACTTGTCCGAGGACCAACTCGAAGCAATGTCACAAGTGAACCGAATCCAACATGTACTTTTAACCATAGATCAGGTTTGTTTAAACTTAGGAGTCTGTCCAAAATTAAATAAAGTTTGTAAAAGAAAGCCTTACGTGACACATGGTATGCAGCTTGAATATTTCCAGCCTGTTGAAAAGAGATATCAGAAGACTTTAGTAAAACTCCTTTATAATCACCAGGCCCCGCCCCTCTTCTGTGGCCATCTGTAGAGCGCCCTCATGTTCTGTTGTTATTAAAGCAATGAGGGCGCTATGTACAAAATACGGAAGCGGCAAAATAAAGACCCTTCGACGATTTGAGAGAAAATCTAACTGCTCAAAATGACTCATGGAAAGGCCGATGATGAATCTGTGTATTCTGCTAGAGAAGTGATGGATAGTAAGTAGAATACTGATTATCGTTTGGGATAAAATTGATCGCTGTTACTCGGAAATTGAACCCACAAGTAGGCTACTGATAACTACAGTAGGTCTGCTGAAGGCAGTAGGCCAACATGTACGTACAGTACTATGGCCTACTGCTGTATCGTTTGTGGCCTGCATGCTAGGCAAGTTTGACCCCCCCCCCCACCGAATTGGATCTTGGCTTGTCGTTTTTAAACAGGTGCACTTAAAAGGACTGAGAGGCCAATGTTTAAGGTGAACAGATGTACGCTTACCATGCTTACACTTACAGTGAGTTGACCTGTCCACCGATTCCACGGAGCTCCATGCCCAATCCATCCATGGTTCACCAAGTCTCCAAGATCTATCTGTAGAAATCATACATTTTTGATGGTGCAGTGCTGTCATTTCTTACGATCTAACCAAACATGTTCACAGTACTTAAGTACTGAATATATCTGGCCATTAAATTGAGTAACATTACATAAAATGTACAACATTACGTTGATGGCCCGGAACATGTACACGTATAAAGATTCACCAAAACATGAGCATTTTGAACGTTAATACGCTAATGTCATGGTTCATTCTTATTCACTTTGTGCATGCAGCTGTGAGTGAGATGTCAAAGCTACTAGAGACAGGCCTAGACTCAGAGACCCTAGCCATCGCTGTCAAACTGTGTGAATTAGGTGTTAATCCTGAAGCATTAGCTTCAGTTATACAGGAACTCCGCAGAGAAATGGCTGCATATAATGTAAGTAGGGGAGGATGTTAGACGATTGGTCTTGACAGATTAAAGATGCTCTTGTTAAGTTGTGGATTGCCTCTTGGTTCCTGAATAGAACTAAATATGCATACTTCCAGAATGTTTTTACATTAGAAAGTACACTGAGTCTTCATTCAGTTCTTATCACTTGGTCTTTCTCGCTTGTTTTCTCTTGTGCAGGCTGGTGGCGGAGACAGCAAGACTTGACACACTGATGGAACAGTATACTTACCTGTTGCTTCAGAACTTGCAAGAAATTGTAAATCGTTTACTCTGCACAGATGGTTGCAGTATTTTTTTAGAATGTTGGCACTTCTTGTCAGACGACCCTGTGTAGGCCTACTTAATATTTTCTATCAGATACTGGAAAAGATGACTTCAAAATATGCAATCAACAGAGAGGTTCCTCATTACAAGCATCACCCACATTTAAACTGGTATCATTTTTATCCTTATTAGGATGATTACACCTGTATTTATCTTGTGGAATTTACAACAATGTCCAAGACAACAGAAGTGGGAAAATTTATCAGGATATCTGATATAGTCCTGTCTTCCAAGGAATTAAGTCGTTCATATTGGCTTGTCAGCTTGTTAGCAGAAGGAAAATAAAATATCGAATTAACTTCGAATAAAAACCTGTTTATGTTCATTCGCATTTCAACAACCCAAAGTAACTCCAAGATTTGTGGAATTTGTTATTAAGTTTCTTGATCATTAATGCTGTCTTGTTGGAAAGAAATGTCCACCCAGGCCTTCATATGAATGCAGTATGTTTGAATTTCATTACTAATTTTATAATTACAGTTATACAAGTCTGCAACCACACAGAAACCAATTAAATTTGTACACAAAAGATCTGTCCACAGGTTGTGGACAATTAATAATAGGTAACTGAAAAGTTAATTAACTGAAAATGTTTATGAAAGACGTAAGAAGAGAGCTTTTATTTAATAAACCTAACAGCTGGTGGTTGTACAAAACAATGGTAGTGACGTGACGTTATATTCATTATGAAACATGCTGTCACAGGTGGGACCAATCAAAGTGTCTTACCTCCGGAAGTTTTGAAGAAAGTAAATTTTGATTATTGAACCAGTGCATGAAAAACTGCAGTATGTGCACAATCTGGATCGTATTTAAACGCAGTCAGTACAAAATGTGAAAGGGAGATGACGGCTTTGGTAAAAACCGGTAAAGTAGGGCGGGCGTTTCGGACTTGCTCATCAGAGACTTGAAATTGGTGGAACTAGTTGTGAAGTGGATTCGGAACGCATTTTTAACAAGTTCGCCAGCGGAGGATTGGTTCAATTGCACCGGCTGTCTGTCTGGACAGGTGGAATGGCAAGACGAGTCCCAATCGATGCTACTTTAATTCTTGCCTCCATCATTATAGCTGCTGTGGGTTTTAAAGAAGGTTGCGCCTTGGAGTAAGTTAGCTATTTCTCTTCAATTTTTTTTTTTTTTTGAGGTTTCTCCCCGATTTGGATTTTGTGTGACAATAAGGCAATCGTGTTACTGTTTACTTAATAAGGGTAGTGCAGTGTGAAAAAGACACATTTTTTGAGGTTTCTCCCCGAGTTGGATTTTGTGTGACAATAAGGCAATTGTGTTACTGTTTACTCAATAAGGGTAGTGCAGTGTGAAAGAGAAGACACTTATCCCAGTTTTTTTGCATCTCGTTTTCTATTGGCAGCGCTCGATATCGCGATCTTATTTTCTTTTTCGAAAAGTTCGTACAGGGAAATATCATTCAGAGCACATCTTCCACGGGAATAACTACTTCGGTGGATTATTTCCATAAATCATCGCAGGGCGTCTTTTCCCTTAAATATTACGTCTTTGTTTTTAGATCACATTACTGTCCGGGTAGCGAGACCCACCTAGATGTAGAGCAACGGCAGCAGGTACCGTGTGATGCCATCTATGACCCGATTTACATACTAGAGGGATGGCAATGGAACCAGAATAAAGCACCTGCTCTGTTGGATGGGGAGAATGTGTGCGAATTGGTCAGGTAACGGATAATTCAGATCACTCTTTCCAAATTCACAGGAAACATTGTCAACATTTGAACAACCCACTTTTATCGCAAATTAACCTTTCTTGCTCAATACTTTTATCCCTTCACTGGACGCAGAGTTGTGCAGCAAGAGCAGATTAAGACCATTCTGGTATGCTGTCCAGGGTACGAAGGAATCCTCTGCGAAATACGTAGGTTTAACAAATGCTAGACTAATAGTAAAAGATGAAAACGGTATTAAGAGAGATAAAAACGAATTTGCAGATTTCCCAACTTCATTTGACGTCTTTTCTTCTCTTGATCAAGTTAAGCACCACAATTAAAAATCAGGTGACTACGTTTTCCCTATAAAACTTTGTTTTAATCCACTCAATTAATTAGCAATGTGCGGTGACAGGTGTCTGAATGGTGGCAGGTGTGTAGCACCTGATACATGCCGATGTCCAGCTGGTTACCAAGGCAGTAGATGTCAATCCCGCATCCGTAAGTGCTTTTATATTATGAAAGAACAAAGACAAACTACTAAGTGCTGAAAAAAATAATAACCAAATTATTGAAAGACAAATTATTAAAACTTGAGTGATATAATTTCTAACGTGGGCTGCAATCCTACGTCATGTGAAAGTGTTAATTCTTTATTTTGTTGTTTTCAGATCCGCAGATTGAAACATTTCCAGGTATGTTGAGCAGCAACTCATCGAAATATTTTCTATCTCGGCAATCTTTCTTGTCAGTTTTGCCAACTTCCGATTCCTCTGGTGAGTGGGCGGGATTAGGGCAGGTAATGGGAGGGGGAGGCACTTGCGGAGTGTAGAATGTTGCCCAGAACATAACCCTTGTACTTGGTGACTTTTGTCTTTCAGGGTTTGAAAATACAGTTGGAGGGTCAAAACTTACAATGGCGAAAAGGTCAAGTGAAAGTGAGTACAGTACGGACATCCGTAGTCACTGAGTTGCTTGATGAGTTTTCTGAACTTTCTCCTCGCGTCAACGCTGAGGGCGGTATACATAAACGCCGCTTTAGTTCTTCAACTTCAACCGCACGTACAACCGCGTAATTCAACTTTTCTAGACTGTAAATCAAATTTTCTTTATTCTCAACTCGTGCCAGCAAAACAGAATTTGTGAGTGCATCCATTATTTTTTTATTTGTGTCTTGCATCAAAGAAGTTTCTGCTGGCTTATTTCCTTTGAAATGTCTTTCTCGTCGTGCTTGTCGTCAAAATTATTTGAAGCTGACACGAAAGTGACAGGCACAAGTCCTGTGTACAAATGGTGTAGTGCTCAGCCAATGGGACACGATGGGTTTTTATGTGTGACTGTTTATTCCTTCCACCATGATGTGAGGTAGATACGGGACCACAATTATAATATATGGACCCTTATAGAAAGACACGCCAATAGCAGATGGGTGTGTGACTAGATTACAGGACCATAATTGTTGTGGACCTATGTAGAAAGATATGCCAGTATTGGCAGTAACAGATAGGTGTGACTAGATACATGACTGTCACTTTGCTCTATGGTTAACCCATTAAGACACGGTAGAAAGGCATGCTACATCACTAGGTTAGTTCTAGTACTGGCCAGCTTCTGGACAGTTCAGTATTTTGTTGTGTTGTCAGCAGAGTGAAAGTAAACATTTTTGACAAGAAACTTGTTAACTCAAGTTGTCATGTATTATGATTTTTTGCCTTACTTGAAGTTTTTAGTACAATGTTCATAAGTAACAGGGCTCTTTTCTACATTTGGTGGCAGTCATGAATTACTATGGCAACCAGACAATGGACCTTGCTTCACGCTCCTATGCAACTTGCCTGTCATGGAGCAGAGATCATTTCCGATCATTTGACGGAGTTGATTTTAGCTTTGCTGGGGACTGTACATACACGTTGGCTGCAGGAATTGATGGCACATGGGATGCCACGCTGAAGAACAACAAATGTGATTTGTTGGATACCTGCTACAAAGTAAGGCAAAGAAATTAAAATCTCAACAAAATGTTTAGGAAGTTTCTTTTCAACAATATTTGATAGATAAAAATCCATGTACGAATTCCTTTTAACACACTGTGCACAAACCCTGTGAGACCGGTCTGAAAAATTCTAAAAGTAAGTGTTTTTTATGTGAATACCTCAACGTTTTCACTGCACCAAATGGCTGATAGTTACTACATGGAAAAACTAGTCCCATCTGTGTAGCCGGAAATTCTTTTCATTTGACGTTAAGAAACATTCATTATCTGTTTTTTTCCTTTATGCCAGACTCTTGAGCTGATCCTTGGCATGGATGTTGTCACAGCAAATGGCAGAAATGTTTTCATCAATGACAAGAGAATCACAAATTTTCCCTACTTGAATAATGGTAAGTACGTCACATTATGCATTGTTTGCACATGTGTGCAAGATAATAAAGTGGTGTACATGTATTTCTCATTTTGAGCTTTGACAGTATCAGACAGTATGCTCCGTCTGTCGTCAGGAGAATGCAGTGGTTGTAATCCTGGAGCTGTGAATAATTCTCATTTTGATTTTTTTTTATAACTTCACTAATTTATTTCATCTGATGAAATAAATGGCTTTCATTTTGATTTCCTTGAAGGTATATCTTTGAAGCGAGTTGGTGATTTTACATTTCTTGAGAGTGGTCTTGGAGTTCTTGCCAAGTGGGATGGGTTGATGACGGTTGAGCTGACTGTGTTATCTGAACTGCGTCAATCTACACTAGGACTGTGTGGGACATTTGATGATGACCCTACAAGTAAGTCATTCCGAAAGGAAGTTGGTTTTTATCACTACTTAAACCTAAATCAAGAAGATTTAGCAAAAATTGGCTATTTTTGGATTATGTTGGTAAACTCAGTACTCTTCAATGACGAGGTCAAATAATATTGTAAAAAAAAATGAAATTCTTAAAGTGATGTAGATATCAAACTTAGGTTCTCAGGATGTAGCTGGCTAGGCCTATCAACCTTGTGCTTGTACAAAGGATAATCATGCTTAAATATTATAGAATGATGTGTTTGTGATTGAATTTGATCTGTATGTGATCTGTTGATGTGATCTGTATTTGATAGATGATTTGACTGCACGAAGTGGTGAGGTGGCCAGTAATCAGATTCAGTTTGTCGCATCATGGGAGGTGCCAGGACCTGGTGAGGTATGTTGGCATTTGATTCAAAGTAACTGCATTCCCGGCTTATAGTGACTCAGAAATCAGGTGTTTTTGCAGTAAAGACTAATCCAAGGAGACGCCATAACTGCAGTGGCGCTACACTCACACACACATTCTTCAGCTTGATGCGTGTATGTATTTTGGCAAATCCTGACACCCTGTTGGTCGAAGAGGCTCGTAACGTGTGCGTATCACCTGTCCACAAGCGTTGTGCCACTGCAGCAAATGGCTTCTCATTCTAGTTGTTGAATTATCCTCCTTGAATATTCTCTATTCTTTGCCAAATACTAACATTTACAGGTGTGTCCACCGTTGTCAGAAGTGCATCCATGCAGTGTCAACCATGATCAGGAGGGTGTTGCCTATTCACTCTGTAGAGTCATAGAACTTGCTGAAGAATTCCAACAGTGCCATTCGGTGGTAAGTCCTTTTTTGCAATCATTTTCTTGCATGCTGTAGCAATTACAAACTACAGCTACATGGAGGTAATATTGCTGTGATAAAATGTAACCTGTCGGAAACAACTAACAGATTTGCCCGTAAAGGTGGATCTGGAGTTCTTATCTGGTTATGTGAAAGTTGCAGCTCAAACTTGGATCTTGTCGGGAATCAGGATTTTGGGTTCACGCTGAGATGCTCACCTATGTCTGTTCTTGTTAATGTTGCTTATTTTGTTGATAGACATGTGAACTGGTGAATCATTTTCACATTTCTCTTCTTCTTGTAGGTGAGCCCCTTGGATTACATCACCCAGTGCCAATACGACATCTGTGAATTTGGAGGTTCAGATGAATCCATTATGGCTGCTCTCTGTGTGAATCTTGAGGCATATGCTCGAGTTTGTGCGAGCAGAAATGTGGCCCTTAACTGGCGTAGTGAGGACTTGTGCCGTAAGTTTGTTATGTCAGTTCAATTTAGATCAAAGGTGTTGATGAACAGATATTCAGTAGCGTAATTACCATCAGATCATTACAAAAGCTTGTATACAGTGTGCATTGCATTGACTGATTGTCAAACTTTTCGGGATTACAACATTCACACTGCAGGGAAAAATGCTTTTTTTTGTTACGTTGCACACCAAAACTTGGGCAAGAATGTTTATTTGTCAACAGCGAAGCAGTGTCCTGATACCCAGGTCTACTCTGAATGCGGGACCCTATGCCCTCCAACCTGCACTTCAGCTAACACTGACCACTGCCCTTCAGACTGTGTGAGTGGTTGCCACTGTCCTGAGGGTACCGTCCTGGAAGATGGTCGTTGTGTCAATGTAGAAGAATGTCCATGTGTGCATAACAGGGAGAAGTACCCACCAGGAGCTAGCGTGTCAGTCAAGTGCAATTCTTGGTGAGTGTGCAACTTCCCATCTGCAAATTGTCTCCTTTTTTCTTCACAAACCCTACCCAAGAGCTCTGGAAGTTGCTTGAATTTATTCAGTTAATGTAGACTACATGTGTTTGATTACCTGGCTAGACAGATTATGTGTCTTTTTTGACTCGTCCTTATCAAAGCACCTGTCATGCAGGTAAGTGGTCTTGTAGCAACGATGTCTGCCAGTCCACCTGTCATGTTGTGGGTGATCCTCACTACTTGACATTTGACAAGAAGAAGTACACCTTCATGGGGCACTGCCGCTACATGCTGGTTGAGGTATGCGCTTGTATTCAAGATTGTATGTAGTTATTTTTTGTTTTGAATCAGTCCTTTTTGAACAATTTTATCACATGTTGCAACATTAAAGCCACTAACATTGTCATTACTGTCACCGCCATCACCATGGTTTCTGGTTCCTTTCTATTTTCCTTGTAGGATTATGTTGATGGGTCACTGTCCATCATTGGAGAGAATCAAAACTGTGGTTCTGGACACTCAGTGACCTGTACCAAAGCTGTCATTGTCAAAGTCAACAACACTGAGGTCTACCTTAAGCAAGGCAAGGAGGTTGAAGTGAATGGTGTTCATATCCAACCACCATTTGTCAATCACCATGTCTCCATCCGTAGAGGGTCATCCAAGTTCCTGATTCTAGAAGCTTTTGGAATGAGCCTAAAATGGGATGGAATTGACAGATTGTACATAACACTGGCTCCAAGCTACATGTACAAGGTATGGCATGTTATTTACTATATAGATTTCAAGATTTTGACAGATTTTGGCAGGTGAGGTACATAACTCAGCTAACAAACTACTTTTGATCCTTTTTTAAAGGTTCGTGGACTGTGTGGAACCTTTGATTCCAACCAAAACAATGACTTCATGACACCAACTGGCGATATAGAGACTAATAAAGTCTCCTTCACCAACAAGTTTGTAGTTGACCCAGGTTGTTACGAGCCTGAGACAACAGTGTCTCTTCCACCTTGTAGTCTGAACTCACACATGGCAAGCTTTGCGGAAGCAAAGTGTGGCATTATGAACGAGGATGTCTTCCGTGCTTGCCACGGAAGTGTCAGTCCTGACCTGTACTATGATATCTGCATGTATGATGTGTGCGGGTGTGATACGGCATTCACTACTACGTGTCTGTGTGAGTCTGTTGCCGGGTATGCCATGGAGTGTGCTAATGAGGGCATATTCATTGACTGGAGAGAGCATGAATTGGTCGCCAAGTATTGTGGTAAGTCCTCAGATTTATCCCCAATTTTGGGATTTGAATTGATTTTCTTTACGTGCAAATTAATTAGAACCAATTTGAAAAAAAAATTAAATTTCACGGTCACAAAATACTGCCATAGTGCAGTTCTATCTAAAAAGTTCTTTATTTTGTATTTTAGAACCGGCCTGACTTGTTTCTATGGTAACCCTTCTCTATCAATAGATATATCTTGTCCAGGGAGCCAAGTGTACAGCACTTGTGGGCCAACCTGTGGCCAATCATGTCGAGATCTGAGCCTACCATGTATCGAGACCGACTATTGTGTTGAGGGGTGTAACTGTCCAGAAGGATCGGTATTGGATGATGATGGTAACTGCATATCACCGCCACAGTGCCCCTGCTACTGGGATGATCAGGTGTTTGCCCCTGGCACAGAAATGGAACGGTCCTGCTTGACATGGTGAGAATATTAACTCAACTTTGAGCTGCCTGAATCCACTCAAATCAACTGACAAGTTCTGGAGAAGTTGAATTCAGTCTTAGAACGATCATAACTATGAATATTTGGCTTAATCCTCAGTCAGTTACCTAGACTATCCCTGGGGGGCATTCTTCATACTTTTTTAGGGGGTAGGGGTAATTTCAGTGATCCTCCTGTCACAAATACTCACCATTAGTATTATTATTTATTCCTACATTTCCAGTACATGTGTGAATGGTACATTTGACTGTATTGGCGAGGAATGCAATGAGACAGTGATTTGTCCTAACAATCAAATATTTGATCATCATGCTACACCTTGCCCATTGACTTGTGATAACTTGGACCATTACCAGCCATGTGTCGCATCAACTAGGCCAGGATGTATGTGTCCTGAGGGATATGCATTAGATGTAAGTACAGTCACTGAATTCATATGATGAGCCATTTTGAGTGCTTTCAATCCCTGATTTTGTGGTATTTGACCAAAATATCAAACTGTTGGTGAGTTTTGTCAAACAGTTCATATTCAGGTTCAGACTGTGAATTCTTACTTACCAGAACACCTGAACTTGCGTTCTTGGCCAGGCCACACTAGGGTTTTGAGTATCACTTAATAGTTACCACTGTGGTCTTCCAAAGGAGATTTGTTATCTGTTAAGTGCCACTACACCCCAGCATTAAGACTGAACAGCGTGTGCAATATGCCTATGAGTTTCTCAGCAGACATTAACTTTTATAGAGTTAATAACTAATCTGGTATTTGTTTTAAAGTTATGAAACCACACTTTCCTGTTTTAGTCTGTGATAGTGGTGTGCAAATTCCAAAGTTGGTGCAAATCTTGAATCTAATATAGAGAGAAGACCCACAGTTCTAGGAGTAGTAGTGTTTGGGCCACAATTCACAGTAGTAGATCAGCAGATAATTGCAAGAAAGGTGAACTGGTCACCTGCTTGAGTGTTTACAAATTTGATTGAACAAATAATGTCACCTTCCGTGGGGCCAAGATAAGCAATGAAATCCCGGTTTCAGAAGGGGCTAGATATTCATAAGAGAAATATGCCTCTTGTTGTAAGTTAGATTTGCAAAAGTTGAATCATTTTTCATTTTGCAGGATGAAGTTTGCATTCGGCCTTCTGAATGTCCCTGTTATCATGGTGGTCATAGTTACCAACATGCAGAAATGTTACAGATAGATGCATGTAATCAATGGTAAGGCACATTATGGCAAGATCTCATATGAATTCACAAATATTTACATTTACTGGTATGTCATTCTGTTGGCTGAACCTGTTTTATAACTCATCTTGGGGTGCATGATGTTACCAGTGCCCTAATGTCAATGAATGTAAATAGAATTGTGAGAGATTGTTAAGCAGTGTCATGTATTTTTGTGCAGTGTTTGCAAAGGAACCATATGGGAATGCACTCACAAAGTTTGTCCGGGTAAGTTTGGTGTTTTCCTTCTTTATATTCGTTTAGGTGACACAGACACCTTTTTCATGATTGCTATGCACAGGTTATTCAGGTTCGTTTGTCTTGTTTAGATAGTTTTGACTGCAATCTATCATTTAGATTTTCGGTTTACATTTCAGCTGTGTGCTCTGCTGTTGGAGAGGGTCACTATACAACATTTGATGGTCGGATGTATTCATTTGTTGGTGACTGCCGCTACACACTAGCACAGTCTGTCAACAACACATTTTCCATTGAGGTTGAGAATGTTGTATGTGGCTCCAGCGGCATCACTTGCACTCGAGCAATTGAAATCAACATTGGTGATTACGTCAGTATCTTCTTGGTGCGAGGAGGAGAGGTCACCATCAATGGTGTCAAAATTCAGCTGCCTAAGCATTACTACTCTCTGCAAATTGAGAAGTCTGGGTTCTTTTACACCATCACATCTGATATCGGACTCAGGGTGCTGTGGGATGGAGGTAAGTGGATAGTCTGGTTTCCTTTTTATGGATAGTCTGGTTTCTTTTGAAAGTTATGACCATGGAAGTGATATCAGTTTGTAGAAAAAACTGCCTCAGTGACTTGCTCCCAGAAAAACTTCAACTGAAACCACTGCCCTTTGACATAGGTACTCGAGTCTATGCTGAAGTACAGCCAGAATTTGGTGGACAACTGTCTGGCCTTTGCGGGAACTTTGACGGAAACCAAGAAAATGACTTCACAGCATGGAATGGAGGTCTTGAGCAGAGTGCTGATAACTTTGCTAATAGTTGGAAGGTCAGTGCTGGCTGCCCGGAGCTGTACAAGGAAGATGTCATTCATCCATGCACGGTGAGTTACTGACTGACAAAAACATTATATGCAAATTAACACTTTGAGTCATACTACTGCTCCTTTAAGTGCAGGAAGGTAATCTGGTTGTAACGGTTTGCCACTAGTGATTGCGAGGTCAGAGGTTGGAATCCAACTGCCAGCCATGCACATCTGTATATTATGTCCTTGAGCAAGCCAGTTTACCCCTATTCGCTATTTCAATCAGGAGTATACTTGCATTAACTAGAATGTGACCCATGATGGATTGATTCTAGCCACGTGTAAAAGACATGCTTCATATCACTATCATACTTTTTTCATTGTAACGGGAATGTTCTTTTTGTCATTGAAGGCGAATGGGCACAGGGAGGCATGGGCCAATCGACGGTGCAACATCCTCATGCAGCCGACCTTTGAACTCTGTCATGCCCTCATTGACCCATCACCCTACCTAGAGAACTGCATCTATGATTCCTGCGGGTAAGAGTCCGTACGCAACCCTTTTTATTGCCCTAATTCATTCTGTTTGATCGCATAAAGCCAGCTTTTTGCAACGCACTCTATCAGCTTTGATCCATATTTGTCTTCAACTTACCTGTATGCTTATTTTGTTGGCTCCACAGATGTGATATGGGAGGTGATTGTGAATGTCTTTGTACAGCAATAGCTGCATATGCAATGGAATGTTCACGCAGTGGCATACACATAAAATGGAGGTCACAGGATCTGTGTGGTAAGTCACATGTGCACTCTGTTTTGGCCCAAAGTTATTTAGCCATCCACTTTGGGATATTGTGTTGGTGTTCTTGCTCGTTTAGGGACAGAATTGATGTATTTTTTCCCATGAACTCCTATTGTTTCACTTAACAATCTGGAGCTAGTGTGGCGTTGAATACTCATCTTGTCTTTGCAAAGTATCTTCCAGAGAGACACAGTTACGTAATCCATTTATACATCATAATCCCCTTCCCATGATTTGTAATCTTTACGTTTCAGCGATGCAGTGTGAGGATGGCTTTGAGTATTCAGCCTGCGGACCATCTTGCCAAGAAACTTGTCAAACCATTGGTGATGAGAGACCAGAATATTGCAATGGATGTGTAGAAGGATGCCACTGTCCAGATGGAATGGTAGTGCAAGGTGAGCAACAGTGTGTCATTCAGCAAAGTCAGTGGCAAAACAATTGTCACCATTCATAGTCTCTATTGTAATCAAAGAGACAAGCCTAGCTTTAATGCCCACTAATGAAAAATATATCTACCTCCCATTCCAAAATTTACTGGAAATAATCTGTCTCCATTCTTAACATAGCTCAGTGATATTGAGTTTTTTGTTTCTTAAGAAAAGTTGACATTGTTTAATCAATTGGACAGATGGTGGATGCGTTCCTGCTGATGAATGTCCGTGTTACCATGGCAATGCAGAATATCCACCAAGAACAATTTTGTCCATGGACTGCCAGAATTGGTAAGACAACATTAATTTTTTTAATTTAGAAATTGCAAGTTTGTATCAAATATTTAGTTCATAATCTGTATTAAGATTTTTTGTCTTTAGAATTTGTTTACCTTCTCCCTTTTCTGCAGCACCTGCGAGAGAGGGAAGTTTAAGTGCTTAGGAGAACCTTGTAATAGTAAGTTCTTAAAGGGATCTGAAACGTTAGAGTTGGGAGTTTTGATTTTTTGTGCCCGGATTAATCTGTCGTATATTTACCCTAATTCACCCCATCTTTCATTGTTGAACTTTTCTGCAGTAACATGTTCTGATAATGAGTATCAGTGTAATAGTGAGGAGTGCATACCAGCTGGCTGGACATGTGATGGTGAAGATGATTGCCATGACGGATCTGATGAGCTGGATTGCGGTAAGACCAGTATCCATTTAGAAATTTAGACTTTAATCCTTTATTCCTGTTGTTGAAATAAGTTGGTCTAATTCCACGTAAATGTTTTTCTATTATCATTGATGAGAGTGTCCAAAGAAGTAACCAGAACGAGACTTTGGCACATCACAGTAACACTTTGAAATATTCAGGAAACCAGCGATACTGAAGTTTCTAATTTTCCACCAACTGAACTGAACATGACAGAAGCTTCAATAACTTGCTTAGAAAATGTTGGTTTATTATGTTCACACATTAGTGTACACCTGTGCATCTGACCAATACACCTGTGCCAATGGCCGTTGCATTGATTCAAGCTTCTACTGTGATGGAACTCAAGACTGTGATGATAACTCAGATGAAGTGGATTGCCGTGAGTAACCATGCTCATCTTTTCAAACTTGAAACGTGTCAGATATGGTGTTGCCACTCCATGTATTGTGCTCTCTACAGACAGTTGTCCAAATGATAATTGGCCTAATTGTGAGAGGTATCTGTAGATTGGTATCTCTTTTGTTTCAGCTCGTCCAACTTGTTACGGTGGTGAATTCCAGTGCAACAATGGCAAATGTGTCTCTAGATCCTTTGTTTGTGATGGTGATATGGATTGTGGTTTCAATGATCCGGCTGATGAGGAGAATTGTGGTAAGTATTTCCATTGGTTTTCTGTTGTTCCTTTTAGATTGTACCACCTTTTGTAATGACCTTTAATTCTGAGTAAAAATGCCTTTTGATTGGTGTCTTTTGTTTGTAGGTGTTGATGCTGTTTTTTCATTTAACATGTTGTAATTGTGTTTGTCTTTTGCAGACACAACAACGGCATTTTCAAATACAACCGTCACTGCACAATCAGGCAGCACACATGAAACCATCACTGGTACATTAAACATGTATTATTTCTAAATGATATGATTGAAAAAAGGTTTTTAAAAAGTTACGCTTTGACTTTACTCAAGGTGTTTCCAACAGTTGGAAAATATTCAGCATGGATGGATAATTTCCTTTTGCCTGGTCTATTCACTGTTGAGTCCAGTGGTAATGTAATTTCGTCAAAGTTTCTGCTGCAGTTTGTTCATAATTCCAGTGATGACTTTCCCTAAGCAATGGATTTACAAATAGTAATACTTATATTTACTTAAGAAACGAGAATTATGTCATCTAATTATTTCATCATTGTGATGGCAAGGAGACGGGTGAAGATGAGAGTGATTTTTGTAAGTTGACAACTTCTTAAGGAGGTTGTCTCACATGAAAGCTTTTGAAATTGTTTGAATTTGATGATTTTAATTGTATAAGCTCCTTCTGTATTTCTGACTAATAGCGATGAAATGTGTTTGACGTTACAGATACTTACACTACATCCCCTTATGCATGCGGTCCAGATGAGTTCACCTGTAAGAATGGCCTGTGTGTTTCTGGAGGGATTAACGGAAGTGTTTGTAATGGCATCAATGATTGTGGAGATTCATCTGATGAGGAATACTGTGGTATGAGAGTTGGCCGTTTCTCTACAAAATATGAAGTGCTTCAAGGATACAATTTGTATTTTTCTAAACTGATTCGTGAAATGCTATATTTATTACATGTATAAGGGAAATTTACACTTTTGCTATGGTGAAATTTTGACCAAACATCTTAGTATTGAAACGCATAGGTTTTTTCCTGATGTAAATTCCTCAAATGTTATTTCCTTTTTTGAAGGCACTACGCCACAACCACTCCAGACGACCACAGTGATTGGGTGCTTGATTAACCAGTGGCAGTGTGTGAATACAAGAGAGTGCGTCCAATCATCCTATCGTTGTGACGGGGTTCCAGACTGTGAGGATGCATCAGATGAATTGAACTGTGTTTACTCTACCAGCAAGCCGCTGACTACCACCCAACCAAATGTACCTTACGTCACTACCACATCTTATGTTGAAAGAACAATTCCCATACAGGCAACAACCACAAAGCCGTACACGCAACAACCTAGCACCAGTGTGAAGTTATCTACAGGTTTGAGTCTGCAACCCGGGACATCTACTCCCATTCCTTATGAAATATCCACTGCTCAGTTTCACTCCACACAATCCATTTTAACACCTGTATCACCACACTTCAAAAAGACCAAATCACCTGCAACAACATATTTAACCCCAGCTGTGACAGAAGTGACCTATCCACATGTGCCTTCTGTAACTACACCTTATTTGCCGGTGCCAACCACGACTTATTTGAAAGAGCTTACAACTCCAATAAGACCGATAGTGACCACTCCATATGTGCCAGAGAAAACCACTCCATATGTGCCACCAGTGGCCACACCCTATGTGCCAGAGGTAACCACACCTTATATGCCAGAGCAAACCTCTCCATATGTTCCTCTGGTGACCACAATCTATTCTCCAGAGGCTACTATCCCATATGTTCCAACAATGACCACACCCAATGTGCCAAAAGTAACCACACAGTATGTGCCAGAAGTAACCTCTCCATATGTTCTACCAGTGACCACACCCTATGTGGCAGAGGCAACCACTCCATATGTTCCACTAGTGTCCACACCCTATGTACCAGAGGTAACCACACCTCATGTGCCAGAAATGACCTCTCCATATATTCCACCAGTGACAACACCCTACGTGGCAGAGGCAACCACTCCATATGTTCCACCAGTGTCCACACCCAACGTACAAGAGGTAACCACACCTCATGTGCCAGAGGTAACCACTCCATATGTTCCATCCTTGACAACACCCTACGTGGCAGAGGCAACCACTCCATATGTTCCACTCGTGTCCACACCCTATGTGCCAGAAGTAACCACACCCTATGTACCAGAGGTAACCACACGACATGTGCCAGAGGTAACCACTCCATATGTTCCACCAGTTACAACACCCTTTCTGGCAGAAGCAACCACTCCATATATTCCACCCTTGACAACACCCTACGTGGCAGAGGCAACCACTCCATATGTTCCACTAGTGTCCACACCCTATTTGCCAGAAGTAACCACACCCTATGTGCCAGAGGTAATCACATCTCATGTGCCAGAGGTAACCACTTCATATGTTCCACCAGTGTCCACACCCTCTGCACCAGAGGTAACCACAACTCATGTGCCAGAGGTAACCACTCCATATGTTCCACCTGTGACAACACCCTTTGTGGCAGAGGCAACCACTTCATATGTTCCACTAGTGTCCACACCCT